CATCATTAAGCAATTAGGATAGGACATCATCGATATATATTAGTTTAATTATTAAATTAGTGTATATTAAGAGAGTATTTAATATATAGATACTATATTTTGCTTTGATTAACACTTAACAAGAACACCATATCTATAGACGAAGATGGCTAGAGGACCGTATGTTAACTACAATTTCATATAGAATGAAATGAACTGGATATTTAATTATATTGATTGGATTTCAAATCGCAAGAACTGGAAATTGAAATAGTACATTGTTATTTAACATTGATGAAATGCTAATGAATACAAATAAATATTACTTCAAATCTTATTATGTTCAATATTTTACTAACATTTTAATTATAATATAATAATAATTTAACAATATACACCTAATTATGGTTTATTGTTATTACTATTTGTTTGATATTTTCACAGAAAGAAGCATTTAAAGAGATTAGCTGCTCCACACCATTGGTTGTTGGACAAATTGTCTGGTTGTTACGCTCCAAGACCATCTGCTGGTCCACACAAGTTGCGTGAATCTTTGCCATTAATTGTTTTCTTAAGAAACAGATTAAAGTATGCTTTGAATGGTCGTGAAGTCAAGGCTATCTTGATGCAAAGACATGTCAAGGTCGATGGTAAGGTCAGAACTGATGCTACCTACCCAGCTGGTTTCATGGATGTCATCACTTTGGAAGCCACCAACGAAAACTTCAGATTGGTCTACGACGTCAAAGGTAGATTCGCTGTTCACCGTATTACCGATGAAGAAGCCTCTTACAAATTAGGTAAGGTCAAGAAAGTTCAATTAGGTAAGAAGGGTGTTCCATACGTTGTTACCCACGACGGTAGAACTATCAGATACCCAGACCCAAGCATCAAGGTTAATGACACCGTTAAGATTGACTTGGCTACTGGTAAGATCACTGATTACATCAAATTCGACGCTGGTAAATTAGTCTACGTTACTGGTGGTCGTAACTTGGGTCGTATCGGTACCATCGTCCACAAGGAAAGACATGATGGTGGTTTCGACTTGGTTCACATCAAGGACACTTTGGACAACACTTTCGTCACCAGATTGAACAACGTTTTCGTTATTGGTGAACAAGGTAAGCCATACATCTCCTTGCCAAAGGGTAAGGGTATTAAATTGACCATTGCCGAAGAACGTGACAGAAGAAGAGCTCAACAAGGTTTGTAAGATAATTAACAAACATTGATTTCTTTTTATGTTAGTTATTTGTGTACAAATTTGTTTTATATAATTTCTTAATCGGAATAAAATATATTTCTTCATCGTATCTTTAAAAAAAATTATTCTTATTGTTTTATAGACCATTTTTATTTGTAGGAAATTTATTTCTCTTGAAAGGCGATACTAGTTAATATGACTACTGGTAAGTTTATTAAAAATATATATATGTATATATTCATGCACTTATTTACTTGAAGGAAATTATTTGGTGCAACTTCTTTTATTTAAGCAGTTGCTCGGCGTCAATTTCAAATTCCCTGAATCCTTCCTCAATATTGTATTTGTTGTATTCATCAATTGTAATGTCAACCAATGCATTAACTGCATTGCCAAAAATCAATACACCTGGAGGTCTTGAACCGACTTCCTTGACAACCTCAGGTAAATATTTCAACTTCGTTCTAACTACTCTTTGATCCTTACATGAAGATCTTTCAACAATAGCGACAGGTGAGTTTATATCCCACCCATGCTCAGAGATTGCCTTTGTAAACTCATCTATTCTATGCAATACCATCAAGAAAATCGTAGTTCTTGTTGGAGAATAAGTTGGAAGCTCTGGCAACTTACCATCTTTTAATGTGCCAGTACATATCAAGATTTGGTCGGCTATATTTCTTTGGGTTGCAGGTATGTTTGATAATACAGTCGATGACAGAGCTGAACTTATACCAGGTAAAACCAATGGAGTGTATCCATTTTCTTTAAAGAACAAATATTCTTCACCACCTCTCCCATATACGTAAGGGTCCCCCTGTTTAAGCCTTACTACTCTTTTACCATTTTGTAAGTATTCTAAACCCTTGTTTAGTAGTTCTTCTTGAGCTTTAGATGCATTTCCTGGGAACTTCCTAGCAATAAAAGTCTCAGTAGATGAAGGGATGACATCCAACACTTCTTGAGGAACCAGCTTGTCTGCCAAAATGACATCTGCTGATTTTATTTCTTTCAGGGCGCCCAATGTTAACATTGATAAAGAACCTGGCCCACTACCAATTAAGGAGATAGAACTTTGTATTTTTCTCTTCTTTGATTGAACTTTAGAGATGATATCATCTGTTATATCATATTTGAAATTTCTAGAATTACCAATAGGTAAATTTTTAAATTCTGCAAAATCATCAATGTTCAAGTCGGCCAATCTACTTAACGGATAGTATTCCATAAATTGAGACAACCATCTTGTTCTTTTCAGTTTTTTACCATATTCTGTATTGATTTTTGTAGATAATCTATTAAAATTATGATTATCCCAGCAATCGTCACCATCTAACATACCGTAATCTAATAATAATTTCTTTCCTTCTGGAGAAGAACTAATATTTTCTTCATTAATTATCTTTTCTCTTAAAATCCCCATATTTCTAACAGTTTTTGAAATATTTGATGGTAAATTCGAGACGATTTCTCTTTTGATTCTATTTGCTAATAGACAGCCATTTCCATCAGTGGAGACGGTAATTTGCAAACCACTATTTTCTGGGTCGATATAAGTAGAAGGACAATGGAAAGTTGAGAAATTTCTATTTTGATAAGTGTTAATTGGAATTCTATTTTTTTGGCATGTATTAAATATTTCATTTAATTTAACCGAATCTGTTTCATATAGGTAAACTCTATCGACGACATTATTAACTTCAAATCTACCATGAAAAATCACGTCATTGCCATCATAGTCTTTTTCAAGGACTGAAATATCATGGTTTGGAAATTTTGAATCAATAATTGAGCTCAATTGTTTATCATTACATATAATCTTTGGTATGGCACCTATATTTATAATGGATTTAATCCTAGCAAAAAATGAATTTGAATCGATAGAACCCAAAATTAAATGAATTTCACCTTTACAATCAGACGAAGTGATCAATTGCCTCTTCTGTAATAACTCTCTCATTATGGATTAACTAGTTTGTAGCAGGCCCCTAAAAAGAATATTTTATATTATTTTAAATTTATCGTATTCAATACCTTACTTGATTTCTTCAGCAGCAGAGGTTAGATTAAGACATGAATCAAATCAACCAGTAATCAGTAAATGTTTTAAAATATATATATATATATATATATATATAATTGAGATTGTTATATTAGCATTAGCATTGTCTAGAACTGATGTCTTTATATACCAATTGCCCTTTTATCTCGTATGAATCCTATTTTATTTCATTCCATTTTAATATGTCACTTGTTTTAAGTAGGTTTGCAGCAATGAGCTCATCGTTTCCTTGATTTTTAAACATTTCACAGTGTAGTCCAGTTGTCTCCGCCCAGCGAATGACAAGAAACAGAAAAACCTAACATATCACGTGATATAACCAATTTTCTGTTTACATTCTTTTGGTATAAATCCACGTGACCAAATATATTCTCTTCAAATTGATTTATATATTTCTTAGTCACGTGTTAATATAATAACGTATCATACAGTACCTACAAACCAAGAATATGGATGGATATGGAACTCAAGATGTATGTTGTACTTGTAAGGTGAGATTGGAGGCGTGTTTAGTTTATTTAAGTTAGAGTTTCGTCTCACGTTAGATTTGGTGTGTTCTGAAAGTTTTCTGATTCGATTCCAATCACAAAAGTTTGCAGATTAGGTATGTTTTGTAGATAAAGTGCCTATATATATAGAAACCAACTGCGCATTTGAGTGTCTGCCAGAGATGGATACAATACTGTTGTTCTTCAAAAATACTCTTGATTCGGAGATAGCGATGTATGTCCCGGAGTAGATTTGCCTTCTTATACCCCAGTTAAGTCTTCCTCTTAATTTTCTTGGGAAGTACTGTATGGTAGACTTGCTTTGGCACATCACGTGATCAATTTTTTCACCGTCTTTCTTTACTTTTCTCTTTTCTTTTCTTGTTTTTTTTTCACTTCAACTTCAACTTCCACGTAGAAACAAGAGATAACTAGAGATATATATTATTTGTACAACAGTTGCATTATTTAAGTTGTGATCCTCTTACTACCCAGACAAATACAACATACTACCATAACCGCAAACTGCGCTCACACCAACAAATTAGTACATCCCTCCCCACTTACCTCAATATTCTTTTACTATCAACAGTTTTACCTACTATGGCACAACTACGTCCTTCCACTCCGTCCCAGCTATATCTGACAAACTAAAAGTTTTTAGATATTAGCCACTAACCATCAGTTGTAGTAGTTTCAAGAGGACCAGGTCGAAAAAACCCTACCTAATACTTAAAAAACAGAGAAGGTGAAGTGGTCGGAACACTCTCAAACTCATCACCATCAACTAGTCTGTAAACTTCCAGTGTTCTTGCTGTACATAATTCATACAACCGATACTATTTTTCCATCATTGCAAAGATTATATCGTCTTTTATATTAAAATAAAACAACGCAAATTGGACTCCATTGGTTGGTATACTTGCTAAGACAAGTCAAGATTCTATATCCTTTGCCAAATGCTTCTTCATCCACTGGTAGTTTTCTTGGCCAGTGCACTCGCCGAACCAAAGAGATTGAATTCATATATTACTATATCTGTTCTCTCTTGGTATTGCTTCTTCTTTTGGGGGGTAGGTGAGGGAGCAAGAGCTGGGGAGTGTAATGGGATATCGGAGAGACGTTAGCACAGACAGGGCATCTAGCTTGGTGTAAGTTTTGATTATTACGTCACTAATTGCTATATCGCTGTATCATTCAATCTTCTATATGAATCTCTGTAATACATATCCACAAATATACAATATATTTCAAAATTTCTATTGTATTATTGAATTCCTCTACTCTATGCTCTTCACTTGGTGGGCACAATTTGTAAAAGATTATTCTCTATCTGATTACTAAAACACTTCTCATTTAGTAGATATGTCTAACTGGACCAATTTTGAAAATTCTTAATTTATTGTAGTTTTACTTCGAGGAGGCGGTTTGGCAGTTGATATTTCGAAGAATCCTCTACCTGTGTGTTAAACTAGAGGTTTCTATAACTGCCTGTATTGATTGCTACTGCTGTTGGGTCTCTTTCTTTTCGAACTCGACGGTTATTGTTTTTGGTATATTCTTGATTTCGTCCTAAACTCCCTCTTTAAAATGCTGTATCAACTTTAACCAACTTTATTAGGTTCCTGGTTTGCTACTTTTCTGGCGGTTTCTTATATATCCTTGTTGTTATGATCAGTACCAGGATCCCATCGAGATATATTCACTTACCAATTCATATACTTCAGCATATACACACACATATATATATATAAACATAATACATATACACCTGAATGGCATTTTTATTACGATTTGTTTGAATAATCAACGTACTTGAGCTTGTCTTCTCTATTGTGCATTTATTTTATTATTGTCTGCACTTTGGATCTCGAAGATAATAGTTAAAATCGGTGATATACTTGTGTATCTTCCTGATCAAATTAGTTTAATATATTAGATCTATAATGTCTAACATGGTATCAAAGGCTACGGTTGACTTCGTAGTCGATCAGATTTCAAACAATGCCACAACTTTTCTGTCAATGTACACTTCAGATCAAGACACTTCAGATTCTTACTATAGTGGGTTAGTACCAAATTTGGGTTATAATGTTGCAATGATAGTAATATGGGGTATCCTTCTGGGGATACATGTTTTATTTCTATATTACAAGCAATATTGGTTCGCGGTTACATTGATTTGTACTGGTATTTTGGAAGTATTGGGTTACATAGGTAGAACATGGTCACATTATAATGTCTATGCTATGAATGGTTATCTATTACAAATGGTGTCGTTAACTATAGCACCTATCTTCTTAATGGCTGGTATGTATTATCAATTAGCTAAATTAATTGAAGTATATTCACACAGATATTCGTTGTTACCTTCACCGATGGCATATTCTCAATTATTTATTGTCAGTGATATAGTGTCATTGGTAGTTCAAGCTGCTGGTGGTGGTATTTCAGGTGAAGCGGTTGATAACTTCGAACCATTAGATAAAGGTGAACATGTATTTGTAGCAGGGTTAGCTTTACAAGTTGCTAGTATGTCAATTTTCATATTTTTATGGTTACATTTTGTATTTGTCGTGTTTTATAAGCCAAGGATGGACTTTTTAAATATTAAAAATCCATTTTTAATAGGTAAAATATGGAAAGTTAAACAAGTTGATATTGATCCCATCTACAGAGAGAAATATCACTTCTTGAGGAATTCTGATAAGAAATGGAATAAGTTCACATTATCATATTTCTGTTGGGCATTTACAGTTGCCACATGTTGTATATTTGCACGTTGTGCCTACCGTTTAGCAGAATTGGTAGATGGTTTCCAAGGGTATATTATTACACATGAGGATTATTTCATTGTTCTTGATGGTGTTATGATTGCATTTGCTACAGTTATAATGACGGTTTTCTATCCAGGGTTTGCATTTGATGGTAGAAATGTCAGTATACCAATTACTAAAGGACGTGTTGATCCTGAAACGGTAGCTCAAGATGATGTTGAATCGGGTAGATTTGTTGAATTAACCAATTCATCAAATGATGGCACAATAGAGGAAAAGGAAGATACATCTTCTTTATTTGCATCAAACAAGGAATCAGACCAACCTGCAAAAAAGGGTTTTAAGAAACTACTGAAATTTCAGTTCAAGAAATGATGTAATTGGGATAAATATGGTTAGAGACCACACCTCCTGGTCAATTTTTCCATTTTAATTTAATTTAATTTAATTCTCATAGATAGAAACTTTACGGATAAATACATAAATTACTAATATATAGATAATAATAAAACATAATGAACTAAACATTCAAACAAGTACGATAATTAATTCATCAATCAATCAACCAACCAAACCACAAGATTATAAAAGGATATACACGGTATTAATTAATGTATGATGTAATGAAATGAAGTGATGAATTGTATTGTAGTCAGAATAAGAATGATAACAACTAACCAATCTGATCACCTTGGTTTTTTTTGCAATTACTGCTTAATGCGAAGTACCTATTTTGAACCTATAAAAAAAGACAAATTGCATTCAACTGGCAAGAGTTGAAGACAAAGAGACAAACAAAGAAGCACTATTTTTCCGACCAGAACTGAATCGGTGCCATTATCGAATAACACTTGCAACAATATGATTTCATTTAATTTCATTTCTATTAGTTCGATTCGATTCGATCAGGAGACTGCCCTAGTGATATTGAATTGAAGATAGCATTTGTTAATTCAATCTGAAAAGAGAAAGAGAGTGCAAAGTATATACCCTACCGTTCGACTTAGTGTAGCGTAACATACGGTTCAAATAATAAGAGAAATAAACCAACCGAATGCTAACTGCAACAATATCATCACTAACACGGCAACCAACATCTCGGAAGTTTCCAAGCCTTAAATGCAAACTTGCGTTAACCTCTAAAGAACCAAAATAGGTTTCATAAGACTTAATTGGTTGCATTCTGTTCAACCATGAATACAAAAAAATAGAAATTAGAAATAAAGAGACCTTTAGCTGGGAGAATTGTTAAAAACAAACCAAAAAAATATAAAAAATGGCATATCTTGTATATTGCACTGTAGTAATACATGACTTTTTCCTTATGAGTTCAGTTCCTTCCGTTGTCTTATTCATCCATCCATCTGTTTGTTAGCCTTGAAACCAGTAAATGTTCACTTTGGGACCAACTGTGTGTATGTATCAGTAGGTCTCTGCAAGAAGAGGAAAGCCGAGACGACAGGTTTAGCCGGAAGCATGAATAGAAATAAAACAATAAAAAAAAGTTTTTCCATGGATCTCTCAGTGCTCGAGGGAGAGAGCTCGGATAAATATTGAAAATTTGCATAATGAACACAATAATCTAACAGACAATAATACAATTGCAATTAATTAGAAAAAGAAAAAAGGAAAATTTTTGTTGTAATTCACCTCGGAAAAACTTTTCCATAAGTAATTAATGCGGGGGGAAGAGAGAGAGAGAGACTTAGAGACTGAGAGACAGGATGGAAAAGATTTATTTAATTTATTGTTTGGGCAATGGTAGGGAGTCTTTGAGTGAGATGCAAGCAGGGAATGGGTATATGAAATAGTCTTTTTACTGAAAAAGTCGAGGTAATTTGATATTTTGACAATAGTTTTGTTAAAAATGGTCCTAGAAAAATTGGAACATTCAAATATCAACATGAATAGGTAATATATTTTTATATATATTAAACGCATACATACTCATGTTCGAATAGGTATCTATTTTATATATTTATTCCATAGATTTCTTTATATTTATTATAAGAGAGGGTTTAAGTCGATTAGGATTGCTTTAATACAATTTATTTTTTTTTGACAAGGGAAAAACTATCAAAAGAAATACATTGCATGGTGACCAGAGGAAGTAGTAAATAAATATATTTAAGTGATTAAGATTTTAGCTTGTTTTCTCTCTGTATTGAGTTTTTAAAGGTTTAAACAATATTATTTTTTTTCACATTTCTATTTTTCCTTTGTTATTGGAAGAATTTTTCGATCAAGGAAAAACTCTTTTGCGCATTAACTACAATATAAATATATACAACAGTGTAGTAAATTATAATTAAAGATTAAAACCATACAAACCAAAAATTTAAATTGAAGTAATAAAAAGTATAGTTGATTCGAAAAATAAAATCATATACACATTCACATTGTTTAGAGTAACACCACCTTCATTGGCGTTTGGTTTTCACATTTCTTTATCTCTAAGAATATTTTGACATTACATCAATATTAATTTTCCCTCCTTTTATTTTAAGCAAACTGCAAAATTGTGATTTGGACATCTGGATATGAACAATCATGTGGTAGTTAATGCTCCTCTGGAGTACTCCGACAGAGCTAGAAATAGTATTAAGAAGGCTTTACGTAACAAGAGAGTTATTCCTGATAATAATAATAATAACAATGATAATAATAATACTTTACATAATAATAGAAATTTAGTGCCGAGTGGCTATAATAACGACGATTTAAATTCAATTCATTCAGATAATAAGAGTATCTTTTCTGGAAATTCCTCTTTTTCGAATAATTCCTCCTTTTCGAATAATTCAGTTTTTTCAAACAATTCATCATATTCACAGTTTTCAAGAGAGTCGTCTATAGCATCACAATATTCTGAAGATGAAAAATATGTTCATCCAATACCTCATTTCCCACAATTTATAACCACCCAAATACCATTACAAGATGCACTACCGAAATCATTCTATGATATGTATTCTCCAGAAACGTTACTTTCAAATCATAAATCTTTATTGGAAAATGGGAGACCTTCATTCACTAAAAGAGAACTATTAGATTGGGACATGAATGACATTAGATCCTTATTAATTATAGACAAATTAAGACCTGAGTGGGGTAATCAGTTACCAACTATCATTTCTCCACAAAATGAAGTTTACAATAACCCCAATAGCTCTTATTTACCAGAATTTAGATTCCAACTACTACCATTATCATCAACGGATGAATTTATAGTAGAAACTTTGGTGAATTCAGATATTTATAAAGAAAGTGATTTGGATTCCCAATTTAAATTATCCTCGGCAAGATATACCGTTGCTCAAGCTAGAAAAAGGTATGAATCAGCTAATCCTAATTTACAACAATCTACGTTAATGCATTTATCCAAGCCGGAATGGCGTAACATTATAGAAAACTATTTATTGAACATGGCTGTAGAAGCCCAATGTAGGTACGATTTTAAACAAAAATGTTCAGAATATAAAAAATGGAAGCAACATCAAATGTCTTTACAACCTTCAGAAAGAGTTAATCTAAAGAAACCTGATATGCCACCACCTTCTATGATACCACACAATTTTAACAATACTAATACAGCTTCATCCTTGCTAAAGAAAACTTTAATGAAAAATTTTAATAAAAAACACAGTAGTGAAAGTTCAAGTCCGTTGCTACAAAACAACGAGAATAATCAACTAGACCAAAAATCAGTTAAAATATCCTTAACAAAGGAAGAGAAAGCTAATATTTGGTCACATTGTCAAGCTCAAGTCTACCAGAGAATTGGCTTAAATTGGAAACCAGATTCATTGGCGACCTAACGTTATGATTTATGTTTAAAACGGTTAGGAACCATATATATATATATTTAAGCATACTTATTTAAATGTATATATCAAATTAATGTGAAATGATAATGATATTCAGATTAAAATATTATTTTTTTAATTATTATTTACTTTCCTTAATCTTGAATTATGATAACTTCTGCTTATTTTTGAGAGCAATTATCTTTATAAATATTGGCATCAATGTGTAATTCAATACACACCAAGCTCCTAATATCCCATAGTTTCTACCCATAGAATTTTTTGATAAATCAAAAAATATTACTTTATAAATAGCAACGCCATTAAAGGTTGGGAATGCATAACCATATCTGTAAAAGTTATTGTTAAGTGCCAAAGGAAAAAAGGTTGGCGCGACATTTATAATAATCCATGTCAAAAACCAAATTGGTAAGTATTGTGGGAAATATGTATTAATTAAGGACATCATATTTTCATTTGCTCCACCAACTGCCATCATTACTAACCATGTTGACATCCAGTAAACCATAAAACCAGCGTTACCGAATGCCAGTGTAAAATCTACTTGAAACATTGCTGACACAGTACAATAAAATAATGAAAGGAAAAATAATGTAGTCATTGATATAATTATTCTGAATACAGAAAAATTGGTAAAGTTCAATATTTTAGATGCTTGTAAATATATTGGACCCCATAATCCAAATTGAATCACTGTTAAAATGATAGAAAAAACCGAACCAACTTGTAATGGCGATAGAACAACAGGATTAACAAAAGGTCTCCAATCAATATAATTATATCTAACATTACTGGCTGATATCAATTTATCATTCTGGATAGTTTCATTAGTAGAAGATAGAATACCAGGTAATGTCTTTGACAGGTACTGAGATCTATAGATCGATTCAAATTTATGAGCAATGGGCAAGATAGAACTTTTGAGATTTGAAGGATCTCTTCCAGATTCATAACCAACTTCAAAATAATCTGTCGTATTGAATTCTACCTGACCTGAAGTATTTGATAGAGAAAATTCCAAATCTTTAGTAGCATTTTCCTTAATATTTATTGCAAACCAATAATTTTGATTATGAACAAGTTTAAATATCTTGTCATTAATTAGAGTTGTATCATTTAAACCATACTCATCCATGAATGAGCTTTGATTAAAAAATTTCCAAGTACCTTTTATATCATTATTTTTGTCTTGTACAATGTCATACGCTAGTTGGGATATATTTGAACTACCACCTTCATCTTGTAAAACTGCTAGAATATTAACCTTCTTAATATATCGGTTTCTATCATATGAGGCACCCCAGTAGATTGATATAACTCCAAAACAGTATACTGCTAGGATCAATAAATTAATTAGGAATTGCTTCGATATCTGAAACCTTAAATTGAAGACTTGTTGATTCCAGAAATTGAACTTTGGTGGGACTATATATTGCTGTTCTTTGTCGATGTAGTCATTGTTTTGATCAAATTCAATGCCTTTATTTGAATTATCATTATCATTGGCTGTTGTTGAAGCTGTTGAAGCGTTTGTAACGTCGGAAGAACTTGTCAAAGACGATGTTATATTTAAATCCATAATATTTGGATGTCTTGATATTTTATATTGCGAATCTATTATTTCGTTATAATTACTGCTATTTAATATATAATTTACAAAAATAAATTAAATTAGTATAACAGAGTAAATACAATAATAAAACTCTAATAATGTAGATTATAGAAATAGTTCAATCAATAATATTGTAATCACAGAAGTTGTGGTATTTATATAATTTCCATTATATATAAATATTGGTATTATGATCCAGTATGACATCAAAAATGTGTAACTGAATAGATCAATCAATAATTATAAATTGCTGTTCCCGTTAAATTCAGATATTGGTTCTCACAGTAGAAGGTCAGAAGGAAATTAGACTACCCACATTATTTTAATTTATTAGATAATGTCATATAGAAAAGTGTCAATGATGAGCACTATCTTATAAGTGGGTTCGGTACTCTAAAACAGTTCAGCCATACATCCTTTAGCTTGTGAAAAGGCAAAAAGGCAAAGTGAATAATATTCAAACGGCTACATTTCAATAAAATAGTATTTACTGAATAGAGAGGGAACTATTACACATGGTTAACCCGCATTTCCTATCATCAAATAAATCTTGAGGGTAACAAATAACCAGATCAATTTTGGAACAATGGGTTCCTAGAGCTTCGATCATTTTAAAACTTAAGAGGAGAAATAAAGTTTTCTTAACATTTTAACCCTAGTGGGTGGTAAAACTGTAACAGGTGATTCAAGTATCATCAATTCCATCACTTTCAAAGTTGCAAGGCAGTCCCTTGTGACATCTCTTTCAACTGATTGCATTCATTCTCTTGGATCATAACGTCGGAATGGTTAACCCGTGATGGCTTAATTTCGGCATTGCATTATTTCTAGTATTTAACAATCGGATAAACTTGAAATACCAGAATGTTATAAATTTGAGTACTATAAAAGATATGAACGTTGATTTAATGTTAATGTTGATATTATTATTAGTTATAGTTATATATGAATTTGTCCTTATTATATTAATTAATGAAAATTGTGATTTTGATATATGGAGATATCAAATAATGCAAATTAAAAGTAACGGATATGAAAAATAATCCTGAAAAAGAACAGTAGAATATAGGTATCTATAGAGAATTGAATTATCATTATGATTAGATTTTTAAATGGGAACAGAAATGAATGTGGGTAAACTGAATTAGTTTAAATTATTCCTTTAGCCTTTGCCATTTTTAATGAAGCTTCCATTTGCTGTTGTGCATTTTTCTTCATTTTGGCGCCAGTAAGTTTCATGAATAATGGCATCAATATCCAATTAAGAGCAACCCATGCACATAATATACCGTAATTTCTTCCCATTTTATGTTTTGACAAGTCTAAAAAGATGGTTTTGTAAATATCCACGGCATTATGAACTGGCATAGCATAACCGAAACGATAGAAGCTGCTGTCTAGTGCTAATGGGAAGAAAGTAACTGAAATATTTAAAATAATCCAAGTCAGAATCCAAAATGCAATGTACTGAGCACCATATGCAATAATTAAACCGACCATATTTTCACTTGCACCACCAACAGCTAGCATTACTAACCAAGTTGACATCCAATATACCATGAAACCTCCTCTTCCAAAAGTTCTTGTAAACTTAACTTTATAAACTGCAGAAATAGTACAATAAAATAATGATAGGAAGAACAAAGTAATGACTGAGACAACGATTCTGTAAACGATCAGTTGAGGTATTTTCAATTTTTGTGAGAATGCACCGTGTGTTTTACCCCACAATGCAAATTGAACAATTGTTAAGATAATAGTGTAAATGGCACCGACTTGTAAAGGAGCCAAATCTACAGCATCTACAAATGGCCTATAATCACTATAAGTGAATGCCAAGGAACTTGCTGAGATTAATTTTTCAGTAGAAGGGGGGTCATTCGAAGAGGTTGTTGAATTCACGATAGAAGGTAAAAGAGAGGACAAATAAATCCTTTTATAGACAGATTCGAAGGCTTGTGCCAATGGTAATATAGCACTTCTTAAGTTGGTTGGATCTCTTCCTGATTCAAATCCTACTTCGAAGAATTGCGAAGCATTAAATAATTGGGTATTGTTATTTGATAATGAATTGATCAAAGCTTGAGTTGCATTTTCTTTAATATTAACAGAGAACCAGTAATCTTCATGATGGATAATTTTGAATAATTCTTCGTTTACTACCGTTGAATTTGGAAGATTATAATGTTCAATAAATTCAGATTGGTTGTAAACAGTCCATGTACCTTTAATGACAGAGGTATAATTTTTCAAAACTGAATAACCTAATTGAGATAGAGGAGATTGGCCATCTTCATCTTGGAATAATGCAATGAGATGAACTTTATGAATGAACTTGTTTCTATGATAGGAAGCCCCCCAATAAATACATAAAACGGTGAAACACATGCAACCTAATAAAAACAGATTGATCAAGAAACCTTTACATAATTCAAATCTCAGATCTTTTAAAGAATGATCCCAGAAATTAACACGAGGAGGTTCATCATTTTGCAAACGTTCGTTGTCGACATTTTCGCCTGAATCATCTTTTGAAATATATTCTTTATTTAAATTCAATGAATTTACTTCATCATAAGAGTCTGATGGTGGTTCCACAGTAGCATTGCTCTCTTTCATCTTGAGAATATGTGATATCTTAGCACACCCGAAGAAGAAGAAGAGGACAGATAATTAGTCTCTTCTAAGAACGAGAAGTTTAACAGAAGGAAAGAAACCTTAAATTAGGATGAGATGAGACTAGAGGCATGAATCTAATGTGAATGAAAAACTAAGGAGTTTTTATATCTCATCGAATATGAAATCAGTTTCGAAACACATTCATTGTAAGCTAGCTCACTTTCTGTATCAAAATGATGATGATGATGGTCTTGAGAGAAAGACTGGCTGGGGTAGGATACTAACACAGAAAGAAGGGAACGGAAAATGAAAACAAACAAATAGAAAAGTCTGTCCAATTCAAAAAGTAAAAATAATAGAAAAACAAAAATAATGAGATATTTGGCAATAGCATTACAAAGAAAGCATTGATGGAAATAGAACTATGGAATAAGGAATAAATTGTTGTTTCCTTCAAAATAGTTGACGATGAGCGAACATTGATGTAATTTTTAACATATGTCAATTGCAGCAGTAGAGAACTCTGAGAGCCTTGCAGTTTTGGTCTGATGGGGTTTAGAAAAAAAGAAAAGACGAAAACAGAAAAACAGAAATAGAACAAAGAGAAATTGGCGTAGCAACTGGTTCCACCAAGGATATCTGAAAAGAAACGCGCAGTCGACGTTTTAAGATTTTTTTGGTTGGGAAATGGACATGTCTTAATTAGGACATAGAGAATGCGTTGTAGTGAAGCTGCTTTGAAGCCGCTTATTTCCTCTCCCATTCTGAGCTGTCCGTTATGTTACGTATATTATGATTTCAGTATGGTGTGAACGTTACACGGTGGAAACGGAAATTTGGGAGATTGATGGCTTCTCTGTTCGAGCACGTATCATGTGATAAACTATAGTTATGTAATAGTGTTCTAAACACAGAAGCACATGACATCTCAATTGAAACAACCGGTCTCTCTCTCTCTCTCTCTCTCTCTGTCTCTGTCTCTCCCTTTCTTGGCACCGATTTAGTGAAGCAGGTGGTACAGTTGTCTTTCCCCCAAATGTCGTCGTACTCACGGAATTCTGTCATATGGCTTCGTGGCCCATATGCCTGTCCAACTTCTGCGCACGTGACCACCGCAACAACTGGGGCAGAGGCCACTCTTACCTTGTTTGTAATCGCTTTCGGGAGGGGGGAACGCACGGGTCAGAGATCGAAAGTAAAAGGAAATAGAGAATGAGATGGTTGGTAATATCCATGGAAATAAGGTGTTTGGGTATCTAAGCTGAAGTATTTGAGCTACGTCAAACAATGAAATACTCATCTAATGACATGGTCAGATGACATCGAGGTTGAAGATTTGTAATAGACGATATAATCTTGATGCTTATGTGAGGGTCCTTCTCCCTTATATACCTATTCTCAAGTGTCCAGAAGACCTAATATGTTATATAGTGTAAGTGTTGAACTGACTGTAACGTCGCTTCCTTTGTACTGCAGCATACCACGTAATAAATGGTTCTTTGCTATAAATATGACTATAATACATTATACTTAAAGTTATATATATATATAACAACTTTTGAATTCTAGTCTTGAACTATGCAGTACTGTTCCTTACCAGCACCAGTTACAGATACTCTGTAAGTATTTAAGCGACTAACTATTTATCATCGTGTATCTTGTAAATTATATAGAAGTTAAGGGACCATAATGAATAGCCACTGTCAGGCCATTGCGTCCGCCTCATCATTCCCAGATAGTTCAAAACGAGAGATATCACAACTTCAATTCCAAATCATTTTCTACATTCTCTTCGTTAAACGTCACAAAACACAATAATGCACACTACCTGAAGTTTGAACTTTTGATCTTAAATAGTGACACTACTATAGTGACATAATATGGAAATGGTCAATCTCCTGTCTGAATCGTTTCATTTCCATTAACCATGCCTTGTGTTCCATTGCAACAACAAAAGATACCAATCAATTCATTCAAATTGGTTTGGCCAGCTTCAGAAGAACATGTTCTTGATTTAGATCACAAGAGTCCATATCCTAATGAAGATAGGATTGATGTGACAGACGACGGTTAGTTGACAATAATAAATCCAATTGAAACACTATAATTGCAGCGTCGTACATTCCCCAATGTCAGTGAATCAACTAAAATAAAATAAGAGGACCTGTCACTTTGTTTGCCATTTTACGTTATGATCCATCTCCTTCCTTTATGCCGATAGACAATTCGACAGACAGACAATCAGACACATAAATTCAAAGATGGGGGAGAACAGTCGACTCCGTTTTTATTTCCTGTCACACACGTGACCCATCTGATTTCAATTATGTCACACAGCACACATAAAATTAAGAGACCACTAACTGAAGACCAATTGGAACAAGAACTGAAAACTGTATATTAGCTTTTCACAGCTATCCATTGATTTGTACTTGAAACCGTACTATCTTAAAATTTACCACAAAATGCTCCATTAACTAATGTATAAATAAGATGTACATATTCACATCTATATCAAACGTCTTGAAATTACAGTTCTATCCTTGTTATTTTTTTTACCTAGATTCACTATTTTAACTTATTATTCTTATTCTCTAGCATCAGAACTAGCACCATCGCAACCACCATCGCAATCAATCTACAGCAATCTTTATTTTTCCTTCTTCATTCTATCCTCTCTATACAAATTATTCTCAATCTACAATGTCAAACCTTATTATGAATGTAATCATGGCAGCCCTATTGCCTCCTGTGTGTGTCTACCTATTGAAAGGTTGGGGCACTGACGTCATTATAGATATTATTTTGACAATATTAGGTTTCTTCCCAGGTGTACTATATGCATTATATTGGGTGTTTTATTCCCCTATACCTATAAAGGCTAAGAACCACCATACGGGTTGACACTAAATATATCTGATGAGATGAAAAGTCGTCTGGATTAATTGACTGTCAAATTCGATTCTTCATTTCATTTATTCTAATTTTTAGTTTTACTTTATTTTGGTTTTAATGTTTGTACTTCCAAACCAGTTCATTAACAATTATCATGTTTTCTTTAATATTTAATATTTAATATATAATACGTTCTTTATCTACTGCTTTATATTGTTTTAATTTGCATATTATTATTTACTCAATTGCTTTTATCTTTAAATTCATATTTTATTTGATTATTTTTCGTTTCCATATATACAAGATTATATATCATATACAAAATAACTAAGTGATAGGTATCTATGTATACATTACGCACACACTTACACACTTAAGATGGGACAAAATTCCTTTATAGATATAGTCATCAGTACCCACCCTTTACAATTCTGGAGCCAACATTTCCATCAATGGAGAATGAATAAAGGCAACACCAGCAACGAAAAATGCACCGTTAACTAATACTGTATACATTGGTGATTCTCTAAACTCTTGGAACTTTGATTTTGGCTTTCTTGGCATACCGGCACCTGCACCTTGACCTGGAACTTGAAACATACCTGACATCTTAACTGTATTACCTTCGTTGACTCAATTGACAAACTTTTCGACCAAGTGTATCAATTTATACAAATCATGAACCTCCTTTTGAAATATCTTAACCATCAAGACCAGTATAGCATATAGTTTTTAAAAATTTGTATTCAATTTCGTTATTCTAACCTTTTTAAAAATATCAACATTTTTAGTAATGTTATACGTTACGCATAACAGATCATGGCTTCTTTCTCTATAATGAATGAGCTGGTGGGCAAGAACGATATAGTAACGTTTGAAGCTGGTTGGTCCAGTGTAATTCAGTTGATACCTTGATATATATTCGAATTTGCAGTTCTAATTCTTATATAATTATTACATAGTCCTGGAAATTAAGTATTTCTTTCACCGTTTCAATGTGGGGGAGGTGAGGGGGACTAAAATTTATTTGATTCTGGTGTAAATGTTCTTGAATTGTCAATTGCTGTCCATTCTCATTACACTTGTTTCTTTATTAAAAGACTTATAGAGATATGATTGACATTTTCCAATCCTTTGGTCTTTTTATCGATTTTATGTAATTAATTTGTGCAATTTTATTGTTAAGAAATAAAATACGTCACGTGAAGTCTGATGATGTCTCTTAAATTAATGATCCTATATACATCACTACCTATATTCATGCTACATTTTATTGGATACCTATCAAACTTAATTCTAGGGTCCATACTCTACGTATATGAATCCTTACTGGTATACGTATTTTGTTCAATTCAGTTCCATCGTCAGTAGCTGGCGTGAACAACCTCACTGTTTGAACAGTAGATCCTTCTTTTGATGGTACTATTTTACCATATACTTCTACATCTAATTCTATTTCTTCGTCTCCCCACCAACATTTACGTGCTGGTTTCCTCCAGAACAGTAGTAACTTTGTGTTTATATCAGGCTTGGGGACCAAATCATATAATTGCGGTGTGTTGTTATTTTTATCTTTATTTGATATGGCCCATTCTTCTCTTCTCTGTTCATACTGACCTCTGAATTCTTCGGTAGTTTCATTATTGATACGGCATAGGGACAATGAACTAATGACGGTCTTACCATGTTCCTGGGTTCTGTTTTCCCATGTTGAATCCTTTTGGAATCCTGAAGAGCATAGCATATCCATCAAGTGTTGTTCAGCTGCACCCAATTTATAATTTAGTGATCTTATGCCATCGTGATTATTATTATTATTACTATTATTATTATTATAACTCCTATTATGATTAGGACTACCAGTCTTGGAATGAATAGAATTCGAATCTCCGTTTTTCAGCCTGTTGGAAGAATACAACCCGTCGAATATCGAGGTTTTGTAAGCAAGATAGTCGCCAGCAGCTATCTTTACTTCGCTCATTATATGGTGTAATAAATCACTTTCTGTAATTTGTGGTGCGTTTTTAGAATCCACTTGAAATTCGAATTCCACTTGTGGGACACAATAGTAGTCCAAATCCTCTCTTAATACAATGATTACAGGTTTTTCATGTAACAAATCTTCTTCTGAAGACTGTTTATATTTCAACAGATTTTTTTTGTCGTTACCGTACATGTCTTTTAGACTTGGTGAAAAGAGATGAGAAGGGAATTTCGCCAAATCTTCATATGCCTGTGAGTAGATGTTTAAAATGTATTCGAAACAACTAGAAGGGAAGTCTGCGATGTATACTTCATCCTGTGGGGTCAAATTTGTAATGACTTGTCCATTTATATCTAAGAATACCCCTGACGGAAACAAACAGAGCAATAGGGATTCAGGCAAGGACATCAATTGATCTCTTGTCAAGAAATAATGAGAGCCTTGGATATTTAGATGAATCAATGAATCCTCAGCATCTTGGTTTGAATCCAAATCACTTCCTTGCTGTTGCAGCAGTGGTCTGGAGCCACCTTCGGAGACTTGAGTAACGATGTTTTGCATTTCAGAGATATATTCTCTTTTAACAACTTGTGATTCTTGAAAATAAACTAGTTAAAAATCCAAAAGAATCCAGTTCAACAGGAAGAATAGGTTTAAAAATAAGGTTCCCTTATGAATTTCTTGATATTCTTCAAGAGACAAAATTAAAATTAGAATTCGAATTAGAAGTGAATTAGAAACTAAAACTAAAAAGAAAAAGAAACCACCCCCCAAAAAAATGAAATAAAAAAAAAAGTCAGCTGTCTAGCCAAAAACAAAAATTATATATAAAACCTGGTCCAAACAGAAGATAAAGATCTGAAGAAATTGCAGAATTGACACTCCAATTCTCAGAAACAAATCTCCCCAAAATGCCAGCCAAAGACAACAAGACAAAAACCTGAATCTCTCTCTGTTTCCTGATAGCTCTTCTTTACAAACTATAAATCTAAAAATACAGTTCAAAAAGGAGAACGACGATACACCAGAACAATTGAATCGAAAACAGTCAATTAATGAACCTTGATAACTGTCAACCTTTAACCACAAGCAATTCAACCCATATCTCATCAACAAAATGCAATTAAACCTGTAAATATAGTTCAATCAATCATTGAAAGCATATAAAACCTTCTCTTGATGTGATGTGATGTGATGTGATGTGATCCTTTGCCAATTTTCCATTTCGTCAAAATTTCGTCAAATTTCGATATCGAATCGTCGTTTTTCTTGATGGTTCTACGGCTGTTTCTCCGTAAATTTGAAAAAAAAAGCCATCGATTTCGATTCTGGTCAAGAAGAAAAAAAAAAATACCCGAAACCCTCTGACGTCAAAAGGGGAAAGAACTTCGAGATATTCGAAACTGGCAAAGGCATCGCCAGGCATTACAGGGTCAGTTTCAGTTTCAGTTTTAGTTTCAATAGATTTTGCAGGCAAGGGGAGAGAGGGATGGGGATGAGATCTTGATTCAGTACTGGCGATCGATGAGTTACAATGCAATACAAAACAAAACAAAACTTATTTATACATCTGGGTAATGTTATATATACTTCATATATATATACTTTAAAAAAGGTGGGAGGTGCCCCAGAGTTATTAGAAGTCGTGGTGGTGGTGGTGGTGGTGGATATGTACGTCTGGTTATATTTCATCATCACTGTTAATCAGAAAATCGTCTTCGTCTGGGTTCGACAGCTTTATCTTGGTTGGTGTCTCTGATTCTGGCATCGGTGTAGGTTTCAACTGTTGCACTTTGCGACTGCTCTTTTCTGGTGTGTCGATGTGTGTCGTTTCCGCAACTACTGTCTTGCTGGTATCCGTGTGGATCGAGTCTTGGGTTCTTGTCCTTGTTGGTAGTTGTGGTGGGACGTCATCTTCATCGTCTTCGTTGCGCAATGAGATACCATGGTTTTCTAATGAGTCTTCCCCGACCCTAGCTCCAAATGAGTTGAATCTGTTGGTCTCAGGCGCTTTCCGGTTTCCTTGAGGTCTGCCCATGTCGCCAGCGCTTTCTTCAATATTTTTGTCGTTATTATAATCCCCATACGTCGAAGGTCTATAGTTATCATATCTGTATCTATTCTCTTCAAGTCCATCTTCCCCAGCTAAATTCTTCTTGATTCCACCGATCCAATTGTTGAACCTAGAGGCTGTCTCTTGGAATTGACGACTGGCTGCGTCTTTGATTTCTGGTAGATCCTTGTTGACAAACGTAGACCACGAATCCTCTTCATCATCGCCGTAATAGTCTCTGCTTTCAGAGGCCGTCAATGGTGTTTGACGTCTTCTTTCACGGTCCCTCATCCTCTGGTCGTGCTCTCTTCTTTCCGACTCATTGGTATAACGTCCTCCTCTGGATCTATTGTATTTCTCATCCAGTTGACGAGCTAATATTTCATCTTGTTCTAGCTGTGTCATTCTTCTTCTTGCTGTTCCTGGAGATGGCTCACGTTTGATTGGACCTCTTGGAACTTCTATATCACTGCCCATTGGGTCAGATAAATATAGCAAAGCATTGAACGATGGGTCAATAGAACCTTGAGATGCAATCAACACAGCTTTAATGCTATTTTCATCGATATTAGGAAACGCTTCTTTCAATTGATTGAAAAGTGGATTACCTGACTTTGGCTCAGCTTTTCTAACCGGCTCTACATCTTCTTCGACAACTTTTCTCCTAGTTGGCAGTGGGGGACATTCTGCATCTGCTGATTCACCTTGTTCCTTGGCTTCCTTCTCTTCAACTGCTGGAGATTCTTTCTTGGTAACTGCTTCAACCTCTGGTTCTTCAGTCTCTGACCTTTCATCAACTGGCTCTTCAACTTGTTCGGCACCAGAAGCTTCAACTGCTTCGACATTAGAACCTGTCTTTTCTTCATCAAGTGAAACATCTTCAACATCCCCTGTGGTTGCAGCTGCAACTTTATCTTCACGTTTAACCATCTTTCCAAAACAATAAATCTACAAATAACACAATAAAATTAAACCAATTACCTTCCGCAACAATGATTGGATACCTGACTGATCAACCTTTACAACTTTATCCTTTCTTTTGTATTGGTCAACTTCACTGTTCTGAAACTTGATTCAACTTTTTATACCTGGGTGACATTGAAATTTCCATAACCGAGCCTCCTTAATTATGGAAAGATGGATGGACAGTGTCTGTCAGAGATCAGAAACCAACAGTCAACCATTGCTAACGACAGCAAATTGACTGTTTGAATGTTCAAGAGTATGTTTCTTTGTTGTTTGATGGTGTAGATTGTTGTAAATATATGTATTTATTTGAAATTGATAAGAATAGTAATAATATATATAGATGATAATATATATTAATATATTTATAGAAAAGATAATTCGTTGGAACGTTATTTAACAATGACTGGTGAGACAGAGGGGGAGATAATATTAATTACCAACTATATGGCACCTTTTATACTCTTGATGAATAGCTCCAGATCAACTGTAATCAAACATAAGAAGTTGTATTGGGTCTTGCATTTAGCTTCGCTGTGTTTCTAGAATCACGTCAGTAATACTGAAGGACTGGAAGCAGTAGTAGTGGTAATAATAAGAATAGATTATAGTAATAATAGTAATTTAGAGACAAAACAGTGATTGCACAAAGAGTGGGAATATATTGAATATTGACATTTGAATAGGAATATATTGTCACATATAAGTTTTATGTGAGGATGCAAAAACCAGGATGTAGTGAAATTAACATTAAGGACAGAAAAATAATTATGATACTGATAAAGGGAAATTAAAAAAGAATGGTGTCAAAACATGGTTGTTAAATTGTTACATGGTGTTCTTCATGAATCGTAATTTTTCCATTACTTTATCTCTTGACCATTTGCCAATCTTGTCTCCAACAGCCTCTCTAATCTTTGGATCTTCTAATCTCATAAACGGATTGTATTTCAATTCATCTAGTACTGTGAAATGACCAGTGGTGACTTCATGAGTATTGCAATATTTTTCAAATTCATCGAAAGATGTATTATCACCAGGATTTTTATATACAAATTTTCGAATGAATTCAGCATTACCCTTTGAGTATTCGTGGCCTGGATAGACTTTAGTTAAAGGCCAATTTCTTTCACCTATCCCTTCCAATAATCTTAAATTCAAAGAGACGTCCATATCGACAGCACTCCCCTCGAAGAATCTACCACATCCGCCAGAAAACAAAGTGTCACCGGAGAATAAACAATTTTGAGCTGTCTCTGAATCCTTTACGTAATAGCAAATTGAATCCTGCGTATGACAAGGTGTTCTAATACAAACGACCTCCAAATTCCCTAATTTGAAGACATCCAAATGCTGAGGAACAACTGAGACACCAAAAGAAGCATCAGAACCAGCGATTACTTTTACATTATTGTGTCTTTTCCTCAAAGTTGTAGTCAACGTAACATTACCTCCAGAATGATCGTAATGATGGTGTGTATTCACAACAGCTACAATGCTTCGCATCTCTTCTTCGCTCAAAGCAGGCAAGACTTCCAAGGGTTCAGCTGGATCAATTAACCACGATTTTGTTTTATCCTCTGAAGATAATAAATAACAGTAATTGACCCCACCAACTGCCCATCTCATCTTAATTGCTTTAACATGCATCTTTGTTTCTTTGAATATTGCCCAATTTTTAAAATTTTTTCTCTATGTGGGCCCAACGTAGAGTTTCTAACGAATAATATATCAACCACAATCGAAGCACTTCCCAAACAACAATCAACAAAAGTCCTTCCTCTATACAGATTTCCAGCTATTGTTCCTGCTCTCAACAACACCTGTCCACTTGGATCAAACGTTACTCCTATGATTAACTTCAATCAACCTTTAAAAGCAGCCTTAAAAAATGTTTCAGAATAACCTTCGATGTTTTCTAGAAGTATCCTGTTCTCCAAGTTCTTCCTATGCAAGCCTAATTATAAACACAACCGATACCAATCTAGCAGACCTGAATCAAGACCTATCCTAGCCACTATCTACCTGACTCTTGCCACTTTTAACATCAAAATCCTTCAAAGTATTGCTATTTTTAATGATATTTTAAAGGTTCTTTTTTCTCATGATGTTATCTTGGCTGGAAAGGACCCCCGTTGCTAATTAAAGAGTGAAAAATTTTTGATGGTTTGGTGACATAAGAGAGATGAAGTCATCGAAGGTTGATTCGATAGTTTTCGTTGAAGTATTTGGTTGCTGTGGGGGGGATTGTTTGATTCATTGATTCGTTGATTGATATATGATTGGATTAACTTATGTATTTACTATGTTTTTATATATTAGTCTGGCTAAGGTTTGAGTCGATTTGAAACTTATTGGTTAAGTTAGTGATTGAGATGAAGATGAGTTGTCGTTGTTGTCATCATTGTTTAGTAGATTTGTTTGTAGCTCTATATCTTGTGATGAATTATTTGTTCTTGTTAGGTGGAATGGTTTCAACCAGGAATGGGTCGTGTCTCTGGTACTTGCTTGCCTTTTAATAGGTGCAGTTGTAATGTCAAAAGGTTTCCAACGTTTTAATGCTAATGAACTTAATACCACGCTTACTGAGCTCATTGCCATTGCTAACGATGCAGCGATTGGGTGTAGGATAATCCCCCATGGTGCCAGAAGACCCATTGCTACAGGGATCATAAATGTATTGTAGAAAAGTGCCCAGAATAAATTCATTTTAATTCTTCTGAAAGTCTTCTGTGAGATGTTCAATGCATACGCTAGCCTTTTCAAAGTTGATCGTTTTGGATCCTCATCACTTAAAATTACTACATCTGCTGCTTCCAATGCAATATCTGTACCTGTGGAGATTGCGATCCCTAGATCGCTACTTACTAATGCTGGTGAATCGTTTATACCGTCACCAACAAACGCAATCTTTTCATTAGTTTCGTTTTGAAGTTGTGCGACTATCTCACATTTACCATCTGGTGTAACTTCACTGTAGACATTGTTGTATGGAATGCCAACAGTGTTTGCTATTTTCATTGCAGAACTATGGTTGTCACCGGTTACCATATAACATTGATAACCTAGAGCCATTAAATACTGTACAGTGTCATAAGCATCACTTTTAACTGAATCAACTATTTCAAATCTACCGATTAGTTTACCATTGATGGAAACAAATGACACAGTATATCCATCTTCCACATTGACGTCATCTTTCAATTCATTGCTAAATAACTTCTTGCTTCCAATAATAACATCGTAGGATTTCCCATTGACTTCACATCTACACTTGATACCTTTTCCCAAAACAGTTTCATTACTTATGATTTCCATATTAGTAGGAACTGAAATGTTCTGATCCATTATTAACATTTCGCAATAGTTTTTAATTGCCTTAGAGACAGGGTGTTCAGTTGTTCCACACGCGGCTTTGATAACCATTATATATTCACCGGTTAATTCGACGTTGTTTTCAGGTATAAATGTTTCAGCATCCATACAGCCAGTGGTTAGAGTGCCAGTCTTATCAAAAATAAAAATTTTAATTGCATTGAATAACTCAAGTTTATCGCCACCTTTAATTAAGACACCATTTTCTGCACCGATACCAGTTCCGACCATTATTGCTGTTGGAGCAGCTAAACCTAGAGCACAAGGACAAGCAACTACAACCACTGAAATTGCAATTTGGAAACACATATAAAATTTGCCATGAGTTGAATCAGCAAATACTGGTGGGAGATGGTCGAAAACCTTGCAAACTATTCCCCATATAATAAATGTCATTAGGGACAAAAATAAAATGCATGGAACAAATATCGAAGCTAAATAATCAGCATATCTTTGTATTGGAGCCTTTGTCATTTGTGCCTGTTTCATTGTTTTAATGATATTTGATAACCTTGTATCGTCACCAATATTGGTTGCTTTGAAATAAAATAAGCCAATGCCATTAACCGTACCACCTATTACGGCATCTCCTATGCTTTTTGGAACGTATAAAGATTCACCAGTCATGAGAGACTCATCTATTTCGGTTTCACCTGAAGTGATGATACCATCTGCAGGAATTCTCATACCTGCCCTAACCTCGATTATATCCCCAGGTTGAAGATATTCAGTGGATATTTCCAATGGGGAGCTAGCGTCGCCATTTTCCAATATAGTACAAGTTGATGGAGTCAAAGAGATCAACTTTGACAATGCTGTTGAAGTTTTAGCTTTTGCCTTATTTTCTAGATATTTCCCAAAGGAAATGAATGCTATTAACATCGAAGAAGTGCTGAATATAACGTTTGGAAGAGCATCACTGCTATTTTTGTTATTAATGTTGTAAATTATTGAATATATTGAGAAAGTGTATGCAAATGTAGTTGAGATGCATACTAAGGTATCCATAGTACCAGCGCCGTGCTTGTAAGAACTCCAGGTAGCGCGATAGAAGTATATACCTAATTTAAATTGGACATAGGTTGTGAAGATGAAACTTATAACATCACGATAATATAATCCTTTTATGAAAGTTTGATTGTAAGGAAATAATTTCTGTTTCATTAGATGGGGAAATCCCATTGGTATCCACATGTATAATAACATATTTAATACCGATATAAAGAATGATTTAATAAAAGTCGATTTCCAATATTGTATTTCTTTAATCCTTGATAAAAGCTTTAATTGAGTTGAATTGTCTAGAGTAGAATTTACCATAACATCATAGCCAAAAGAATTTAAATTATTGACAATACTGCGAATTCCCAATAAATCTTGATTATATTCGATTGTTGCAGAACCATCTTCCACAGATATATTTGAAATCAAACCATTCTTATTTATATCATTGAAAAACAGTTCCAGTTCATTTACATTCGACGATTCATTCAACCCAATTAGTTTAAACGGTATTTTCTTCAAATGACTACCAATTTTATTGGAATCTTGATTAAGCTCCACCTGAGAAACGATATTTGCGTCAAACCCACAATCTTCGATAGTTTCCTTAATATCTTGAATTGACACTACGGAAGGCACGAATTTTACATGGCACTCTTCGGTAACCAACGATACTTGAACATCTTCTACACCATTGATTTTTTCCAACTGATTAGTTATAGTGGATGTGCAAGCACTACAAGTCATGCCTTGCACCGTAAGCAAACCCAGATTCAAATTCAAATTCAAATTCAAATCGGAAGAAGCAGTTTCTTGGACATCAGTGGATATAAACTCACAGTCAAACCCACAATCTTCGATACAATTGAGAATATCTTGAACAGTAGATAAACTTTCATCATAAACTGCAACACACTCGTTGGTGACCAATGAAACTTGACAATTTTTGACACCTTCAAGGGACTCTACCTGAGCAACAATAGTGTTAGTGCAAGCACTGCATGTCATACCTTCAACGACAAACAACGAACGTCTCATAATGTATCGGTATCAGCACACAGGCTTATATATATGAGTCTAACCAGCTTCTCGACGGAGTTTTAAGTTCAGTACCTTTTATGGGATGGAGTGCTCTTAGAGTCAGGGAAACAACTAATATGAAACTGAAACCTCCAATACCAATGAGGGATATCTGCTAACCGAAACAAACAGCAACAGCTTCTATTTATATGTGTCTCTTGGATATGAATGTGCTATAAATAAACTTTGTTGTGGTTCTTCTTGATCTAAATGTCATCTCATCACCCAGGTGAGAAATCACCACTGGCAATAATCTTTTGCACCCGAAGCAAAGGCACAACGATTAGTTCACCTGATTTTGCATTGGTCGATACAAAGGTGTCAGTAAATGGGTTGTTGATGTGTTGATGTGTTGTTAGATTATATATTTATGAGAAATGCTATATTAGTTTATGTATATATCAGAGTTGGGCTGGGTTGGGTGTGTGAATAGGGGCCCAGGACAGGACTGTAAGTGTAAGTGAATTGGTTAGAGACGGTGCTCGATGTACTATACTATACTATACTATACTATGATTTGTAACCTCCATTTTTGTTCAAATTGATATTTGAATCGGTTAATCTTCCTTGTAGTTTGGACCTTTGTAGTTCTTGCCAACGGGCCAGTTGTGCCTGTTTGTGCAATTGGAAGCCAAAGACCTTTGGTATGTATTTTTTGACTGGATGTCTTGGTACCAGTTCAGGGAACGTTTGTAAAAACATACCTGCGAAACTTGTGCCGAAATAAGCACCGTCGATAGAGTTGTGTCTGGTTGATTTTGGCAGATAAATGTCTTCGCAAGCTGGACAGTACAGTTTGACACTCTCGACACCTGGGATATCAGACAATCCGATCGGAAGCAACGGTTGGCCATTGCAATAGACTCGAGGACACCTACCGAAATCAGAATTCTTATATTTGCCAGCCATTTTTTGTAAACCCTTTGTAGTGATGATATACCTTGCGTGGATCATACCATAAGTTTTCTTGCTGTCGATTTCCAATTGTTCCAATTTCGATTGGGACATGTTTGCAATGGCGTTCTCGTCCAATTCGTCGACAATGTACTGTATTACCATTGAGAACTTGCTGACGGTTTTCTGCAAGTTCATCAGATTGAACCGATCTGTGATGTAATCTGGGTCTATATCGCAGAAGTATTCATGGCCCTTTTTGACCAAAAACAGGTCGATCCACAATTCGACGTACTCTGATCCATCGGAGGGAGACCCAGAAGAAGGGGACCCGACAGCAGAAGAGGGTATATTATGTTTCTTACCTTCAGTCATCCAAAGAGTACTGCACTGTAATAGAAAAGCGAGACCTCACCAGCAATAGTATACTGAGGGATTGCCCGATTGCCAGAATGCCAGATTGCCCGATTGCCAGATCAATCAAACAAACAATCAATCAATCAAATATCCCCTTGATAAACACAAATCCCAATTCTTAAACCTCAACTAGAACCCCATCGACCTCTCATCTTCATCACCTCTTGAAGCTGCTGGGCATCCAAAACTTTGACGGTGAAATTTTTCATTTTTGATTTGGCCAGTTGGAAAGGTTAAAGGTCAAAAAAGAATTGAAGATAAAAGAAGGCAACGGTTTGTTTGTTTTGGTTGTTTTTGATGTGTGTTGATGTTTTGGTTTGGGTTGGGTAGTTGGCAGGCTATCAGTTGTGGACCATGAAGTTGTTGAAGTTCCCCTTGGGCGCTGAGAACAGCAGTTTGAATGCTATTGAATCTGTTGATAATTGGTTGATTATTGTCGATAACGAGTGTCACGTGACTGTGTGGGATCAAAGAGAACTCATAAAGGCAGCTTTCGATCAGATAAAGATCAATGACTTGAGCAGCAAGTTCAAGTTCAATGCCTATGCTGGTGGGATGGTTGTTCGTCTGGGCGTCAAGAATGGTGGTGGTGGTGCTGGTGCTGGTGCTGGTTCAGACAGCAACGGTAATGCGAAAAATGGCAACAAGAAGGATAACGATTTGAAATTTGTCATTGGTGATAAGAAGTATCTGTTCATAGGTACAGACCACAAGGTGTTTCGGTATACCGATTGGATCGAGAGTGTCGAGGAACTCAAGATCCCGGTTTGGGAACCGGTCTTTGAGTGTGGGGTCAGATCCATCATTACCGATATTAAGTTGGACAAAAAACTGAATATTCTATTTATTATAATGGGCAACAGGAATAAGATACACCTGTATGATGCTACCACCTTGGTGAAGCTGTCAGATATAAGTTTGCCAGAGAATGTAAAACCCATCACAGGTGTGGTGGATCCAATGGGGAAGACTTTCACCGTGTACGGTTTGGATAGATCGATTATAGTTTACCAAGTCAACGAGAGAGGGAAGTTCAAACTCTTGAATAAGTTGACCCAGTTTACTCAATTGTATCCATTGAACTACCATATACAAATGTCACCGCAGGCCGATGCTTTGCCCGTGTTGAACTCTATTAAAGGTGCCTCCTCTACGTCGACAAATTCGACTATATTACTGGATAGAAACGATAATTATAAAATAATAACAACGCTGGTGACACCACCACACATCAAGACTAAAGTGTTGAAGTACTCCCCGATGGTCTATAACAAGTTGAACGTCAAGAAAAATACCAGGATGGTATACAACCTTTTGGCAACCTCCGGAGCTGCTGAAGGTACCATAATGATTTGGAATACAAAAAGGGCAAAACCACTTTTCAACGCTCTGAAAGTTTCAGATACTCCAATCAACGATATGGTTTGGGCTGCTGATGGTATGACACTGTTTGCGATTTCAAATGATAATGTCTTGTATAATTTTGCATTCCAAGAATCTGATTTAGGTGAAACTTTGTCGCTGGAAGAGGTTCAAAAGTTACAACAAAAGAACAAACAATTGCCAGAGCTGGTGGAAGAAGTGAAAGAAGAGGTGGTTAAAAAAGATGTTAAAAAAGAAGTTAAAAAGGACACTAAAACTGAGACCAAGAAAGAACTGGTGAAACCAGATGTTAAAGTTGAAGAATCATCATCGGTCCCAGCTTCAGCGTCCCCTACACCGCAGCCAGAAAACGGTAAACAAGTTCCAAAAACTGTCAAAAAGAAGGTTAAAAAGAAGGTTCAAGTTCAAACCACTACTCCTGTAGTTCAAAGTTCAACAGTGGAATACAATCTAACTTCATATAGTGTGCCGAAGGATTTAAAACGTAAACCTAAAGAAGAGAATGGAACTGAGTTGACAAATAAAAAACAGAAAAAAGACTTGGAACCAATGGATTTTTTGGATACTGGCCTGTTGTTCCCAACAGTCTCTTTCTCAAGAGTAAGATTGGCTACTCCAAAAATTAGATTGTCCTTTGAATATTCTCCAACTTCAAATAAAAACCTGGTTCTCGACATTAAAAATGGTTCAGGTAATGAACAGAAACCAACAATAATTACCTTGACCTCAAATATTTTAGATCAAAGTAAAGTGTTGTTCAAAGACTACATTCCAAAATTTGTGACTCTATGTTCAGCTGGTGATTCATTTTGGTGTTGTGCTACAGAGGATGGTACCATATACGTATATTCTGATTCTGGTAAACGAATACTACCACCATTGATTTTAGGTGTTCCTTGTAGTTTCTTAGAGGCATGTTCAAAATATCTACTTTGTCTAACGAGCATTGGTGAACTATATTGTTGGGATATCGAAGCCCAGAAATTATTTTTCCCAGTTAATTCTATCTTTCCCTTATTGAACCCTTCCTTACGTTACTCAGAAGATATTTTAACTCGTTCAGAAAATATTACGTTGTGTTCTTTAACTGAGAACGGTATTCCATTAATAACATTGAGCAATGGTGATGGTTATTTATTCGATAAAGATATGGAAACTTGGCTATTGGTCAGTGATGGATGGTGGGCGTATGGTTCCCAATACTGGGATATGACAAATACTACAAGTTTAGAAAATCCAGTTGCCTCATCTACTGAAAAGGATTCCACATCTGGTGCTAATGAGCTAATGAAAGTAATCAAAAATGACAACAAAAGTATAGTTAATTTTATTGAACGTAAAACTAACGATGAACTAAATAGAAAAGGGCGTGCTAAGAATTTACAAAGGTTTGCTAGAGCTATATTGATGAAAGAGGGGTTTGAGAATATAGAAGAAATAGTAACTCTTTCGCATTTAGAAAATAGAATCTTGGTCACATTGAGATTAAACGAGGCCCAAGAATTCACCAAACTGTTAATAATATATTGTATTCGATTAAGTGAATTGGGCTATACAGACCGTCTTGATGATGTTCTTCAATGGTTATACAATGATGGAGACCTTGAGTCAAGTAAATTGGCAGGAAAATCTAGAAAGGAACTTTTGAAAGAAGTCATTGGAGCCTGTGCAGATATTAGACATATCCAAAGGGTCACTACCAGTTATGCTTCAGCCATTGGTTTAGTAGATGCCGAATTGTAATATTAAAGAGTAATTTCATTTTTCTTTACCTATTTACATGTAGTATATATATTTCCTTTAATCTTAAATGCAAGTTCTATACACATAATAATTTGACATGAATGTTTTTATAAACCGAGGATCTATTCCATTGGATCAATTAATTGAATCCCATTATTTTCATAATTTCATTAACATTTTTGTTTGCAAGGTCTCTTGCCCTTCCTTGACCTTCGTTAATAATCTTGTCTAAATAAGCCTCATCCTGTATTAATTTCTTGTATTCCTCTCTTGGGCCCTTCAAATCTTCGATTATTACTTCACTAACATAATTCTTAACATCTCTATAATTATTGAATTTTTGGAATTCTGATTCAACAACATCTATTGGTGCTCTTTGAATACCACTAACAATGTTCATCAAATTTGACAAACCAGGTCTTTTAATAGGATCATAATTAAATGACTCTGAAATTGAATCAGTTACAGCTTTTTTCACTTTTGTTTTAATAACATCAGGCTCATCTGTCAAATAAATGACAGATTGTTGGTTAGGATCACTCTTGGACATCTTCTTATCAGGAGAATTTAAACTCAATATCTTACTAGTTGGAGTGAAAACAGTAGTTGGAATTGGGAAGAAATCTACATTATACGTGTTATTAAACTGTTCAGCTAATGTTCTTGTAAGTTCCAAATGTTGTGCCTGATCATCACCCACAGGAACGTGAGTTGATCTATATAACAAAATATCTGCAGCCTGTAATACTGGATAAGAAAATAAACCCAATTTGACTTTACCAATTGTCTCATTATCCACTTCTTTTATATTCGATTTAGATTTCCATTGGTTCATTCTATTTAAACTCCCCATCGAAGCAAAAGTTGAAAGTAACCAATGTAATTGAGAATGTTCAGGAATTTGAGATTGATACATTACTGAGACCTTGGAAGGATCGATTCCCACTGATAAGATACTTGCAATAGCTTCTTTACGAAATCTCCTAAACTCGGCAGCATCAGGTTTGGGAATAGTGATGGCATGAAGGTCAGCAACACCGAATATAATCTTCTGATTACCTTTCTGAAGGTCACTCAAATCCTTCCAAGCTCTAGTGGCCCCCAAATAGTTACCTAAATGAAACTTACCAGTAGGTTGGATCATACTGAAAACAGTAGCCTCATCGGGAATATCTTTTGGTGATAGTTTGGCATTCAGCTGTTGTATCGTTCCAGCACTAGCACTAGAAAACCTCTTATGAACCAATAATCTAGGAATAGATCTCCTCAACATCATTAGCAGACCTGATCAAACCACTCTAGAGTCTAGAATATCAAGAGAACAAGTCAATTGAACCTTCTTAAAACACCTTTGATCTGATTTATAAAGTGTCTATAAAATGCAGTAATTTTTCAATGTGATTAGAGATGCGTTAAATTTATATGTAGTGGTATTATATACATGAAACTCTATATGATGATAATGGTAATTACAAGATGATTATAGATGTTAAGACAATATTATGAAAGTTTGTAAACGTTTTCCTCATTCCAACCTTTCTGTTTCAGTAATCCACCAGTTTGTCCCTGAGCTTGAAGATATTTTGGTCCTGCAATCGTCGAGATGTACTCGTCAGGACCACATACTAATGAAAGTACGGGACTAATGATTGATGCATTGGAATTTGATTTAAATGTTGCCTTGGGTACATATTTTGAAGGTGCTGGTATTGTGTCTAATAATTTCTTTGTATCCTTCCTTAGACTGTTGCCCTTTGAAGATTCGTAGAGGTTCAATTCAATTCTACCATTTTGTTGAAGTAATTCCAAGTATTTTGCTAATGGGCCCAGTTCTTCCAGTTGTTTACATGAATAGAATAGTTGTAGTTTCCCCTTGAATGGATCTTCACTGAGCGTTAGTTGTAATGCTGGTGCTATTCCTGTTCCTGCTGCATAAAATGAAATATCAAAAGGTCGCCAACGAAAAGTTTCTACGTCATGATTTTTTATAGTTTTTGAATCAAACAAGAAACCTCTATCTCTTTTCCTCTCGTCACTATCCCTTGGTAACTCATACTCTGTAATTGGTCCTCTCAATTCTACTTGATCCCCTTCTTTCATCTTGAACAGCCATCTAGACACCTCGCCGTCAGGATACTGTTTTAAATAGAAGAACAATTTACCTCCAGCATTGTCCCCATCTTTCAAAGGCACAATATCGTCACTCTGGGCATCGTATTTCAAAGGTAAAGGTGTATAATTCCTTGCCACCATGATCTCTGGTTGTTTAACCTCTACTGACCATAATTTTTCAGACTCTAGTTTCAACCATAAATTAGTCCTTTGCTTCACTACAGGAGTCAGCTCCATCAAGAAATGACTACCATCAATTGGCTTCTTATAAGATACTCGATATCTAGTGAATTTATCCAAGGATAACTCATCATCTCCATTACCATACACAAATTTATAACTGAAATATCCTAGAGATGCAGTTAACGCTGCTGCTCCAACGCCAAAGAGAACCTTATTGGAAACAGTTCCCGAACGTCTCACCACACTACCAGATACAAATCTCTTAAATAAAAGACCTTTTAACACCATTGGACCCTTAGCTTACCTACAATCCCTCATTCTTCTCAATAGAGTTCCCCATCTTTAACTGTTAAAGTGTAGAGATATCAACTTTTTTCACTTTCGATGCTTATAAAGAAAAAGGTCATCTTGAAAAATTATTAGTAACCTTTTAATGACAATGATCAGTTGAAATTAAGCCAAAGGAGACGTTAATTTAGGTTCCATAAGGCTCTATTTGGATTGCTGGTGTGGTAATTGATTTGTCTAGTTGGTTCTCTTTTGTTTGTTGGGAGAAATGAGTTTAAATTTGGTGAAAGCTTTGAAATTACATAATGAAAAAATATGGGACATTGATTGTTATAAAGGATTATTGGCAACAGCCTCTACAGATCGTAGAATCAAGATTGTGAACATTGGTGATATTGGCGATGGATTAGTCTCTGATGATGGTAGGCTTCTCGATGAATTGGACGATTCTTCTCATAAAAAGACGGTGAGATCTGTTGCTTGGAGACCTCATTCTACGATTTTAGCAGCAGGTTCATTTGATTCTACAGTGTCGATTTGGGCAAAAGATGAGAACGATGGAGATGCAGATGGAGATGGCGGTGTTGATGATCCAAGCAGCTTTTCCATGGAGTTGTTGGCTGTAATTGAAGGCCATGAAAATGAGGTGAAGAGTGTTGCCTGGTCCAAAGATGGGTATTTCTTGGCAACATGTTCTAGAGACAAAAGTGTTTGGATCTGGGAATCTGACGAGATGGGGGAGGAATACGAGTGTATTAGTGTTCTTCAAGAGCATTCCCAAGATGTCAAGCACGTTGTGTGGCATCCTTTCAAAGATATTCTTGCTTCAAGCTCTTACGATGATACAATTAGGATATGGAAAGAGTACGATGATGATTGGGAAGCTGCTGCTGTCTTGAAGGGACATGAAGGTACTGTATGGGGTTCAGATTTTGAAAAAAATGTAAATACTGACATTGTAAGGCTTTGTAGTGGTAGTGACGATACTACCGTTAAGATTTGGAGGTGTGTCAGTAATGAATCCATTGAAGAAGACTGGATATGTGAAGCGACATTACCAAACGTTCATGGTAAACCAGTTTATAGTGTATCATGGAGTGAAGATGGACTAATAGCAAGTGCTGGTTCAGATGGTATGTTGGTTATTTATAAAGAAAACAAGGACAACGTATGGGAAGTGGTTGCAAAACATGAGCATAGTCATAGCATTTATGAGATTAATGTAGTCAAGTGGATCAAACTAAATAACGGTAAGAGCTATCTAGCTACAGCTGGTGACGACGGTTATGTAAATATTTGGGCATATAATTAGTACTATCCATAGTTCAGAGATATAAATCAATCAATCAATCTATAAAAGAATTTACTTAAATTAATATAATGAGCATCATGAAAAAAAACATACCTGACAGCAACATGAGAAGATATAGGCACCATTTGCTTGATTTTCTTTGATACCTCAAAGCTTTATCCAGCTCTCTTGATGCAAGCTGGGTATTATCTGCCACAGAATAAATATTGGCCTCAATATTATCCACCATAGACCCCTGTTGTTGAATGACATGACTCAAATCAGTGAATAGACCATTTAACTCGGTGATCCCTCTTTCGATATTCACAATCTCTTCGTCTCTTTGTCGTATCAAGTTTTGTTGGTATGCAAACTCTTCGTTGTTTAAAGCTTCTCTTTGAATTACAATGTTTTTAGCGGAAGTTGAAGTGTCTGGTTGCCTATTCGAACCTGTTTCTCCTTCCTCCTCCAACATTAAAGCAGCAGAATTTTGGTTATCAAGTTCCGATCTAGCTCTATCATTAATCGATTTAATAACCTTTGTATATCCCTGTTGTATATTTTGAAACTCCCTTAGTGAATAGCTTAGATCCCTTGTAAGTTTGTCCCTTGCCAAGACTTGTAACTTATCCAACTCATTCACATCGATTTTATCCAACATCACAACGTCAGTATTCACTTTCTTAACCAATTCACTGACTTTACCAATATTCTGAATAGTCTTCTTATCAATATTATCAATAACTTTCATATTCATCGTACCAGTTTTAGCCAAAAACCCTTCAAGAGTCCCTACATATTGCTGTAAAGTACTAATTTGACCGTTAATCTCAAACAACTGCTCAGAAATAGCATCTCTCAACCCATCAAACTCTGGTGAATCACTAAACTTGGCCAATTCACCAACCTCCTCGACAACATCATTAAAATATGACATATTTCGATGTCCTAAATATATCAACTCTTAGCAGTAATCTCAAATATCAGAAACCAAAAACCCAACAACAAAGACAATAAACCTCTCAATAACTTAACTGATACCTATTATCACAATGTAATCCGCTAGTTAGCTTGATGTTTATCCTGGTTTAGGTCGAAGTTAATCCATCTAATGATCTGTTATAAAAGGGTTAGTTGCTTAAATATATTCAATTCGATGTTGATATAAAACTGAACTGCCCAGCAAGGACAAGAAGGATCAGATGGTTCAAGACAGAGCAATGACAAGGGTTTTAGATCTCAATGGACTGGAATTAATATTGCAAGGGTGATGTATTGTAGTCCTAGTTGTGGTTGTTGTTGTTTTTGAAGTTCGTATTTGGTTTTAAAAGGACAAGAATTGGAGGGGAAAGCAAAGAGAAGAGCATTATGATTGTTCACGAGTTAGTTGGTCAGAATACCAGATCGGTTAGGAATCAGATGAACAAAATGGTTAAATTAGTGTTGTTTTGCGGTTTATAAATGTCTTACGATGTCCCCCTTCATCCCAGATCCCATTTTCCCTGGACATTGCTGCTATTTTAATATATGGCTGGTGCAATACTTGATTGTTGCAAGATCTGATTCAAACCAGGATAAACTCGGTCAAAGACAGGGCAATTGGTTTATTATAAATACGGTCTGTATGTTGACTAGTCCCACATGGTCCTGGTTTCTCCTATTTCTTCAATTTTAAGGTGCCCCTTTCCTTCTTTCTTTTGCTGATGCTGCTGGTAGCAAGCAGCAGCAGCATAGAAGTATAGTCATCTCCTAACTCAACCACTGGAAGTCAACTTATAAATGAACAAATGCAAGCATTGGTGTGATGTCGACATACACGTCGGGTATATAACTCGATTGTATTCACAATAGTCTACCTTCCCATCAATCATATATACCTTTAACTTCCTTTTATCTCTGTTTCACTATGAGTTCCCATAGTTAAAAATTTTTCACCGTTAACTATGCAACATTGAGACACCAGTTAAAAAATGTTGAAAGACTTATAATAATAGCTTATTAATTGAGTTACTGGTTCTTCTGGTGTCATTCAAGAGGTTATAGAGTTGATTCTCGAGGATAGTGTGGTTCATCATGAGTAGCAAGAGCCAATCTGGTGGGAAACAAGGCAGTTTTCGTCGACTACAAGGTCCACAAGCTAATTTGAACAAGACAAATGATGATGATAAGAAACTCACAGGTAAAAAAGCCAAGAGACATTGGCATAAGAATGAAGATGGGACCCTTGGTGGTGCCAATAACAAGGACCATGGTGAAGATGACGATACTGAAATTTGTTTGATTTGTGCAGAGCCTTTGAGGATTGCATCTTTGTCACCTTGTAGCCATAAGACCTGTCATAAATGTTCATTTAGACAGCGTGCATTGTATGAAAAGAAGTCATGTTTGATCTGTAGAACTGACAATGAATTGGTTAAGTTTACTGAAGATGTCGATGCCCAGTTCGATGATGTCAAGAATATAAGTGAAACTTCTGAAAAATATGGGATTGCGTTTGCTACAAACCAAATTGCAGAGGAAACGCTATCCTTATTGAAATTCCAATGTCCAATATGTTTGAAAAAGCAAGATTCTCCAGACTTAAAAGATCATGGTAGCTTGAAGAAGCTAGGTGATCATTTGAAATCAACTCATAATAAATTATTATGTATGATATGTGCGAAGAACAAGCATTTATTTATTAGTGAATTGAAATTATATACACCAAATCAATTGAAAAATCATCAAAGTAATGGTGATTCAAAAGGTTTTAAAGGACATCCGTTATGTGCATTCTGCAATGACAAAAGATTTTATTCAGATGATGAGTTATATTTGCATATGAGAAATAACCATGAAAGATGTCATATTTGTGACAAATTAAATCCTGGTTCTCCCCAATATTTCAAAGATTATAACCAACTGTTTGAACATTTTAGAAACTCTCATTATGCTTGTAACATCCAATCCTGTTTAGATAATAAATTTGTGGTATTCGGAGATGAATTCGAATTGCAAGCTCATATCTTACAAGAACATGGTGATATAATAAAGGGAAAACCAAAATTATTTCAATCCGAACTTTCTACTTTTATTCCAACACCTGCTAGAGTAATTAGAAATCAAAACGTTTTGGATGACCCATCTTCATCAAACAGAGGTATCGCTGATGATGAGTCTCTTGAAGTTAAACGTTTAAGATTGGAAGAAAGAGCAAAGCATTATTTGAACAATTCCTTTGAGGATTTCGAAAGATTTAAAGGACTTAATGATAAGTACGAAAAGAGTAAGATAAGTGCCCATGAACTATTAGCATCGTATCAATCATTATTCACCTCACAAGAAGCTAATGAATATTTATTAATCCATAATTTGGCTGATACATTTTCTCGCAAGTCTAACAAATATAAGGAATTGAATGCCATATATGAGGCAGAAGAACAGCGGATTGCAAGGAGTTCTTTGCCATCATTATCTGGTGGATCATTTGTACCAACGAAGTCAGGTATCTGGGGGAATTCAAGTTCTACCTCAGTTAAATCTATGAATACAAGAAATTTAAATACTTCCTCTTTACCAACATTGCAATTGCAGCCAGCCTCGTTTGATGTATTTGGTTCTCAGAAGAAAGCAGTTCAATCGTACAAAAGTTTGACCAAACCTAAGAAGAAAACAGTTGTGAAAAGCGTTGTACGAACAACAGATCAGTCGTTAGATAATGATTTTACACCTACTTATCTGAAAAATAAATCTCAGTCACCAGCTCCTTCAGCATCCTCTTCTTCAACATCAATATCGAGTCAGAATAACGTTATTGTTAACAAGAATATGAAGGGTAAAGACAAATTATCTTCGTTAAAGTTGGAAAGTTTGCCAACACCTAAACCTCGTGTATATATACCGCCTGTCCACGAACCAATTATACCAGATCCTAAGAAATGGGGGAAAGGTACGAAGGAACCAGGAACTCCAGATGATGAATTAGCAGGTTTAGTCATTGATGGTGGTAACTCCAAGAAGAAAGGTAAACAGAAGCAATTACTCTTCCATATTGGTATTTAGAATTTAGAATATATACATATATTAATATTTGATTATAGATAAGATATTAGTGATAGAGTGTAACTGACTAATTCGAGATATTCATAATGTCATTGTCATTTAATTGCCAGAACATGTTGCATCTTACAAGTTTGTCTACATAAGGGACATTCTGGTCTTTCTTTGCACCAGTTAATAATACAATCCCAGCAGAATATGTGCCCACAAGGAGCAGCACTTGGATCAACCATGCTGTTTAAACATAAAATACAATTTCTTGATTCTTCTGGTATAAACTTGAAAACAGATTCGTCAGATAATTCTATATGTTTGGAATCTTTAAGATTTGTATTTTTTGTCAATGCCATGGTATCTATTTGGTCATTCTCACTAGAATAAGTATTCTTTTCGTTTAATTGTTGTTCTTGTTGCTGTGGTAGAAATGTTTTGACACATTGTGATAAGATAGGTAATGATTTGGAAAAACTTTGTATTAATAAGATATAACCCAAAATTTTTAGACTGTTGGAATTCTGCTTTCTAAACATTTTCTCATTTTGATTCAACTTATGTCCAATCGCATATCTCAAACCAAATATTCTCTTGGAAATTTCATAATATGCACCGCTAAAATAGAATAGCATCAAATGAACGCTAGAGATTTTATCTAATAGCTCCTTATAACTTATAGACGCATCTCCACTGCTATTCCCAGCGTCACCATTGCTGTGACTATCAGTATTCCTTAGAGACCATTTGGTATATAGTTTTTTTGATATGTAAGGACCCACAGAATATGATAAAACAAACAGAAGTTTCTTGTATTTCTGAACCAGATCAGTACCAGTCCTGTTCACATAAACCAAGTCAGTATATTCCTCGCCCAATGTAGGATCACCTTTCAATGTTGTAAATGCTAAATATAGCACCCTTGAAGCAATCGAGATTTCATTGGAGTAAGAATTGACAAAACTTTGACCTTTAAAATTCGTAAGAACATGTTCTAGTCTCTGAACCACGCTGGAATAAATCTGTTCATCCTTCTGATGCGATTGAACTATGCTTGGAGCGTCTGCCACCTCTAATAAATATTCATTACTCATTATTACTAAACTCGATGAGGATGACTATCTCTTGAAATATCACCTAAAATCGCTAATACGAACCAAAAAACAACCAAACAAAAGGTGGAATGCAGCAAACAAAACCTTTGAACTCAACTGAACCTCCCAAACTGATACCTTCACACTTCTCTTTTGGATCTTTTTAAAGATTTGTCTTGTTTCAATCACTCTCAAAGGTCTTAATTTATCAATTTTATAAGGAGGGTTCAGAATAAATCATCAAGATTAAAAAGGTTTACATGAAATGTATTGAAACTCATTTGAAGAGAGACAGATAACCATAAAACAAGTTGGTATAAGGAGGAGTTGAGTATCATTTGCGGTTGTAATTGTGATTTTTGGTTGAAACTGTTGTGTTAATTGTTGAAAGAAGGGTTTTTAAGCAGTTTAAGGTTTTGAAATTGGTCAAGAAATGAATGAAGAGGAACATCACCAAGCAGTTAATGAATTGTGTGAGAGTTTGTCGAAGGATTTGAAGGTTAATGTTGATGCTAAGGATTATGTGAATGCCTTAGATGAGATATTTAGGTTTAGTGATCCTGGTAATGAATCTGGGCTGATCTCTGGGACTTCTAATAGTTCGATTGAAGAGGCTTTAAATCGATGTTATTTAGATCATAGTGAAACCAAGGAATATTTATTGAAATTGATTAATGAGGACATTCGAAGAGCAATTGAGTTATTTGAAGTGTTATCTACACAATCTGTTCATATCTTGGTTGGATGTTTTGAGAATTCTGAGGCTTCCAAACCGTTGCTCCAAGAGTTGCAACAAAGGATATACTTTGGTGAAGATTTACATGTTAAATATCTTTTAAGTGTCATTTTACAATTGTTAACTAAATTTGAATATGATTTTAACGATGTTAGTTTCCTTGTCAAGGATCTTGGTGTCCGTATGAGGGAGTCAGATGTTAAATCGTTGGCTTTAATTATTTTTATCAAATTGGAATCATTATATTCCCAGCGTTTTGATGAAAAGTTTTTAAACTTCATTGACTGTTTGATAATCGAAGTTGATGCAGATGTTGGGAATGATCCTTTATCTATTATTGTTGAAGTTCTGACTGAACTGTACCCTGCTTTGACTGCGTTATGTTCTCAGGTATTTTTAGGGAAGAAATTAGATGAAATGTTTAGAACTAGAGTTGTTGAACAAAATGATGCACAGTTCAGTAAGACATTGCTACATTTGTTGTCTGTCGCCTGTATTGATGAAACAGTGAGAAATCATATTTCAGAAAACTATACATCTATGTTGGAACAATCCTTAAATTTTGAAGAATATAAAACTTATTCTGCCCTTGTTTTGATCAAGACATGGTCTTTTACAAAATTGCATAATGTGTCTATTAATCAGTTGGGTGGTATTCTAACTGAAAGTATAGAAAAATATAATGAAGATAATGGTGATCATGTTGAAATTGGTGCTTCTTTGGAAGGATTGGCTTACTTGAGTTTGAAAACGTCAGTCAAATTGCAATTACGTAAAAATTCAAAATTTTGTTTAAACCTAATCTCGTTAATCAAAAACGAAGAGAAATCGGCACAGCTTTATGGAGCTTTGGTTATCTTTGCTAACTTAAGTGTTTTCCCTCAGGATAGCAATAGTAATGGAAATTTTGAATCTAAATCACTTAGAGATTTAAAGGCCTATTCGGATTTAAAAAGCCCTGGAGGTGATGAAGTCGACAATGGCATCGAAAGTAAAGAGGATGTCATTGAGTTCAATGATGAATATCTAATAAATAATGAATTATTATCATATCTTAGAACTGATTTTAGTCAAATGTCTCATGGTTCAAGACAGCAATTTATCAGAATTATTTACAATATCACTCGTAATAAAGACAGTATTTCTGAGTGTATTAAACAAGGGTGTACTACATCAGTGCTTGAATATTTGGTAGAAAAGACTGAAACCGGTGATATGGTTAGAATTTTGGGGCTCAGGGCCTTAACGAGGATGTTGATATATACAAACCCTTCGTTGATTTTTAACAAATATTCACCAGTGAATGCGATCCCATTTTTATTTGAACTATTACCAAAATATGGTGATGAAGCTGAAGCTGAACCTTGTTACTTCAATGAGGACTTGCTGACTACCACAGATTGTTATGAGGCTTTACTGGCATTAACTAACTTGGCGTCTTCGACAGCAAGTGATGGTGATGATGTCTGTAAGAGAATTACAACAAACACAAAGTACTGGACTGTTATTGAAAATTTAATTCTTGATGAAAACGTATTGATCCAAAGATCTACTTTAGAATTAATTAGTAACATGATGAGCCATCCCATGCAAATTGCAGTAAAATTTTTCAATTTTGAAAACCCTCAAAGTTTAAGAAACTTCAATATCTTGGTCAAACTGTTACAATTGAACGATGTGGAATCTCAAAGAGCAGTAGCTGCAATTTTTGCCAATGTAGCGACGACATTACCATTTGTTGCCCACGAATTGTTATCACAAAAGGAATTGATCGAAAAATCTGTACAAGTGTTCACCGAACAAAACGACGATATTGAACTGAAGAAAAGATTGGTTATTCTATTCTACTCTTTGTTCGATTCAATTCCAGCTGGTGAGGAAAATAAGTACCCTATCCTAACTGAGAACAAGAAATTTGAACTATCCCTTGAAGCTGCTTTAGATTCAGATATTAAGAATGATGAAGATTTTGCTGAAGTTATCCCACAAATGTTGTCAAGATGCTCAGCCAATTGATCCTATTGAAATGAATGTAAATTTAAACAAGACAAATGATATCTCGAATGAATAGAAATAAAACATAATGATGATATCTTATCTTTCATGTTAAAAAATCCCATGTAATGTCTCAGTTATATAATTCTAATGTATAAATTAATATAACGTCCTGGCAGTCTTAGATTCAACCACAATTTCCATTATGAACCCTCTCTAACTTAATGAGAACAAGATATGGTAACAAGAACTACAAAATACAAATACAATCCCAACTGGATAATAGATCACTCTCTTATCATTCCATCAAGTTCTTCTTTCAGGTTCGTTGGTGTCAGTCATCTTCCTCATCAACACTATCAAAACCCACTTACCCTCCCTTCATGAAAAAAGAGGCTTTAAAGATCAAAGAACCTTTAAGATATGGCTTATTTTAATTGAACTTGATCTAATGAAAAGGACCAATATTTGGTTATCTTTTCTTTGAATCAGTTCACCAGATCCGTTTCTTTATTGTTCTTTAAGTTCTATATTTGGTTTCTGGGTTTGTATCCTTCTTTTCAGGTCAAGTTTTGGTTAAGATTCGGTGAAACTTTCTTTAATAAAGGTTTGGTGCTGAAACAGACTAAAGTTATGAGTGTTGTTGATGAGTCTCCGGTAGAGAGTGGTCTCTCTAAAGGTAGTACTGAAGATGGTGATAATATTTCTGTATCATCTATGGTTCCTGTCATTTCTGGTGACGAAGGGTTGGATGGGAATGGAACTGCTACTGGTGAGATGGATATAACTTCGACTAATAAAGGTTCACAAAATTCAGAAGTTGTGGAAGAAGTAGGTTTGAATAGTGTTGTGTCAGAGCAAGAGGATCCTATTTTGTTACGTTATCGTGCTGCTTGTCAGAGTGGTGATCTTGCCACTGTTAAAGATCTTATCGAAAACGAGCTAGTGGATATTAATAATGATTACGATAGTAATGAAAATGTAACTGGTTTGCATTGGGCTAGTGTCAATAATAAGCTAGCTATTGCAGAATATTTGATTTCAAAAGGAGCAGATGTCAACAAAAAGGCCGGGACATTGAATGCAACGCCATTACACTGGGCTGCTAGTTATGGTTACGTATATATAGTAGATGTATTGTTGAAAAATGGTGCTGACCCGACTATTACAGATGATCAAGGTTTTAATCTATTACATTTATCCATCAACAGTTCAAATATAATGCTGATATTGTACGTCTTATATTTTGTCGTTGATAAGGGTATTATAGATGTCAATTGCACTGATCCAAATGGAAGAACGCCTCTTCTATGGGCAGCATATCAAGGTGACTCTTTATCTGTGAATTCATTGTTAAAGTTCAATGCAAGTACGAAATTAACAGATTCTTCTGGTTTTACGCCATTGCATTGGGGTGTAGTTAAGGGCCAGCCTCATGTTTTGAAATATTTAATTGCTGATGGCGCTGACTTCTTCCAAAAGACTAATGATGGTAAAGATTGTTTTACTATTGCCCAAGAAATGAATACTGTGTATTCATTAAAAGAAGCCTTGAATCACTGTGGATTCAATGATCAAGGTTTCCCTATCAAGAGATATATTAAGAAAAGTTTACATGCTAAATTAGTGACATTTTTCACCCCTTGGATAGCACTTGGTTTCGTATTTGCATTTTTTGCCTATGTTAACCCTCTTATTGCAATTTTAGTAACTGCATTGATGTCATTAGCAATTGCAAAGGCGTTAAGAGTTTTTGCATTACCATATTACACTATTAAGGGTGCCCAAGCCAACACATTATTGAAATCTCCCTTGCTGGCGGGTATATTTGCTGCTAGTGTATTTTGGTTATCAATAAACTGGTTGTTCACTGTTATGCCATACACCATAGCCAAGCATAGTTTTGGTAATTTTGTTATGCTTTCAATTATCATATCTCTAAGTTATTTATTTGTTAATTTAGTTAGATCTGATCCTGGAACTAAACCAGCAGAATTTAACCATGATTCTATCAGAGAAACTATAACTAATTTGATGTTAATTGGTAAATTTGATACGAATAACTTTTGTATTGAGTCGTCCGTAAGAAAGCCATTGAGAAGCAGATATTCTTATTTAAATTCTGCGATTGTTACTAGATTTGACCATTTTTGTCCTTGGATTTATAACGATATTGGTTTGAAGAATCATAAACTTTTTGTATTGTTCATAATTTTAATGGTGATAGGTATTTGGGAATACACCTATTTAGCCATGGAATACTTTGACGAATTGGAAGATCTTTATAAAGATGCATCATGTTTTTTGCTTGGTGATGATGAATTATGTGCTGGTTTAACGTATGGTACCTTTACATTTTTCATTATGATATGGTCACTTTTCCAATCCATTTGGGTATCTATATTGATTTTTGTTCAAACGTTCCAAATGTTCAAAGGTGTTACCAGTTATGAGTTCTCTAAGATTGTTAAAGGAAGTAGAGTAAGAAATCCAAAACCATCCAGAGTAAATGACACATTTAATACTACACCAGATGGTTACACATCTGGTAATGATGCAGAAAACTCGGCAACAGATGCAGCAGCAAGTACATTACAACCAGAATCAAGAACTGGAACCTTAGAAACCATAACCCCATCTGTAAAGAAATCACGTACATTCTGTGCACTATGCTCAGCAGTACTAGGATTCGACCAATGGATTATAATTATGAAGGAATCCTTAGGTATCTCATCTGGAGGAGGTGATTGGAACAGATCAAGTTTTTTCATCCCTACAAATTACGGCTGGAAGACAAACCTCACAGACTTTTGGCTAACAAGCGATACAACAGCACCAATATGGCAAAGAGTACTGTACCCACCATGTTCATCAAAGGCGTTGTTGAACAATATTGAAGTGGATTACAATAACCTTTACAGATTACCTGATACATTCAACACAGAATCTCCTGATTCAATGGTATAACGTACTTCTTAAATAAAAAATAGTTTCAAGATGAAAAAAAATTTACAAATCAATAATTCAATCAATTAAACCATTCGATCAATAATAAATATACGTTTATATATCAAATCTAGTTACTTGTATCATTACTTTCTTATCCATTATGTCTATCTCTCTGTCTCTCTGTCTCTTTACGTGTTCCTCATCGATTTTATTTTATTTTACGCGTTTGTGTTTACTATGGTGGAATTTTTCACTAAGCATAAGAACATCAGATTTGATCTATATAAAACCATCTATACTAATGATAAAGTAGGTTTGGTTATCAAATATATGCATCAGAGGTGTCAATTATTGGTCAATCTGGTTGTTAATTGGGTCTAGAGTTTGTTTTTTGTTGTTGAAGGTGGTACTGGATGGGTGTTCAAGGTTTTTTGCCACAGTTGAAGAGTATTCAAAATCCTGTTTCCCTTAACAGGTACTCTGGACAGACTTTAGCAATCGATGGATATGCTTGGTTACATAGAGCATCATGTTCTTGTGCTCATGATTTGGTATTAGGGAATCCGACTGATAAGTATCTGCAATTTTTCATTAAGAAGTTGGCAATGTTGAAATCTTATGGTATAAAGCCCTATTTTGTGTTTGATGGTGATTCTTTGCCAGTCAAGAAAGATACAGAGGTCAAAAGAAGAAATAAGAGAGTTGAGAATAGAGAGGTTGCTATTAGGTTATATAATTCTGGTGAAGTTCGTAATTCTATGGATTACTTCCAGAAATGTGTTGATGTCACGCCGGAAATGGCTAAATGTGTCATGGATTATTGTCAAATTCACCATATTGATTATATTGTTGCTCCTTTTGAAGCAGATGCCCAAATGGTTTATTTAGAGAAACAAAATATTGTACAAGGTATTATTTCAGAAGATTCAGATTTGTTGATCTTCGGTTGTAGGCGATTGATTACAAAGCTTAACGATTTTGGTGAATGTATCGAAATTTGTAAAGACGATTTTAATAAATTACCAAAGAAATTTCCATTGCATGAACTATCAGAAGAAGGCATTAAAACCATGGTTTGTCTGTCAGGATGTGATTATACCAATGGTATACCGAGGATTGGGTTGGTGAAGGCAATTAAATTGGTACATCAATATAGAAATATTGATAAAATTTTACTAAGCATTAGACGAGATGGTAAATTTCAAATCCCAGAAACTTTTTTGCAAGAATACCATAAAGCAGTTATTGCATTTGAATATCAAAGAGTTTTCTGTCCTATTTCAGAAAAAATCGTGACATTGAATGACATTCCAATGGAGGTTATAGAATCGATGAATAAAACGTATGATAATGAACAATTTTTTGCATGCATAGGATTAGTCATTGATAAAGAAACTTCAAAAAAACTGTGCATTATTGATGAGGATAAAATTGATCATGAAATTCATAGAAAGATTGCATACGGGCAGCTTAATCCTTATAATTTTGAAAAACGATTAGTCAATAGAGAGCGTTATTTGCAAATTGCTTCGAAATCAGAAATTGTTGGTCAAGGCGGTATATTGTCTGCTAAGAATAATTCTACAAAATCTATTGACTTATTTTTTACCAAAGTGGCGAGTAATAAGGAGAATTCTTCAGTAAAAAGACGGCCAATTGTTCGTAGTGGAGGAATCGTTGATAAATTGACAGAAACCATAAAGAAAAGAAAGTTATGTCATAGCATTAATAGTATTTCTAGTTTAAGCAAATCAGGAGATTCTACCTTGACTAAAAGTAGATTCTTTTCCACTAATGCTGATATTGCTGACACTTTGGAAGAAATAATTGATACACAATCGAGTGATACCAAAGTTCCCAAAAATTTTTGGTTGTAGCTTTGGGCGACGATAATGTTGAAACGGAATTACCTGATTCTGAGTTACCAACACAGATCCCAAGTTCCTTTGTATTGCCTGAGGCTGGTAATGATATTTTGGCAGATAAGATGAACTTGAATGATTCAAATTCTGATGATGGTAAGGTTGGAACTAGTCCAGAACTCCAAAACGATTCACTTGTTCATGAAGAAGATGATTCTTCTGTAATAAGTGAAATTGATATGTTTGATAAAGGATTGGGATACGATAAGGTAAAAACAAAGGATGACAATGAAATATTTGGTTGTAATATTTTTGAAAAAGATGAAACAATAAAATTTTTTGAATTTCCTGACCAGATTAAAAAGAGAAAAGCTAAAATCAATGAGATATATAAAGATGAAAATGAAATTTCTGGGTCGATTGAAAATCGTACGTTTAATGGAACTAGTAAATCTATGCTTGATAAATTCCGGTATTCTGTAGGGAACACGAAAATAACTAGATTTAACAAACTTGTTCGCAACGATGAAACTAATGACGATAAAAATAAGCAAATCTGTGACAACAAAGTTAGAAAACCATTAGGTTTTACTGATCCTAATATTCGATCCAGAACTTTTCCTACATTAGATGTGAAAACCAAATATCGTTCAATTAGTAACAATTCAAGAGATCGAACAACTCAAACTCTAAAATCCAATCTCAAAAATGGTATATCATTAACAAGATCTAATTCTACTACCAGAGTTACAACAATTTCAGGATTGGATGCAACCGTTAAAAGCCGAAAACCAGAATCTCTTACTAGATCGTTTAGTAAAGAATATAGAGGTGAAGACTTGAGCATAACAGATACCATAGTAAAAAAGACTGATGCTAATATTAGTAATAGTAAAGGCAATGAGAATAATTCACACGATCTAAGGCCATCATCGAGACCAATTTCATTGTTATCACAATTCATATACAAACAAAATCCATAGCTGGTTTAAGCCAATCTACCCTCCTCCAATACAAGAATGCATTCTAAGTTTAATTATATTAATTAAATAACTAAGTAACTACATTAAACCACTGTTTAACTATTTTAAAACAAGCAAAAGTTGGCAGGCAACGGTATATGAAATCTAATATTGTTGGCATCCTAGAGTACGCAGTTAAAGTAAAAGGTAGAACCTGCTTTCAATCTGGGACCCTTGCTTCATTTTATTTAAAAATTTGCCTTGTGGCGTCGTAAGAATTTCTTCTTTTGATAATAAGCTTATTAAATCTACAGTCAGGTATAAAAAATTAGATGAATAATAAAAAGAAAATATGAAAACTGGTCTTAACATATCGTTATTATTACTCTATAAATCCAGTTGTTAAATGTGATCTTGGGATGTTACCGTGCAACCATTTACCTCATCTCCAATCAACAAGAAAGCACAACTTTTGTCATTTATCAAGATAAGTGACTGGATATTTGAATTGCTGACATATTCAAAACTTGTACTTCAAAAGAAAAAATGAAAGCGCGAAAGAGAGAAAGAGATAGAGAAAAGGTATAACTACGTCAACTGTCATTGTTGTCCATAATTTTTAGTTAAGTTTTATAAAATCTACTATGGGGTTCCACGTGTATAATGGACCCATCCTTATGTAAACAATTAGTTTCTTACGAATAAGCGCAAACTAATTAATTTTGCTTGTACCCATCCATCTTTAACCGAGTCTTAATCAAATCAATTTTAAAGTTTCTCTATTACTGTAATCTTCCTCTGTAAAATAGTATAGCTATTAGAGTTTCTTAGTAAGGTGCTTACCCAAATATGCATAAGGATTAGATTGTGTAGATATTTGACATGCTTTCCTTTTTTTGTCCAGGACAAATTGGAGTAAAAATGAAAAAATTGTGCGGTGAAAAATAAATCCGAAATTGTCCTAGACATAAATTTTGGTGTTTCTCCGATTTTTGTCCTGAAAAAAAGCCAAAAACAATTAAATTTTTTTCTAGCGAGCAATAATTACCGAAAAGGAACAACGTGAGGGTCAGCTTGTAAATTTTGCTTCAAAATAGAGAGACCGGAGACAGAAGGGCACACACGTATTGCATCTTTCTCCTTTCCCCCCTCCCCTCCTTTCCCTCCGGTTAAACGGCAGCTGGGTTGGGTTGTATTGTTTCATGCCATGTACTTGGCTGGTAACAAGAAAGATTTTGAGAGTAGCGTTGTGGTTGGCTATATTATCAGTATAGTCCCAGTCCGGTTAATGACGATATACAGAACAAGAAATGTTATAACTTCAGAAATGGAAAAAGAAAGGAAAGATAAGGACAAAAATAAGAAACGAGGGAGACAGGCTGTGTTTTTCCTCTTGTGCGTTTCTTTATCTCGAAGCGGTGTGATATCCCAGACAACTGTCGTAGGACTGGACAACGCAAAGAAACGAGACCCCAAGTTTTGCCGCGAGGCTGCTTGTCTTTCTCTGCAGTGGAGGAAAAAAAGAAAAAAACTTGCAGCGACAAGAGAAAATTGGGGGGTATGCGTCGAGCTCTTAGGTTCTTTTAATTACTGCACGGGATAACTATGTTTAGTTTTTGTGTTTCCTTGTTTCTTTTTATATTTCGGTATGACGTCATCTAGTCTTTTTACCAGATATTCCAAGACATACATACAATAAGAGGATTAAAGTTGGAAACACAGACATAATACTCAACAAATATACGGGTTAAAAGCTAAATATCAAAGACTAGAAGTTAGATCAATCGACCAGCTATGTGTGCTTATGACTGTATTGTTTGTTTCGTAACGAGAATACATAAATGAAATGACGAGATATTGGCGTTTATTAGCAATATCAAAAGTAAAAATTAAAGCAAAAGTAAAGTACTCACTGATTCATTGATTGATTCATTCATTGTTTGTTTGTTGGCTCCTGTAAGAGGTGAAGGGGTAGAAAGACCTTGTTTGTGGTGGTGGTAGGTTGTATAGTCTTGAAATCGATTAGAGTCTTGGAATCGAATGTAAGCAGATGAAAGTCTGGTAGGGAGGGGGAGGGGAGGGGGCAAAGAGCTCCCAGGATAATACGGATATGGAAAAATTTCGGTCGAATAAAGAAAGAAACCAGATATTTGGGCCTGAAATGTAAATAATATAGCCAACTACAGTACTACACTCGTTTCTGAAATCTCAAAAATTGTGTACGCAACAAAGACTCGAAAGGAAAAAAAATCATGATTAGAGAGAAATGATCCCGCATTGATTTTGCCTGCTCTCTTGGGAAGAACTAACTAATTGAGTCTCTGCATCAAAACCAAAAAAGGCTAATAAATGATACAAGGAAGTTACTATTGTGTTTTTCGAAATCAGATTTTGGTTTTGGTTTTCGACTTTTCAGTTACCTTCTGGGCTACCTGCTCCACAGTATCCCACTACCTAAAAGGGGAACTTGTTAGATAGTGGATTAACCTCATCACGTTTCGGCTAATGACGGTGTTGTAACACAGCACATAGTTAATTTCTAGCTCTCATGCACTAACATAATACAAATGAAAGTTTACACTGAATAAATTCATAAATAAATTAAACAATTAAGTCTATAGTAATTAATCTTGAGGTTGACTACTCCATGCAATATTACCTCCTAAGACATAATACCAAGGTTTCTTAGCATACCACATTGTAATTTATATTACGTGCATTTCGGTATTATTGTTGTTACAAATATTTTATTAACAACAATAATATTATTGAATTTTTGATTCTTTTTAATGCAACTAGCTCATTTATGATTATTATTGCTTATTACGCGTACGGTTAAACAAATATCAGTAACTGGCTAAATTCTTTTCACTATTAGAGCACTAACAATAAGTTGTTCTGTATAACAATTGCCCTGTAGAATTTAAAATTATCTAGGTGCAATGCTAATGCCTAATTTTTCTATAATGTAAACTTTATTTCTACAATAAATGTTTAGGTTGGTTTAGTTTTTAACTCTTTTTATCATAAATTAAGCAATATATTATAGTTGAATGTACATTGGTTTCACTACAATCTTACCGATTGGTAACCGAAACTCCTCTTTTCGAAGCCTATAGTTTTATTTCAATTGCAAGTATAATTTCTATGTTAATGCCAATATTATTAGAAGCTTAATACAGAATTTATAGATTATATTTCTTCAGTCATTTGTACTATACGACACCAGCATATTAATTGTAGTTACTAATATCTATAATGTGTTGCTTTTCTAGTTAGTATAGATTATGATGCATTTTTTTACTATTGTCATTGTCATTTGTCATGTACATGTTACAAACAAGAACGTAATTGGAATAAGACATTTTTAATATTTTAAACATTTTTAAATAATTTCATTTAACATTCTGTTGAATATGCCCCTCTTGAGGTTATGGATGTAGGAAATTTTATTTGGGCTAATTTCTTCTTTTAGATTTTTTTTATATTATCTAATCTGCAGATTAGATAATGTCGATATAATTAAAATATATAAATATTAATTATAAAACCATCTTTTGGAAAATGTCGTTGTTGATTTTGCATTCTACCCCAGTAAAATATTTATTAGTTTATTATATCTTATTCTTTAGAAGTTATTTAATATATTTATATGTATATATATATTATAATTGATCGGTAGTCAGTAAATTACAAACCAAGTAAGTAGTTGATAAAAAAGATATTCAAACGTTGATATGGCTTTGACAAGTGAATGTCTAATAAGAGATAATAATTTACTTTTCACAAATAAAAATAAATATATAGACGTTTCTTCAAGTTATCCAAGCATGGACCTAATGCAAAATAATACCATAAATAACAACAATCAAAATTCGAACATGACAGGAATGGTAAACTATAGTAAAAATCAAAAGCATTCTCTCAATCAGTACCCTGTAAATGCCAATGACAATAATGGAAATTTTGAATCAAAACAATTACAAGAAAGTGCTGTTATTGCTCAGGAAAATGTCGCAATTTCTAACGATTTGACATTTTCTGACATTACAGATCTCTCTCAAAAGTCATCGTTCCCCGATTTTAATGAACCAATTCAATTCCAAAATGACATGAACTTCTTATCTAAATCTTCAAGTATCAGCCCTTATGAAGACCAATATGATGGTGAAATGCCAGAAGGAATGGTAAAAAAAGAATTTCCTGGTAAACCAGAGTATATGATGATGTTTGAAAATTATTTCCCATTAGTTAACAATAACAATTCTAATATAAATTATGTCAATGGTTTGAAGAATAATAATCCAAACTTAGATATTCAAGCAAATATGAAGAATGGTACTTTAGTTCCACATAACGTTAATATACCAAATCAAATTAACACACCAAAGAGCACCAGTTCTACGCCTAAATCATCAATGGAACCAAATCTTAAGAGAATTTGTAAGCCAAAAAGAGAAAAGAAGGCTAATAACATAATAGAAAAACGTTATAGATCTAACATAAACGACAAGATGACATATTTGAAGAAGTTAGTTCCATCTTTACGTGTCGCATCTAAGAGAGAAGAAGGAATTCCAATTATGGTAGAAGATTCCATGGATCTAGATGGGTTACAGCCAGCAAGAAAATTGAATAAAGCTTCAATCTTATTGAAAACTATAGAATATATTAAGCATTTAGAGAATAAGTGCTATGATATAAAGATTGAAAATCAATCACTAAAAACCTGTTTATCACAAAAGAAATAATGACCGATGACATCAAATGAAATAATTCTAAAGTATTTTCATTCCTCCATTTTAATACACTTCTGCATACTTTTTAATTTTAATTTTTGAAGAAGTTTTCAATTTGAAACTTTATTTTACAATTAAATTAAATTAAATTAAATTAAATTAGATTACACTAGATAAAACTTAAATAAACTTTTATAAATTCTTAGTTTTTAATTAAATGTTACTATAATTATTGTAATAAAACAAAATAAGAAAAGTTACCAGATTTCTTAAAAATAAAGAGACATAAAACTATACAGTTTTCCATAACTATTGTAAATAAAATTGAATATATACATTACCCAAATAAATTCGTGATATAAAAATAAATTAAATAAAACCTTTCGATTTTATTTATTGCCTCCCCATTGTATTTCTTCTTAGACGATAATGATAATGATAAGGAAAAAATGAGAAAGAGAGTTTTGAATCGACAATGACAACGAGTCTAAAAAAGAAACTTAAATAAATCTGGAGTTCGTCTAAGCAGGTCTTTCCATACATAAATCCACTATTAAAATGATCCCATTAACACTGTTTTCAATTTTTTTAACTAAAGAGAATTTCTTATCAATGATAGATGCAACGTAATAAGAACCTTTGGAATCCCTCTTCAAGAGTATATCACCATCACTACTAGGATCAGCAGCAAGACTTCTTAGCAATGTGACACCAGGTCTTAATTTTTTATAAGTGTCTTTATTGGTATTATAGGAAACAACATGAGATCTCACAAATTTAGAGACATTATTTTGGATGGCATCGTCAATATCTTCCTCGGGAGCCCCATTATCCTCTAAACTCTCAATATCAATTGGAAACTGCCATGGCTTTGCAGATAACTTCATTATAGCATTATTTGTAGGGGCAATAACGATTAAATCTTCATTATCCTCACCAAACATATCTGACAGCGATTTGTCTGTTCTTGCATAATTTGCAAAAATTTCAACCTCTCTCAAACTTGGTAAAGTAGAATTCAAAGGAACTAAAGGCAATCTATAACCTTGAATATGGAATTCATTCTTATTACCTAAAAACGTCTCTTTACTCTTACATTCATCAAATAAATCGTTGATCTGTAAAGAAGGACGTCTATTCTCTCTATCATTAGCAGTCCCCATCATATTTGCCCAATTTACAGGTCTATGGGAATCGTCATAAGGCTTAAAAACAGGATGTTCCGCTACAAATCTCTTATGTGGCCTTCCTTCATTGTCGAAATATGTCTCTATGTCTGCTATATTTTTAGCTTGGACTTGAATCAATAGTAATGAAGCCAAAAAAAGTACGCAGTAGCTACCGTAAACCATATCGCAAACGTTTTAAACACACTAATACAGATTTATTCGACCTGTACACTTGATAATGCAATTAGTTGGCCAATAGATCCTGTGAAATACGTCACTTAGCCTTTAAATTAAATTTGTAGATAAGTTTAGTTCATCTTCAGAATTTTTCATCCTTAAATTTTATTATCTGGTGTTATCTTATACCGCAAATTCACTATGGGACCAGCTATTGGTGACATAGAAACCAAACAATGGTTGCTAGATGGTTTATATGGCTTTAATGGTTTGGTTCTGTGGGTTTGGATATTGAGCTTAGTTGGGGGGGGGGAGTAAAAGGTATTTGTTTTCAAAATTGTAGATGTTCTGTATAATATAAAAAATGACTACAGTTGAGTTTGATTTGTAGCAAAAAAGAAACTGCGCAAGCCCGGAATCGAACCGGGGGCCCAACGATGGCAACGTTGGATTTTACCACTAAACCACTTGCGCTTGTTAACTTGTTGTTGTGAGGAAAATTTCAGGTTCTTTTATTGGTCTTTATTCTAAAGCTTTACCTCACTTAAAACAACTCCAAGTTGATTATTATATCCAATTTGGGACTATTACGCTTAACCTACCTATGTTTTGTATTGATTTCCATAACCAACAGAAGCAAAAATTAAGCTTTGAAATAGTATCAGTGGAAAAAAAGCAAAGGTTGGTAAAGGTTTTTATCAATGAGTGATATTTCCTTCTCCCTCATAGAAGTCACTAGCATTCAGTTGAAATATTAATTCAACTCTGCATTTTTGAATAAACTGACACCTATGTACATTTTTGACGCGTCTCGATATTTTCTCATTATTGTATTGCTACTTATAAAAGGATTAACTTTCCATCAATTATTATCCAATAAAAAATCTAGTACACTTCCACTAATTATTCTACCTGATGTTTTCTTGGGGAGGGAAAGTGGGATTCATTCTCTCTCATCAGACACCCAATGCATCAAGATAAGTGTCAGAAACTCTCTTTCAATAAAGTTACTCTCTTATGTAAAGAAAAAAGTTTGAAACAATTTCTAATAATGACTAGATTCTAACTGGAGATATCCACTGGATATAGGTATATCTAGCTGTGTTTGTATCCATTGTATGTCATTGGGTTATGTTCTTTACTATGCAAATTTTTTTTTACTATGGGAAAAATCTTAATCACTTTGAACGGCGCGATATCAACACCAAAATTAGAGCAATGAGATCAAGATCAAGTAAAGTTTTAACAAACTTGGTGAACTTGATGATTCAAAATGTATATTTAATTGGTTATTATAAGGACCGTTTTCTATAAATTGGGTTCCTGTCCATGAGTATAAGTCAGCAGTTCAAAAATCCAAGGTAGAAGTTGAAAATTTGGTCAACTATTCAAGAAAGATGTTGGGTCAACACGAGAATGAATCAGGAATTAATTTAAAATTAATGGAAAGGGCTAACCCATTGTTATTTTCCCAGGAAAGAATAGACGAATATCCTTTGAAGTATGATGAATTGAAGCAATATTTGAATGCCAAGGATTCTAATGGTTCTTTTTTGCCATTACATCAGGAAAACATGATGCACACAGAGGGTGACTATCTGGATTTTTTACTGTACAGAAAGAATGATAATGATACCTCCATTGATTTGAATAAGAAGCTAGCTTGCGAATTTGCTTTATATCAGGTGCAGAAACAGAAAAGACAAGGTGGTTTACCAAAAGAACTTTCTGTATCTGTTGACAAATTGATGAAATTAAAGCCACAATCTCAGGATTGGAATGAACAGATGATGTCAATATTGGAATCTATCAATGCCATTGAACTAGATACATCTGTATTGAAACCAAATGGTGGTGACTTAGGTAATTCGATGTTAATAGGCAAAGAAGGGACACATATGAATGGGTTTGCCAGTAAAAATGTTAGTGTTTCCAACTTATTACATAATGGTGAAAAAAGTTTATCCCCGGATGATATCCCAGACAATCGTAACCCAGACGTTATAATACAAGAATTGACATCATACTTGCTTTCAAATGCTATTACAAAAGGGATAGTTGTTAAACCAGAGAGGGTCGATGATCCAGTCGAATTTTTGAAAAGTAGTATTGATTCCATTATTAATGAGTCTTCACAGAATGAAAGATTGATTACAGAGGCTAGGAAACAAAGCATCAAAAGAAGCAACACGTATAAGAATTCTAAAGAGTTGGAAATTGCGTTTAAAGATTTACAACTGGCGCATAATTTTTTAACTAAGCAATTTGAAAATGATCGTGAAGAATACAGTAGAGATATTGAAAAACTAACATCGAATAATAATGAATTACAACAAAAAGTATTAAATTACCATTCTTCATTACTGACAGCAGAAAACACCATGGATGAACTTGAAAAAAAATTGAAAGAAGAAAAGTTAAAGAATACACACACTGAACAAATATTTAGTCCTGTCACACCAATGTCAGCCTCAAGTAATAATTCCCAATCGATTACAATTATGAGAAATGAATTTAAGAAAATGTTAAGTGACACACAGAAAAGATATGAACAAGAACTTGAAGAAGAAAGACAAGCCAGATTCAGATTAGAAAAAGAATTAGAAAGCTTAAAAAATCGATAGTTTTTAAGACAAGATTTAAAGGTTAAAATATGCATTTCAAAGAGGCGGATAATTGATAAAAATCTGTATTCCCTCCCCATCCACCACTATAACCTTCCCTCACTCCACAAGTATAAGGACAATAACGTATGTAACTTACTAGATAATAAATAAAAGATGTCCATGTATCATTACAATTTTATTAAGTTAAATATGCTCACATATATAGATATAAATCAGATATAAAAAAAAATGAACATATTTATGTACAAATATGTAAATATCTCCTAAATTTCATTAAATCTTATACATCAATAAAATATGCCTTCCTCCCCTTCATATACAGATATATATATATTATTTGGTTACTATTAAATGTAGTACTACCTTCTACCACCTGGCACTAACATAGCGATGTTGTTCCCACTTAAAAGCATTCTACCGTGATGTCTCAATTCGGTATCGCACTGGTTATGGTTATCGGTAATGTATTCAACAGCATCTTCAATAATAACATTTACAAAATCGTCGAAACCTACTAATTTACCGGTAAATTCACGGTTAGATTGCAATATAATCCATACTGGTTGGTTAATTGTCTTGTCAATAATCTCCAAAGGTAATATAACTTCGGTTTCACTCATCTCTGCTAAACTAATATGTAAATATAGATAGATCAATCAATCAATCAACTGTAAATATACTCTGAATGTCAATCTAGAACCCAACAACTTCCTCATTCGAATAAATATCAACCATCTTGTTTAAATCAACCCAACTGGGCTTTAATATCAGTTCGAGGTCTCTTAGCTGAGCTCAATTTTTCATGGGTCCATAAAATCACGAGAGTCCGGGTAAATGGTATCACGTGATGTATATATGCAGGTGGTAGGTGACAGAGGGACTGGGACATGACAGGAACACCATGATCACCTCAAGAGACCAGTTGTTGACCATAAGAACTGGTGAACTCAGGTTCGATAATGATGGATCGTTTCAATTTTATTGATTGTTAAGTACCATTTGAGGTTACTCTGTTGTTAATCGACGTAATAGGACAGGCAAAGTAGAGCATAATGGGATAAATCGGCGACTGCTGTAACCTCAACACATGACAGTGCTTTGCTGTGTCTCTGTCCTGGTACCCTTGATTGTATTAGATGAATTAACGCATAGATAACATTAGCCGTTTGTTTGTTATTCTACATAGGTGTGTGTGTGTGTTTGAGTTTCTTTATCCTTTGGAAAACTGGGTTGCTACTCGATGAAGTCTGATAAAGGGTACATTGGCTGCCATGCCACTAATTGAACTTTTGATCAAAAATGATGTTATACCGATTTCACAGACATATAAATTCTATAATAGAGTTGCATTCATTCAAAAATATTAAATCGATAAGATAATTATTTCCCATTCAGCCATTCCAAGTAAAGCCAACCAGAGCATTTCTTTATTCAACCAAACAGCAATGTTCAAACCAGTTATTTCCTATTCTTCAAGATACGTGGTGGGACGCCATATCATGCAAAGACAGTTATCCACATCATATGCACTGATGGGTGAGATGGACAAGCATTTGAAACAGAAACCTATCTTATCAAGTGAGGAAAGACAAGAACAAAACATGTTTAATAAGAATAAAGCTATCCTAGAGAAAATGGAACACGATAAGTTAAACCATGATAACGAGTTGAAGCCAGATATGGAGACTCTAAAACAGTTTGGTGATAATGCAAGAATTGAACAAAACAGACCCGATGATGGTGTCTACTAGTAGGTCTCCCACAACTCCACATAATATATGTTTATATTTAAATATTTACATTTACAATTACACTTACATTTATATATTTCTTCCCCTTCCTTACTCATATGTAGCATTAAATAGTTGTGCTGTTAATTTTATAGTTACTGATAATGTATATCTCTTTGCAGCAAATAAATGATTTGATTCTAATTAACACACATATTCACATAGATGGATCCACATACTCAAATCCAATCTCTTGACTGGTATGCATCAGTTTGATCTGATTCATTTTACAGCTCTGACCATGAATGCATTGAAATAAGTAGTGAATTTTGATCTGTTAAGGTGAAAAATTCTCATATTTAAAAGTTGGGCCTTAAGAGAAATGCACTTTCGAAATAGGATGATTGATTTCACAAGGGATGGAAGTCTTGTAGGATAAAGAAGGTTCTAGGTCAGGTCAATTGAGGTATTGATATATTTGTTAGTTTTTTTGTTTGGGTTTGTTTGGGTTTTCCATCTTTAAAATCACTTTTATTCGATGTCCACTTTTGTTACACCGTTACAGTTTAGCACTGTACAGCCAAATCTTTATAGAGGGTCGTATCCAAGAGAGATAAATCTGCCTTTTATTGAAACTTTAAACTTAAAGAATGTCATATCTTTGACTCCCAAGGCTATTGATTCTGAATCAGATGGGTCGTTGACAAATTTTTGTAATGCTAATAATATTAATTTGATACATATTCAAGCAGGGAAGGTTAAAGTTCCCAAGGATAAAAGTAAAAAAGCAGATAAACCAAAAGTTAAAAGGAAACAGAAGGCTGTTCCTATTGAATATGATACTGTTATTCAGTGCATTAGAGTTTTAATTGATAAGAACAACTATCCTTGCTATATCCATGGTGCCACAGATAATGATATGATTACTTCACTTATTGTTGCATGTTTAAGAAAATTAAGCTTTTGGAGTAATATTGCTATAATAAATGAATATTTGACTTATAATTCAAGTATTAATATTCATGAAAGAAACTTTATAGAAAATTTCAATTCAGAAATTACTATTGATAATACTAAATTAAAGGATAAAGTTCCTTGGATACATATGCAGTCTATAACGAATACAAATAAGACCCTCCCGAAGCTGGTCTTTGAGCAACAATAACGATTAATAACAAGAAATTTCAATTACATGCATTAGAAACTATTTTATTCCCCTATTCTTCTCTTTTTATTTTTATAATAAGATATAAATTAGTTTATCATTACAAATATTATTTATTGAAATAATAATGAAGCTGCAAATTCAGCATTACCACCTGTTTGGGTTAAAGCTTTTATCACTTCAGCTCTAGAGAATCCCAGGTCCATAAGCTTTTTTATTGTAGATTCTGGGAATGTTTTTGCTGCTTGTGGCTGAGATTGTGATACGTTTGGATTGGCCACAGTGGCTTTATTTGTATTTGGCTTACTGATTTTACCACTTGTAGTCGAGACGGGATTGCTATCCTTTGCTGGTGACTTATTGGCCTCATCGGCACTCTTAAATTGAACACCATTTGATGTTCCAAAATCTTTTGGAATCTCTGATTCACTTAGGAATTTGGTTTCAACACCAGCAATCATTAATACATCTCTCTTTAAGTCAACACAGGCTTGGTGCCTCTTTAACATATCTAGACCGATTAACAAATCCATTGGAGTATCTAACACAGTGAAACTACAAGGAATAAATTGAGTTTCAATTTTAATCTGTGCTTGATGAATTCTACCTAAAATTTTACCGACACCAACACCATGAGCTTCACCTATGAATCTTTTATCAACTAATCTACTCAAGCCTGTCTTTTCTGCTAACCTACTTGATAAAATGGTCATTTGAGCTCCAGTATCAACAAATGCTTTAACTGGAGTGCCGTTGATCTCCAAGTTAATAAATAACATATGGACTGATGTGAAAACTTCAGGAGTGTATTCCAGAGCATTTCTCATTTGTTCATCAATCTCTTGCTGATCAATTAATTCTGTGATTCTTTTCTGATTCTCTGGGTCATCTGGGTTACTCATTAATCTTGTATATTCTTGTTGTGGGATACCAAATGGGTTTTGAGGGGTTGAACCAGAATAACGTCTTTGTAAAATAACTGGACCTAAAACTTCTTTAAATCTTACAGAATCATTCAATAGAGTCTCTAACTGAGGCAATTGTGAAACTAATTGAGATTTTAAAATTGGGTTTCTGATAACTTCATTACGAAATTCTTCAATAAATTCATCATCAGTTAAATCTGTAACTGGAACAGCACTCTCTACATTAACCTTATTTCTAATAAGCAACAAATCATCTTTGCTCAATCCAATATCTTTCAAAGTCTTTTGATCGTCATTCAAATCTAATATATCCATATTATGATATAAATCATGAATAGATTTATTAAAGCTACATTCGCTTTCAATCAATGCTATAAAATCTTGTAATGACATCTCATCACTTATATCAAGCGGACCAAAAATTTGACCATTAATTTCATTAGATACTGTAATCTCCATTTCCCAAGTTATTTATCCTTATATGCCTTACCAATATGAATATTTCACCAAAGTTTCTCTTTAGTAATCAACTTCTTATAGATGATTTTTAACTAAGATCAAGTACTTCCATTTTTAAAGCATTGGAAAGGGCCCTTTAAATATATTGAAAAAAAGAAAGTGATGGAAAGGTGACAACAAATGTGGATTATAAATGAGTCTGGATAGTTTATTTTTGTCTTATGGAAGTAAAGGCTGGTACTATTCTATAGTATAATTTTTTAGGTTTCTTGTGGAGTTTTTCAATTAAAATTCTGTTAGGTATTGGTTGTTTTATGGAAGATTTAAGAACTTATTGTTGGTCTTGAATTATTATATATGCAAGAATTGTCCTGATATAAAATTTATTAGAATATATATTAGAATAAACTCATAACATTAGAGTAAATAAATAATTATAATTTAAAAACATTTATAGATATCAATATATATGAAATATCTGAAGAAGAGAAAAGAAAAAGATATATTTACAGAGAATAACTGTCATAAATATAAATACAAGTATTGTATGGCATCTGGCGTTGAACCAATCTATTTAGCAAGTTTGGATGTTTCTCTCAAAATCTTGCTACCAGGCTGAGAAGCAGCCTTATCCGCCAAGACAGAAATGACATTTCTAACAGGTAATCTTGGCTTTCTTAATTGAGCAGCGAATAAGATCGAACTGGTAAACAGAGCCAATGCACCAGCTTGATGAGCAGCGGCCAATGGAATTGGGACAATGTAGATGATGGTGGAGATACCTAAGGCAACTTGTAAAGTAACCAAACCCATCATAGCATGAACCATAGTATTGGCATTTTTTGGGATAGCAGTCTTGTTCTTACTACACATCATGTGTAAACCAAATACGGCAAGAAAAGCTGAGCAACCCAAGATTCTATGGACCAATTGGACGGTAGTTGGGTTTTCTAATAAATTTCTCCACCATAGATCACTCTTATCTTCAGTACGGGCATAACTTGGATCCATTAATTCACGAGAATTTGGAACCCAATGTTCACCCATCTTTGGGAAACTGTTATAGATTAAACCAGCATCCAAACCAGCAACCATACCACCAGACATGGCAGTAAAGAAGGTAAAAGCTAGGACCAAGATAGCCGCTTTTCTAATCTTACCAGCTGGTGAACCATCTAATTGTTTGAAAATTGACATAGCTTCTTTTGGATTTCTAACCCATTTGTTTTCTCTCAAAATGTTGAAACCAGTCCAGATCATACCCATATATAATAAGAAAGCAGCACCTAAATGAGTAGTCAATCTATATTGAGAAACAGTTGGTTTTGATTTTCTAGCGTCCAGTTGTTGTTGATCCAAACCTGAGTAAACCATCCACCAACCGATGACACCTTGCAAACCCAATAAACAAGTCAAACCAAAGATTCTCTTGTTAGCATGAGGAGAAGCCTTCTTGCTGACAGCGAAATAAATTGCAGGTAGGATGAAAACAGCACCAATGGCACGGCCCCATAATCTATGGAACCATTCCATAAAGAAGATGAACTTAAAGTCATCTAAGTCGATATGAGAGTTCAATTGCTGGAATTCAGGAGATGATTTATATTTTTCAAATTCAGCTTCCCATTCCTCTTGAGTCCAAGGGGGAATAGCACCAGTAACAGGTTTCCATTCAACAATACTTAACCCAGATTCTGTCAGTCTTGTCAAACCACCTAAAATAACAATACCAAAAACCAAACCAGAAGTACCCATTAACCAATAGGCAACAGATTTAGAAGAGAATAGAATCTTCTTCTTACCACCAATAGAAGATTTAGCACTTTGTTCTAAAATACTAGAAGAAGCAACACTAGCGTTTTTCAAAATTCTAGTAGTATTCAAAGAACGAACAAACCTCAATTCCCTCATAACATTAGAAACATTCTTACCATTCACCATCAAAGATGGAACTCCTCTAGATATACCTTTAAATAACACATTACTAGATTTAACAGTTCCTCTGAGTCCAGAACCCAAAACCAGCCTCAACAAGGACATCTTTGGATCGATAAAAACAGAAAACCTACCTGGATAACTAAACTCTACAAACAAAAAAAGACTACAAGAATAACCAAGACTCAATCAACATCATATCCACATCCTTATATACTTATATTTACATTTACATTTACATCTGAAACTTTTTGCTCATGGTCAACTTTTCCAACCTCATTTTCTTGTTAGATATCGATATTTTTTCATTACGTATAGTTAAGCTTTGGCTTCACTATGACATAGAGATCCGAAATATTTCCATAACGACAAGCTCACGACATTTGGCAAGAGCAAATTGATGATGGATTACGATATGTAGAGTAATGTGATGATAACTTATATTTAAACTACTTGGGTTATTTTAGTAATGGTAGATTAAGTTCTAGATGCTATTGTTTCGATGGTGGATGGGAAATTTTGCATTTACCATATTTGCTTTGATACCATCTTATATCTTGTGACATCTTCTAATGAACGAGGGTTCTTGTCATCTTTCTTCTTTCTCTTTTCGTTCAATGTCTGTGAAATTATGTTTGTGTGGTTACCAGTTGCTGTTGGTGTCGGTGTCGGTGTTGGCGGTGGTGATGTCAGTATTGAATGGTCGTTATTGTCTTGGTATATTATTCGTAATGTGGATTCGTCAACTTTACCTATCCCGCTGGCTAATTGGCCTGGTACGTACTCTCTTTCTGTGACAGCAATGTCGATTCTTTCTCTGATCATTTCTTTTCGTATGCTTTTCCCCCATTTTAATAGTGTTAAATGTGTTGTGTATTTCAGTATTACTAAAAACAAAAACCCTCCTATTACTGTCAAAAATGTTAACAGGATTGAAGATGTCGGTAATGCTTGGATCACTGCGGGTCTGATCATGACCAGAAATAGTACTGTTAATGCTGGTAATGGTAATCCTAATCTGTCTTGATATTTTTGTAATCCTGCAACATGATCTTTATAGATGATATAAAAAAATTTGCGATATATTCTTGGTCTCATTCTATTAAATTTTATAATATATGCATGTTTTGCCCAATCTACTATTAGCTCACTACCTATGACACTAACCATTGGACCGCACAATACACCTATCACCACAGAGGATGTTGTGTGTAACGTCCATGAAGTTGGAATAACTGTAGCTATTGAACCGGCCCTTGCTACTAAATTTCTGATCGAAATTATCATCAGAAAAACAATGACTTGAAATCTCTCTACGACGTCAGATATTGATATTTGGAATAATCCTTCTTTATCAAATTTTTTAAACACTGAAGATTTCATTTCTGAGAATTGAATCGATAAAAGCAACGTCAATAGAGAATTGGAGTATGAATTGACTGCGACATTTAATGAAACAGTTTGATAAATTAAAACATAACCATGGGCGACTAAATAACATAAACTTAGTGCTGCAAAAATTGCCTTTTGTAATATTATCCTTTTCTGTCCCTTGATGGATAGTACTACAGATAATAAACTTTGGCCTAGAGTAGCTAACATCTTGTCCCCCATATCCAATACACTGTATAACATGTATAATTTAACGGCACTTTGCCTTTTAATATTATGATAAACTTTTGAAGTATCTAATCTTGTTAATAAAATTGATGCAGTTATAATGAGAAACATGATTAATCTTTCTTTTCTAGTTCTTGAAGCTCTATTATTTGAAGCTTGAGTTAAATCTAAAAATACACCATGTACTAAACGTATAGGTAATATTGTAAAATAATATAAATAGCAATCAAAAGACGCTAACAATGTTAAAAGCATGAATTTTTCTAAATGCAAAGGAATACTGAACATATTAATCAATTGTTCTAATTCATAATCTTGTATACTATTCTCATCCTCGTCTTCTTCAACTTCATTTACATTCAAAGAATGATTCACTTCCTGTAACAGAAACCTGAAAATATTCCCTGTGCTATGATTACGTTTCCTACCATTGGTTCCTGTAGTGGTAGACTTACCAACCTTCCTTCTTAAAGGTTTAGTATTACTATGTTTTAAATCTTTAATACTTTTACTACCCTTTGATATTAGATCATCATCGTGGTCTTTAGGAACATTAGACATAGTATCAATAAAATTAGTTGAGCAACAATTTGATGAACATATATATAATTAATAATCTTGATGAATGCGGCCCCAATTGGTCTGGTTGACCTGCCTCAGCTTGTCAAATTGAGATGAGTTTGGTTTAAAACTGATTAAAATTTAAATATCTGCAACATTTTTTAACCGGAGCGATCAGAGATGAGATGAAATGACAGTCTGTTAAAATGTCATGAAATGGTAAGATTAATAAAAGTAAGCTCATTGTTGTAAAGAGCTGATTAGACATTAAATCATTTTATGAGTTTTACAGAAATAACAAGTTGGATATTTATTGGATTTCGTATCTTTTGGTTCAAGTAAGCCTGGCAATTTCTGAACGACATTGATATTCTATTGGTTAAGAATTGTACTCCAAATTTTAGGGTGTGAATACTTTGTACCTACTAGAGGTTTGGTTCTTGGTAAATTGGAAGTTTGTAGCAGTGGATTTAGCAGTTCCATTTATATGTATTGTTTTTAAAACATTCCATATCATTTTATTGATAGTCCTTCTTTGAAATACACTATGTTTTGGCTAAACAATAAAATTTACAAACAATAAAATGAGTGTCCAAATTCTATTTGAGTCAACTTTGTGAGTATTCTATTTAATATGGTGATAATCATATGAATTACACCATCAAAATAATATTTAAATAGTATTAATACATTTGGTGCCTGTACCTTTGTTGTAAACCCATATTTTTGTCATCTGCAACTACAGGGCAAAAACTATATAGAGACTATATACTCTATATCAAGTGCAATTGCTGCAATAAAGTGGCATGGTTTGTCACTATCATTATTCTCATATTTATTTAATATATTATGATTATTTCTGTGTGTCATTTGCTTCATTTATATCAATATTTGGTTGGATCACTTTCAGAGACACTAATTCATTATCGCTATCCAAGTAATACAACAACAGCTTAATCATTGTCTTAAATGCATTTACAGAAAATTCAGTTGTGATAAAAAGCCAAATGATAGATAGTATGGATAGTGTGTTCAAGTCCATTTCATTGTGATTGACAGACACTTGAGTTTGAAGCTTCTCTCTATACATATCATTGAAGAGGTGAAATGAGTGGTCAAAAAAAAATATTAAAAAAGAAAATTAGCGCCGCTCGGTTTCGATCCGAGGACATCAGGGTTATGAGCCCTGCGCGCTTCCACTGCGCCACGGCGCTTGCTAATTTGTTGAAATAATAAGCTAAATGTTTTGACCATAATCCAGCTGACATAAACAATATTTATCTTATAACTTCATGCTTTAATGAACTCTATTACTGTTATTTGTAACATACGAGTGTAATAGAATCGATTATCTATTTGAGTGTTTGTAAAACAAGAAATTTGGAAAGAAGGTAGTACATAAAAGTGACTACAAAAGCCAGACACCACATACATTTGAAGGTAGATAAACCTGTTCATCACTTATTATCTAATGTAGTTTGTCCAGCATTTTTTCCCTAAGTCTTGTGGTGTATACCCCCAAACGCACAGAAAGGAAAATTCATAATAAGAAATGGTTAAACTACGCGACTTCTCTGAGAGATCAGGCAACAAACAGAAAACGTCCAAAAATTGAATTTGCGCGAACATGTGAATATCACATGACTATATTGAAAAATTACTATCTTCTCAGTTAAACTTAGTTACTACTAATAAGAACGGTCACCATATCGGATATAGTCCAACAATACTATTGCATTCTGATGACATTTAAATATATAACATGCAATAAACTGCACAATATTCATATAAGACCATGAGTTTCCATTATATAAATATATATTCGATTAAGGAATAGCTCCTGCCTCTGCAATAGGTCAATTCGTCCAGTACTATGATTATATTCATATAGACGTATATGTAATACGAAAAGAAGTAATAGTAATAGTAATTGTAATTGCTTGATCCAGTTATATCTTGTCAGAATTGTCGATGGGGCTAGTATATCACGTTAATTCAGGTTTGTATGATGTGTTTGAAGTGTAATTTAGATTTGATTTGGTGTGAACGCATATTTCGATTCATTACCCACTGCCAGTCAGTACCTTGCTTGTTCGTAGATTGTACGTGTAAAGAAGGACAGTGATACTCGTTGAGGAAGTATCTTTTTGTTGCGCAATGTGTGAGGAAAAACTTGGTGAATTGTAGTGGGAATAGGTAAGTAAGCAAGCCTTAAGCAAAGGTTAAAGATTAAAAGATGTCCTAGTAAAGCATCAATATACTTCAATTGGATATAATTGGGTAAGTTCGTAATTGATATTGAGTTCTAAGTGATCCAAGAACAGTTTTAGGGTATGTAACCATCTGTATATATGATTGACATTTTCAGATTTGTTATAGAAAGTTATCACACTTTCACGGTTCACTTTTAATAAATATTTGAGATCGATAGTGGGGGGTTTAAATTCAAGAGACCATGCAAAGGGGCTGTTTTAGTTAGTTAATCTATAGTATATCTGTGAAAATGTGGACGAAATTTGATAATGAATACTAACTGATAGATTTCAAAGTCCTTTTAAAGTAGAATCATGCCTCCAAAGCAACAATTGTCAAAAGCTGCTAAAGCTGCTGCCGCTATGGCTGGTGGTAAGAAGTCCAAAAAGAAGTGGTCCAAGAAGGCTCACAAGGACAAGGCCAAGCATGCTGTTATCTTAGACCAAGAAAAATACGACAGAATCTTGAAAGAAGTTCCAACTTTCAGATATGTTTCTGTCTCTGTCTTGGTTGACAGATTAAAGATTGGTGGCTCTTTAGCCAGAGTTGCCTTGAGAGACTTAGAAAAACAAGGTATAATCAAAGCCGTTTCTAAACACTCCAAACAGGCTATCTACACCAGAGCTGTTGCTTCCGAATAGATCTAATTTATTTTAGCTTTGTTTTAATTTTAATTTAATAAAAATAAACCAACCTGTAGCATCTCCCAAAATGTCTGCCTTTCCCTCAACTCAACTCAGCTTAACCCAATTGAAATAGAATTAAATGAGTAACCCATCAGTCTTAGCCACCACCTCACTGGTTCTTGTTCTTGTTCTTGTTCTTTGTTCGTGTCGTAACTTCACCTCATCTCATCTCATTCTTAACACTGTGTCACAATACCATATACACAAACACGTGCAAACAACGTGACAAACACGTGCAACAAACAACAGCCACAAATGCCCTAACATGGTACAAATACCATACGTATACAATGACAACAAAGAAAATTTTTCTTCGTAATTCGAAATTTTCAAAATTCGAACGAGTATTTAAACAAGACGGAAATCGAGAAAGAATTGTGAATGTTAAAGTATTTCGAATTCGAAACTGTTATAGATCTATTTGTTTCCGGTTTGATTTAACAATAGCTCTTACTTTTTAAGCATTGTTAGTTGATATGGAGACAATCAAGGAGTGTCGAGTCTAGTTTGTCAAGGCGGAGTGGCAATAGAATGCACAATTGTTGTTGTGTTTGTTATCTAAGTCAAAAATTTAAGGATTTCCTTTTTCAGGATAATTATAATTATCTTAACGTTATTTTATTTTGACTGCTAGGCAGCAGTGGGGGATTCTTTATCTTTTTATCTCTTAGATATTACATTTATTGATGACTTTGTATCTTTCTTTAATTAGTATCTGAACTTAAGAATATGATTATGAACATTATAGGACCGTCTTCGGATGGTCCCCCTTTACTGAGGAAGTATATGCAGGACATATTGTTATTTAGGAATTCTTCGTTTATGATCTTAACTGTTTCGATATATAATTACCCATCTCCACCATGATAGATAGTCTCGGCGAATTTTAGTTCCCTTTGGCTCGTTTTATGCGAACGTGAAACATGAGTACATGTTTCATCATTGATATGTTATTAACTACATTTTGTATCGACTTATCATACACTTTCAATGATACTTTCAACTGATGAATAGACAACCACATTGTCTTTTTATATCCAGCGATGATTCTTTGAATATGTGCTCAGGATAATAACATGCATCACCATCTGACTTTTAGTTTATCCTAACCGGGGTTACTTAAATGGTATCATTGGAAATTGATTTGTTTTTGCAATTGTATATTCTATTACATATCAATGATTAAGTTTGACTAGTTCAACGGGAATTAGTGTTTTTTTTCTTAATCAACCATAATGTTTGAAGAAATTTAAATGATGATAAAACTTTATTTTTCAGTTCTGCTTCTGAACATACAGGAAGATAACCATTTTACCAAGCTCATATTTCTGACATCTTTTCTTCAAATATTCATTTTCTTGAATACTACTCTAGATATTTCTTGCTGTTAAATTATTCTTGGATCATCCACGTAAATCGAGTTTTAATACTTACAAAGTCTTGATCCAGTTCATCCATGTGCTGCCAATTATATCTTGATTCCCAGATTATAGAGAATGGAATTACAGTGCCCCCCCCCTGCATAGAATGTAAGTCTTTAAATTTTCTTCCTATTGTTACTGATTTATCAATTGGGATGTTTAAAAAGCTGCGATGAGTTGAAAGTTGCAAATTAAACTTCTTCTGATATAAAAGTGGAAGCTAGAGATATAATCAAACGATGGCAAACTCAAGATTCGAATATGTTAAACAATTCGAAACTCATGATACTCTATTACCACAGACCTATATAGTTGTAAGAATTGATGGTAAAAAATTTCATGAGTTTTCTAAATTCTATGATTTTGCTAAACCCAATGATGAAAGAGCTTTAAAATTGATGAACGCTTGTGCTAAGAATGTTGTATTACACTATAAAACTGATATGATAGTAGCATTTGGTGAAAGTGATGAATATTCATTTATATTAAAAAAGGATACCACTCTATATAGACGAAGATCAGAAAAGCTCTCCACCCTCTTCGTTTCTTTATTCACTTCGAATTATGTTGCATTATGGCCAAAATTCTTTCCAGATACTCCACTAAACCATAAGTATCTACCATTTTTTGATTCCAGATGTGTAGTATATCCTAATATCCAAATTATCAAGGACTATCTAAGTTGGAGATTCGTCGACACCCATATCAATAACTTATACAATACTGCATTTTGGCAATTGATCCAAATATGTGGGTTAACTGCCCAAGAGGCTGAGAAAAAGTTAATGGGTACATTCAGCAATGATAAACAAGAGATTTTATTCACTGAATGTGGTATAAACTATAATAACGAACCAGAAATGTACAAGAAAGGTTCATTGATCACTAGAAAGGGTGAAATTTTGCATATTGATGTCATTAAACAAATTAACGAACTATTTGTTGGCTTTGAATAATATAATTAATAATATCAGCTTTTAATAAAATAAGAAATAATAAAATACTTTGCACAATTAATATTTTAATAGAAATTAGAGATATTAAATTCATAAATACAAAATAGAGATTATATAAAATAAAAATAAATTAAATTAGAGTCTAAACTCGTACAATTACTAATTGTGTAATAACAAATAATGCGTATATTCATAATATATTTATAAGTTCGGTGTCGTAATAAAAAGTCATAATAAAGAATAAAATTCATTAGTTCTTTGGAAATTCTTTATCAAAATCAGTCAAAGTGAATCTATATCTAACATCACCTTTCTTCATTCTAATAAAGGCTTCAGAGACACCAGCTTCACCTACTGGTAGCTTTTCGACCCAGATCTTAATATCCTTTTCAGCAACCATATGTAATAATTCCAACAATTCCTTTCTGGAACCCAACAAACTATTAGAGACATAGACACCTAATAAACCTAATGGTTTAACAATCATCATTTCGTCATTTTCTGGCACACAAATAGAAATAATCTTACCTTCAACTTTCATGACCTTAATTAGATCATCCAAATTGATTTGAGATAAAGATGAAGCACATAAAATCATGACATCTAAGGAATTGAAATATTTTTCAGTCCAGCCTTCTTCTTCTAAAGTAGCAATATAATGGTCAGCACCCAACTTCATAGAATCTTCTCTCTTGTTTTCATGACGAGAGAAGGCATATACTTCAGCACCCATTGCCTTGGCAAATAGAATACCCATATGACCAATACCACCGATACCGACAATACCAACCTTCTTACCTGGGGCACAACCACCTCTAACTAATGGAGAGTAGACAGTAATACCACCACATAATAATGGAGCAGCTAGATGGGTAGGAATCTTCTCTGGAACTGGAATAACGAAATGTTCATGGACTCTAATATGAGAAGCGTAACCACCTTGAGAGATATATCCATCTGGATAAGCTTGATTATAAGTAGTGACAAATTTAGGACAGTATGGTTCATTGTCATGTTCACAACGTTCACAATCTAAACAGGATGCAACTTGGGCACCAACACCAACACGATCACCAATTTTCAAACCAGTGTGACACTCTGGGCCTAATTTGATGACACGACCAATAACTTCATGGCCTACAACTAATTTATCACGTCTTTCACCCCAGTCACCAGAAGCACAGTGGATATCAGAACCACAGACACCACAAGCTTCAATTTCAATATCAACATCACATTCTTTGAATTCTTTGGCAGCATAAGAAACATGCTTTGGGTGGGTCCAGTTATCCTTGTCGACAACACCGATACCTTGGAAGTATTCTGGATAAGACATTGCTAAAATTGTATTTGAATAAAGTAAAATTAATGGAATAAGTTTCTAAAAACTTGAATTGATATAGGTAGGATTAATATCAATAAGAATATTTGATCTTTTGAGTTGATCGATGATGGTTTTTATATGTTATAATAACAAAGATGAGACAAACGAAACATCTTGATTTTATTTTATCATCGAAATATCGAACCCTTATATATGTTTTAAATTTAAATCAATTTACTAAATTGATTGTTTTAATGTTACAGGATGGCGTTAGTTACATATCTGTATCTACTGAGTGTTGATATCTATAGGTACTATATTGGATGGTCGGTAATATAAAAAAAGGTGATATAATCGTATTTTTATTAAACAAACGTTATTCATGTCAATAAGAAAATTATATTGGACCTTTTGAAAAACCTTAAAACAGTTTTCAACACCGCTAATAATCAGACACATTCATATTGTCCAACCTTATAGAGTCGGATTAATTAAATGTACATCAAGGAACTTTGTGAAGGCAATGAGGTCGAAAGAAAAAACCGTTATGCTGGTTCGAGAATCCTAATTAATAAAAATCCGATCCCAGCAATATGCAACAAAACCTACGAGTCCAATGCATCGATGGACTTAAAATTTGAAATAACCATAGTACTAAGTTGAAGAGGAACGACAATAGGAAATAAAGAGGTGAAGATGCAGCAATTGGGAAAAATTTAAACTCAATAAAGAAATATATTTACACATGAGGACCAATCGTAAACAAACCCCATACTTCAACAAGAACAACGCCAACAAATACAAGTCTTAGGTATTTTAAAGACAATTCGAAATAAGAATAGGCAAGGATTAAACGAAACAATTCTAGAAACATTTGTCCACTAGATAGATATCTTGGGAACGAGAAATTAGACAGGTTAGATTTAAAAACTAAACCCATACTTGATCTTGCATATACTCAACATCTTTTGAAGCATATCAATCGTACTTGCCCTGTTTATTCGAACGTGTTGGAAACGATACCCCACGATTCAGTGCTATAAGCAAGACCTCATTGCACTGCAAGTATCTTATATCTTATATCTATCTAATACCGTTGCAGAGAAATTTACAGCAATTGGTATCCTCAAGACAGTTGATGGCTTGACATTGGTACAGCAATGGTAACTGATGGTTAAGGAAAAATAATAACAATAACTTCGACAACCATAACTACGTAATTGCTATAGTTTCTGTCAATTGGGTTATTCCATCATGGTGGTTTCCTACAAGCTTGCAAATAAGTCCATTGCTGTAACCAAGTTAAAACTCTACTAAGAGAGAAGGACAAATATCTTAACAGTAATATTAAACAGATGGATGGTCCTGAATACAATGTTGTAAGGCAACCTGTAATATCAAATGTATTTTTTTACGTACATCAAATCAAGTTCTTGCTTTCGAGGCAATTTTGTTCACTTTCTCTCTTTGGAGATATCTTGATATCGTCAGTTCTCTCTTCCTCAGTGGTTGATTGGCTGAATTACCGCATTGCTGCATTGCTGAACAAGACAGAACTCTAGTAAGATGCATTAGAATATAAGAATTTGTTTAAGAACGATATTCAATAATCCTCTCGTTGGGGGGAATTTTCATCGGTGTTATAGTATCTAGTTTTGCAGCAATTTACGTATACTTTTTGCAACATTTTGAATTGAACACTTGCTGTTACTTCAAGATACTTGGGATAACAACATCAACAGCAACCATTGGGAATTGGGAATTGTACAAGAGATCTCATCATATGTTAGACTAGTTCAATTGAAGATGCAAGTAAAAAAAATTGTTATATTATATCTTGATTTTGTAGAACGATATTGGAATGGTAGTATAAACTACTACTGGCTACAATTCGTTGTCTTGCTTAGTTGTAAGATATTTATGTTAACGTATATTAAGCTGAAAACGTTTTGTACATGGTAATGGAATGGGTTGGAACAATGGTGGTGTATTCTGAGTACTAGAGTTGTTTTTAAACTAACTCTGGGGTAAAAAGGATTAGATAACATTATTTTGGAAGGTCTTGTCTTGTCATTGCATATTAACATTTTAAAATAACTCTATGTTTACAGTTTTATGCTTCTTAATACCGTTCTTGTGAGTGAAATATTTCACCAACATTTCGTCTTTAGTTAAATATGTAGTATGCATTAAGTAAGCTAGCATATATAGGAGTTATTAAAGTTGTAATTATTTAATTATTTATTTATTTATCTATCTTTAATGGTAATATGATTGTTGATAGCTCCATATCGGAACTATATGATATATACCATTGCTAATGTTCGTATACTAATCGTATCATGCTTGTCTGAATTCAGAAATGATGAAGGTCTCAACATGGAGGAAGACTGTTTAATCGATCAATTATGTTTAAAAATTAGATGAAATGAAGTGAAATAAAAGATAATAAAATTCTTAAACTTTTTTCTTATCGTACTACTTAAAATTCAAAATAACTATACGATAAGAATGTTCTGTTTGCTTTTATTTTGCTTCAAATTCTTAGTTTTAATCCCTTTTAAATCTATTTGTTATTTTCGTTGTCATTGTCGTTGTAATATTTCTCTTCCTCCATCATTAGTTCATGAGTGTTATTCCCTGTGGTGATTTCTTCCTGACTTGAGCTGTATAAGGTACTAGATCTCAAGTCAGTTGGATTTCTGGAATGTCTTTCACTGCCTAACGCATAACCACTAATGAAACCTCCATCTCTGTCTAAAAAATGGTTGTCGTATGCACTATCCAATACCATTTCATCCTCTCTAGAGTTGAATGGGGGTGGACTATTCTCAAATGGTATCGGTGATTCATAAAGGTCATTATCAGTGTTCTTACCAACTAATTTTCTCCACCAAGTAGCAAAAATGTTTGGATTATAAGTCGTCACAACTTTACCATCAGAATCGATAAAATCATTTCTTTTATTTCTTAAACAGCATGTAAAAATGATAACACCAATTGAAATTAGAAATGGGACTCCAATACCTACTACACAACCTATAATAATATTACGATTCTTTGTACTTAGACCTTGGCCATGAGTTGCAGCTGCATTATTGCTGGCTGTTGCGGAATATGTAATAGTTGTATAATGATTTGAAAGAACTGTGTGACCACTAATGACACTTGTAATTGTAGTAATTTTAGAAGTTGGTGTCATTAGATAACTGTCAGTGTCATCATCCCAAGAACTAGAAGAATAATCACTATCAGAAGATAGTGATTCAGTCGTTTCTGATGGTGTTGGTGTAACCTGTAATGAATCCGTGTCTAGCTCAGTCGACGTAACTGAAGGTGACAGTGAATCAGATTCGAAATTTGATGAAGTTAATACTACATTTGAAGATTTTGGCGTATTTATAGTACTTTTTATGGAGCTGTGTAATGGGTATGTTGAAGTACTTATTAAAGAACTGGTCTGAATTGAATTAATGGTTGTCGCCAAATTCAAGCTCGACTCAGTTGAGTAAGTTAAATACTGGTATGAATTGAAACTTGGAGTTGATTCAGAAGATGTTAAATACGCAAATGCATCTATTGTTGAAACTGAATCTGAGGATAACTCAGATAAAGTTGACGTCGTTAATGTAGATGGTGTGATCTGTGAAGAGAAAAGGTCGGATGACGATTCAGGATATGGAATTGTAATACTGTCATATGTGATAGTTGTAGTATACACCATGACACTAGAATATTCAAAAGAAGTGGATGTCAAAGTTGTAGTTGTAGTCCGTATTAATATACCATTTTCTGAAGATGATTTAGCAACCGTGTTAATTAAATCAGACTGATAACTTGAATCAGCATGACTCTTGGATGTAGAAAAAATATCGTTTGTTAAACTAATACTATAACTATAAACATCGGGTGTAATGTATGAATATTGTATACTTGTTGCTGAATGGGCTTCAACTGTAGGTGTCGAACTATTTACATGAAAAGCTGGTGATAGATCTATGCTAGAGACTTTCACTGGGTAAACTATAAAAAATAACAAATATGGTATACTTTTCAATAAACCTACTTGATTCATAGCATTAACATATTCCTGGTATGATATACCTTTAACTTTGTAATGCTGTTTTATATCTAGTGGATAACTTTCTAGAAATATAGGTTTTAGAAATTATCAATGACAGCAACTCTTTGATTCAAGTTTCAATCTCCTATTCCTCACTATCCCAAATACTTTAAAGTTTTGCCCGTTAATTTTATTTGTTTTACTTAAGAAAGATGGCAATTGTTGCTAACAACATCACCATTCTATAATGAATATTATTATTAATATTTTTTTTCCAATCACCTTTCGACCATCATTCGTCGACCAACTAAAACCTGATTCCTAAAATATAATCACGTAAGATCAGATCAGAAATTGGCCATAAGACAAAAATTCTTAAACGTCAAGACAGAAAATTCATTGACCATCCCTCTCTATAAATATCCCAATTAATCTGCATTTAGAATATTAATGGGTTCGAAATCCATATCGAGAAACTCTTGATGGGTCTTACTTCTTGACAAAAATAATATCCCTCTGTCTTTCTTACCTGTCACCATCTTAATTTGGAATCGATATCTTGCAACAACGTCAGTCAACCTTTAAGCATATGTGGAAAAAAAAAATTAAAGCAGTAGATCAAGTGATATACTAAATGAAAATGTGATAAAAAAAATTTTATTGGATTAAAATGTGATTATGGTCGATCAAAATATGTCCAAACAACCTTGCTTGACCTTTTAGAATTCCATTGTGTTATTATGTATTGAAGTCACATCATCGATCGAGTCCAATACGTTTAAAAATTTAGTTAATCTAGCTTTACTTTCTTCATCTTTAATTTCTGTGATCATATCAGATTTAGCAAAGTAACCAATACCAACTTCATTGATTTTGAATCCATCTTTTTTCAATGACAGTGCAACGTTATTGGTTTCCACTGGATCAGTAGTGATTTCAAAAATATTTTCCACCGGTTCGTTCTCTTCTTGTTTGACTTTTTCCAAATCTTCGACACCATCGACTTCCAATACTTTTTCCAATAACTTATCTTCAGTATTGTATTCTTCTGGAGGTTCAATTACAACATAACCTTTCTTATCGAAGAAATATAAGGTTGGAGTCATGGAACCTCCAGCTTTTGTAAAGGCACTACGTATTAAACCAACTGTTCTTGATTTATTATCAGTCAAGGCCTCTACTATAAAAGCAGTTCCTCCTGGACCCATACCTTCATAAAGACAAGGTTCCATCTGGCTCTTATCAGCATTTGAAGTGCCAGAAGCTTTCTTGATAGCATTTTCAATTACTTTCTTGGTGACGTTATTTTTAGCTGCTGTTTCCATTGCAGCAGCTAGACGTACATTTAAATTCGGATCAGTACTACCACCACCTAACTTCACAGCTAAGGAAATCTGATTAGCCATCTTGGAGAACAGTTTATTCTTCTCACTATCATTTTTCATCTTATCATGTTTAATAGTCGACCATTTATTATGACCAGAAAACAATGGTGTGTTGTAACTAGCCCTTATTGAAGCTTTTACAGAACTACTAAAACACCTTATAACATGATTGTTATTCCTAATGACAGGACCTTTCCCATACATTGTAACTTGAATAACAATAGAATACAAATATGATTCCTCAATTGATGAGCTTGTTAGACAATGTGACCTCTTAAACAGCTTCGATTGATATTCGAAGTGTGTTTCATCATGCCTTTTTTTTTATCATAGTAAGCATATTTTTTCACTTTTTCATACTAATCTTCCTCAGCTTTAGAATTCGTTAATAGTATAAAAATTGAGAACCTGACTGTCGTTTCAAATCCCTCTCTAAGTAACTTGAACCTAGATCTATCCAGGATGGTTATCACATCATTTAACGTTAAGCATTGCATTACGAGATAGTACTGTTTATTTTTACTTTGTATTGTTAAATATACAATTTACTTATATGTCTATTTATTTAATTAGCTTATTTCTTCTTGTTCTTGTTCTTCTTCTTTTTATTCTTTTTGTTATTGGCTTTCTTACCATTTTGAGAACTTGGAATTGGACTTGAATCTTCTTGTTGGACATCTACTCCTTCTTCACTTTGTTCTTCACCTTGATTGATAGTGCTTATATCTGTTTTATCATCCATTTCGACTTCAGTTTGAATAGAGGTATCAACCGGTACTTCTTCTTCAGCATTTACTTCAGAATTGATTTCATTGGTTTCTGGAGTTAGTTCTACATCCTCCATATTCTCAGAAGCTTCATTTGCTTCTTCAATATGAGCCTCAGCTTCAACATCATTCTCCACATCTTCAATTACCTCATTCACAACTTCATCAGGAATATCTTGCACTTGTTCTTGTTCTTCCTGTTCTTCCTGTTCTTTCTCCTCACTGATGCTTTCATTTACAGGTTCTTCTTTTAGTTCTTCTTTTATTTCTTTAGCTTCTTCCTGTGTTTCCTCATTTAATTCTTCCTCTTTAGCCTCTTCAACTACATCCTCCTCTACTTCTTCTTTTATTTCATTCTCAAGTTCGATATCTTCTTTTATTTCGTCATCTAAACGGTCTTTTGGTTCTTCTTGAATTTGTTCTGTATCTTCGTGTTCATTAGTGTTGGTATTTTCTTCTCCATCCTGTAGATTAACCTCTTGTAATTTCAATTCTTCTTCAACAGCAGTTTCCTTATTCTCGTTTTCTACTACATCAGTGTTATCTCCATGTTGTTGTTCTTTAGATTCAACTTCAACTTCAGCTTCAACGTGGGGTGTTCCATTTTCATTTGTATTTGATTCCTTTACCTCTTCTATGTATGCGGCTTCTGGTTTTTCATCGACAACACCTGCTGCACCTCTAGAGTCAGAACTTGGAACAATTGGGAAGGTATAACTTTGTAAAATACTTGGATCGGCATCTAAATAGAAACCTCTAACACCAACAATTCTCTTTTCTAACTCACATGCTCTTACCCATTCTGGCCTTACAATTGGAATATTACTTGATTTTGCTCTTAGAAGTTCGGGATCATCTTCATTATCAACATCATTACAAATGAAATGAGTTGTATCGATGACAACTTTTTTCTGTAAAGGTCTAGCCCCTATATTACCCAAGCTTGCAACAATTTGTTCTTCAGTAATTCTTTGTAATGGATCCAATGGACCTAAACAAACTGTAATACCCGACATATCAGTCATTTTATGAGTAGTTATTTTGATTTTTTCAGACCACAATTGTCCAGAAGTTGTAGACAACTTCAATTGGAACTCATATTGAGTACCTATAGATAATCCTGAAATTTTGGTCTCTGATACTTTCAATGGGTTTGGAATGACCATTGAACGGACACCTTGTCTATATAAAACTAACGATTTTAATCTTGCAGAACCCAAATCCAGAGAATCCCAAGCCAAGACACAACTTGTTTGCGTCACATTTACCACTTTCAAAGTAGGGGTCTTTGGCTTGCGAGCACCGTACTTCTCCAAGATCTTAGATTGAATGTCATCAAACCTTGTCTTTTGTCTTTCTTCTTCTTCGAGATTTTGAGATACCTGTAATTTCACAATAGAACCAGCTCTAACATTTTCTGGAAGCAACATAGTAGGAAATTCAATCACATAATGATCCTTCGTGGTTAACAATGCCAAGGAAGCATCGAGCTTACCTACAGTTAAAAGAACTTCAACTCCTGACATAATATATAGACTTTAAAGGAATACGAAATCAATAAAAAGACCAATTAAAATGAAATTAAATGCTTATAAAACAGATTCCAAACTCTCCAATTACTCTACTACCTGTTGAACTACGCTAGTAACCTCACAAAGATTTCGAATAACCACCGTTGGACCAATTTGGAACAGATCTGTCATCCAATCTTTAAATATCTTTACTCTTTTAATGGTTTAAATCTTGTAGGTTGGCAATATTTTTCGATTCGATATTGAGTTCCCTCTTTTGTTCTTTGAAAGTTGAAGAAATATCCTTCGTTTCTGATGATATCTAAATTGTTCAAGTCATAGCGTAAGCAATTTGGTATCCAGTAAGGTATTGAATCAAGGATGATAGTTGAATGTTTAGTTGATCAAGTGGTTCTAAAAGTTGGTTTATCGTATTTATTATATTATTTTTGGAGTTTCCCTTGAAAACTGTGTTAAAATTGAGTATCTACAAGCCAAATCATCGATAAATTACTCAGACATTGATTATTCAAGATCTCTGGAGAAATCCAGTTGTAGTGATTGTAACAATATTTGATTAGTTTTAAATTTAAATCTATAGATGAATACTTATTGTAAACGTTCATTTTTATAATTTTACGATTTTTTATTTCTGTAATCCTTTTTTTTAGTTTATTGAAAGACAATCTAATTTGGATTAGATTAGCTTTTAGATGAATATAAAATATTTGATCTCAAGGAATACCGATTTTAAAAAGGTTCTCCTGATAATGTTTTCGTTCAGTTTAATGTCGTTAGTTGGATTCCATTGGGAGACAGTGGGGTGTGGTGGATATTAATATTGTCCTTTTGTTCCCCTATGGACATACTTCTTTTTCTTCCCAAACGAAGCAGTATTGGCCATCGTATTCTTTTTCAATTTGCCTTTTATATTTCCATCTCTCTGCACCACTTGGACCTTTCAAGTTCAGATAGTCTACTTCTTCAATACAAAGGCATACCACTGCAAAATTTTCCAACCCTGCATTTTCTTTAGTGCCATCTACACCTCTTTGGATTTTATCTAATTTCTTGCTTGTTTCTGTTGTGATAGGCTCACCAGGCTGTGGTTTCCTGTATTGAGATCTAGTCGACCTTGAAAGTAAGCTCCATTGTCTTTTAATTTCTAAATTCCAATCTTTGTTAGTGGCATATGGGTTTTCCTCAAGGACCATTATTTCACCATTGGTATTTATGGAATTATCAGATAGCACTTCAGTGCTATCAATCATAACATCATTATCTTCAAAATAATTTTCACTTTCATTTTCATTTTCATCTCCATTTTCATTAGGTTCATCATTAGTATCGTATTTGTACAATTCATCAAGATTATGACCACACATTTTTGGTGATAAGATTCCATATTTTTTGATTATTTCTTGTGGTAATCGATTCAATTCATTTTGGGATAATATAAAACAATCACCACTGAATCTAAACTGTTCCCAAGTTTGATGGAAATAAAAGCAGGCCTCAAAATCTGTGGATCCACTCAATTCATCACATAAAATCGACTCCTTGATCTTATCGCTCCTTATATCAGTATTAAAAGTCAATATATTCGAATTTTTATCCTTGAATAAAAAATCTCTGAAGACTACAGTTCTACAACGAGGTTTATTACCATTTATTTTATCCACAGTAGCTAATTGGAAAGGCACAAAAGGCTGTGAATTATTTTTACAAGCTTGAATAAACGTTGGCACCCATGGTGCCATTTGATGTATTAGCATACTCTATCGTTAGAACCTATACAATTCAAACTCCCAACCACACACAGACAAAATAAAAAGAAGAAGAGGATGATTACCACTAATTTATCGGATGTTAACCATACAGTATCCAAAAAAAAGACTATATTTAAGTCTGGTATACTATTACAACACTATAAAACCAACTAACTGTTGTCTCGATATAGAGATAATACCAGACCCAATCGATTTTTCTTACTAGAATATCAAATCTTTGAGTTCAAATGAACAATTCAAAACTCAAAGTCAATGCAAGTAAAATATCTACTTAAATAATATTAAATTAAAATGATAAATATACAAGAAGATGTAGTAGATTTGATCCCAATAGCCTTGTAACTATCCAACGATCAAAGTAGGGACTGGTTTTGAAATAGTTTCGAAACGTCGAAATATCCGATTCGAATGAAAAGAGGTCTCCTTCTTTCCTCTCCCTTTCCACTCTCATCCCCTCCAGAGTGACAAAGGGCTAGCTGCCCATTAACTTGGTATATATCTCTTTACATTACATATTCGAACAATCATTCTGAACTTTAATTCTTGGTTCCCCCATTCCTGTTGTGTGTTACAATGTTGCTGAATTAATCGATTGATTGATTGATTGATTGATTGATTGTTGAGGTTGATTTGACAAGTCAGTGAGTAATTTGATAGAGCCCCTAGGAATAAAAGTTGCAGTAGTTTGGTAACGTTGCTTGTTTTAATAAGAGAAGTCGCTGCTGTCCAATGCAAAATTAGTGGAAGCCGAGGGAATTTAAGAGACATGTTCGTCAGAGGAGAGGTGACAGGGGGTGACAGGGGTGACGAGAAACGACAGTGTCAGTAATTCGACGATGATAGGGTTGGGAGTATCTTGTTTAGTTGGGTTGTAAAGGTTTGTAACCGGCAGTAATTGGTTAGTTTAGTTTTAAAAGTTGTTTACGATAGTTTAGTAGTTTATTTCTTCCATTTCTTTAATTTCTTTTCTTTTATTTATTTTAAAGTTTTGTATAGCAATTACATTAAATGATGCTGAAGTTTGAGTAAGAGTAGCGTAAATGTGATAGAAGATAAACAAAAATTATAACTGGTTAATAGGATTGTTTTGAATCATTTTATTCACACTTTTATTAGATGACTGGATCATTTCTTTGTGTTAATACATAGTTACTTATCACAATATGCTACATAAGTTTCTTTTATACATGGAAAAGACATTCAATTCGAAAAAAGACTTGTGTGACATGATATCATGGATTTCATATGTATCTAATATGAAAAACTCACATGGCCAATGTCAGCAACATTTTTCATTTTTGCTCCCCTTTTTCTACTCTTCTTCTCCCTCCTTCCTTCCCACTTTCGCTCTCATTCATATATTGTTATTTCAATATTTCATATATTTTATTTAGCTTTGAAGTTTAAAGAGTTCATCGTTGGAACTGTTAGGGATGAATTTAAAACTCTCACAAGGGATGTCCCAACTGGACTGGCCACGGAAGTGTGCTTCATCCCACCTCTTGACTCTGATATCAGCATGCCCTGTGACATCATATGTTGTTGAGAAACAAATCGCTCTCTCGGATGCCTCTTTCATTTCCTTAATTGCCGCTGAACATACCCATTGGTATATCTCTTGTGGAGTAGTTGCATCACAACTTGGCCCTGAAGTCCAAGGTGCCCAACCTATCCATAAAGTATAACTCTTTCCATCTGTCGCAACGTAGTTAACGGAGGTTTCACCTCCGTTACAGAAGTGTCTTATTGAACCGGCTTTAAAATTGTCCGGGTCAAATTGTTCTTGCTCAGGATGCTGTATCAGCCCCCACATATCTTCATGGTTCGGCATAGTGGCATTATACGCTGCTACTAGGTTAGCTAGCATGAATCTGGGGATCAATTTGCTTAACCTCATTTTACTCAATGACTGGATCGACCATTTACTTTGATACATAGTTACTTCTTATACTAGGGTATATATAATGCTCTTTTATACGTCGACGATGAATTGAATTCGAAACAAACTCGTGAATCATGATAATTTTGGCTTTAATATGAAGAGATTCACTTACTAGATGTCAGCAATTATAGATGCCAGTTGCACAATAAATGAAAACGACGCCTTTGGGATTCTCCTAGTTCTCTCAATTTGATGGCTAAGAAATGAGAGCTTTTTTTTCCTGTAAAAAAAATTGTAGTTATGTAAATGGGCAAGCCCAAAAATCGTTTGAACGTACTATGGAATTGATAAGGAAATGGTAATGGAAACATTTATATAATCACCTCATGGCTTTTACTTATTTTATTCAATAATAGGAAGCATGCATATTTAGTTACGGAAGTGGCAAGATATCTAATTTTAGCTTTTTTGACTGTATACCTTACATCCTTTTAATTCATCACATAAGTTCATGGAAATGATGAAAAGACCTTTAACTAACTCAAGGATTGAATTTTCACCAATTCACAAATAATCACTCTTACAAACTATTTAGAATATTTCACAGAAGGATATCAAGCAGATTGTAATCTGCTCAAAACTTATTTCCACATCCATTTATCTCTTATTCCAAATACTTTTTTGGAAGACGGTAGAAAACAGTCAATTAGCAAAACTTATAATACATATATTCAGCCTTATACTCATTAAGCATTGAGGATTTATATTGTCAAGTTGGTAGAAATATCACATACAGCACTTATTACTTTTCATTGTTTTATAATTGTCCATCAATATTTGATTTTTACAACCGACTGTAGACTTGAAATTTAAATTGTTCAGATGTAAAAGTATTATCTGATTGATTCATTTTGGTGATTGATACAAGATGTTTTTAATATAATATTTATATTTATTTCTCCGTAGTGTCTTATAAATGTAACTAAATAAATATATATTAATATTTTAGATAAACAATATTTTGGATGTACCAAAATGTCATGCCTTTTTATATGTTTAGATCCAATCTCATAATCTTAATATTATTTAATTATGATAATAAATTATGATGCCTTTGCACTTCACTTCTTATGATATGATTTGGCAATTACTCAGAAGGTCGAGTATGACATTTGCGATCGAACAATTGCAACGTGTCATAACCTTTACTGTCATAACCTTTACTGCCATAACCTTTATTGCCATAACCTTGAAACCCATTAGTGTGAACCATACATTTTAGGTTACAACATAAATGTACAATATTGATGAATGATATTAATATAATAGCGCTAGTCATTTGATCATTTGAATAGTATAAAAGTTTTGGATAAAAACTTGAGATATATTTGACTAGTTAGTAGACATAATTTTTAAACACTCATATTGTATAATTATGTGCTTACTAGTTATTAATATGAATAACTATGATTAAAATACAACACTAAATATATAGATGTATATTTCTTACTTAATTGTTCTCTTACTCTAATTGTTCCTTCAAATGGAACCTCTATCTAATATACATACTCTACACTATGCTCTTTATATAACACGGACTGTCGTCGTAAGTTTGGTGCAACCAACTTATATGAAACATGAAAATGTTTCAGATGTTAGCCCTAACAACCCTGATCGTAAGCAACTTCCTACGAACCATAGCAAACTATCAGAATGTCCTTATTAAATAATAAAACAACTCTGTTGGATAGTAAATCCAACTAATAAGAGCGGTTACGAATAATCATTAACGCACAAGATAGTTGAACATAATTAGGAACACGTCAGCAATTAAGAAAAGCGTCGACGAACATACGAAAATAGATTCATATAAAAAGGCGAACTAAGTTAAGATTTAGAATTGATAATGTATACGAATATGTAATTAGATATAGAGATATAAAAGAGGACAAGCTTAATAGTACTCAATTAAGTGTATTGATTCCACGTTAGTACAAGATGACAGGAATAAGGAAAGAGGATCTGTCATGATTGTTAAAAGGAATGACGCTAATGGACAACTGACATGACGTATATAAAGGGCATAGTTCCTGAAGTAAAGATGTACACTTTTGTTATTAAACAGAAGACCATAGAGATCTTTATATATTTAATACTACTGTATAGTTATTATAATAGTTAATTAACCTCATAGAGCTTATAACTAGTAACCTTAAGTATTTACTTCTACGGCTTGTTTCCCTAGATAAATACTTAATACATTGATATTCAATATTCCGGATCAAACAATACAATAAGTGACGATCACATCAGGACTTATATACATTAACTATATAACAAACTCAACAAGTTAATATGGTTTCGTGGTCTAGTTGGTTATGGCATCTGCTTAACACGCAGAACGTCCCCAGTTCGATCCTGGGCGAAATCAAATTAATTTTTTTCAATTTTTTCCTTTTTAAATTTAACTTCCCTATAAAAGTACCAGTCCCACATCATCGTGTACAGCTTAAAAGACAGACGTACTGTTGTGCACCATATTTTTACCCCTTCCCTCCACATAGCAACCCATTCCTGGCATATCTACAATTAATTACACCAAAAAGAATAAAGTAGTTGAAAAATTTGTCTTTTAAAAATAATAACTAATACAAAATAAGTATATAAATAAATATGAATTTATTACCGAATTGAAAACAGAATGTTTTAAGAAAAAATATGAATATTCCAGATAGTATAATATACGACAATAATAATAATAATAATTAGTCAGAGACACTAGTCGTGTTGAAATAAAGCGACAGTAAAAAAAATATAATAATAACCTTGTAAAATTTTTATAACATAAATTCACCAATACCGATATTGGTTGAAACCATTTGCCAAACACCACTTTTCCTCCTAATGGCGTTTTTTTTTAAATAATTATTCTTCCTTTTCCTCTTTTTTGATATTTTATCAATTTTATGCTTTTGTGAATTAGATAATGCAATTGGTAAGTTTAAATTACCTTGAGAATTTCTATAAGATAATAATTTAATTTTATAATTTAAATTATCATCATTTGGATCTAGAATCGAAGTATTTGATTCTATGTGAGAAGTGAAAGATTGTTTTAAATCTTCAGTGATGAATTCTTCAATTGGGGTATGCTTTGGAGTTGAAGGATTAGTAGAAATTGAACTGTTTGCAATTTCAGTTAATTCGTCATTTGTTTGAACAGGCATATAATCAATTGATAAATCATCTGAAGTTTTGACTTCTCTCCAGAAATCATTCGTTATAGAATTATGATTGATTGATGAAGATTTTGGTGATGTAATATCATGTGTATTTTCTTCACCAAACAATGTGAATACACCATTGTTGGCATTTTCAATTTGAGATGCAGATATAGATTTATTGTTATTGATAGTTGTGGAAGTTACAACAGTATTGGAACCAGCATTGCTTTTGGAGACCATTTCGACATTCTGAGACTTATCGTCGTTTGAAGTTACAGCAGCGTCTTGGTTTAGGGTATTCACTGGAGTAACACCATTTAATAGTTTTGAAGAAGCAGTTGTGCTACTATTATGATGGTGATGGAAACGTTTTGGATATTGACAAGAGAAGTAAATAGGGGATAACAGACCTTTATCGAATTCATCTTCATCTTCGTTATCATCATTTGTATCGAATAAAGGTGAAAATAAAATATCAGCTTCATTATCTGAACAAACAGGACTATCGTAATTTTTCTTTTCCTCATCCTCTTCGTTCTCATTTTTGTTCTCATTGTCGTCATCTGTAGCTGTAGTTGTCTTATTTTTGTTATTGTTACCAGTATCAGCATCAAAATGGGTGATAATATCCTTTGGTCCTGCCGACTGATCTGAATCTATAGTAGTAGTTGTAGTTTTATCATTATTGTCAGCCTTTTTCGACTTGTTGGAAGATATAAATTTTTGAATTGGAATAATATCATCTTTAGTGAAAACACTATTGATAGCTTTAAAAGATTTTGAACTTGTATTTACTTTAACAGAATTCATAATTGCAATGAAATGATATGATACAATATGATGTGATTTTTTTTCTGGTTCTATTGAGTTTATTCTTGCAATGAAAGAAAAACAATAACACACAGAATATTTATATATAAAATGAAAATATATGAATAAAGTTTCCTTTGATTATTTATACTATTCAGCAAATACAATAAATAACTACGAAAATAGCAGATAGATATTCAAATCCAATCCAACCCCAAAAACAAGAGAGAACTGTGTGTGTACCCTAGCCTCAGCTCTTCTTAACCTTGCTGTCTAGGAAAACCAGTTGAAAGGAACGAGATGAACTATCTAAACAGTCTTTAAATTCTTTTTTTCAAGGACACACCCATATATATATATATATATATATATATTTGTGATTATTAGTTTCAGGACAACAGAAGAATCAAAAGAAAGCAAAAACGATATATTTTGAATTAATGTTGTTATTACTCAGTAGTATCAGCTTGAATGTAAAATTGATGAGATTTAATGAAAATGTCCATCGAATCAAAATCAATCAGGCCAATTTCTCTGTCATATGTCTCTTCTCTTGCTTTTCGCTCTTGCCCTTGCTCTTGCTCCCTTGGAAATAGTAGATTTTTAATCGTGAATTTTTACTGTATTGCATTCAATTTTTAAATTAGTTACTATTCTATTCGTATTGTTCATCATCATCATCATCATCATCATCTTCTTCTTCTTCTTCTTCTTCTTCTTGTTTATGGTGGTGGTTGTAGTACCTTCGAACCTCATCTCTTTCTGTCTCTGTCTTTGAATTTCTTTTTTTAAATTTCTTTTGTTTTTTCTTAAATCGGTTTGGTGCGTATTTGTGTCTGTACGTCGGTACGTCTGTGCTTCACATTTCTTTTTTTCATTTTCGTTTTTCCAGGAAAAAAGTGGCGTAGAAAGTACCGTTCATCCACTGCCGCCGACCGTTTCCTTTTTTCTTATTTTTTTGGGCTTTCGGTAGAGGACACAAAAACAGAGAAATTCCGCACACAACCGTCGAACCGGAAATTAAGAAAAAAAAAAGTTGAAAAAAAGAAAAAAGCGAAAAAACAAAAAACAAACTGCTTGGAAAATTTTTCGGGCATCGCACAGAGAAACAGCAGCAGAGAACCCGAACAACCACCACAAAATCCCATTTCTTTTTTCATTCTTACGAACTCGTCTGGGCAAGTAAACAGTTTTTGTGGAATTACTTTTTTTATTTTTAATTTCTTTTTTTTCTTTGTTCTGCTATTGGTGCTCAACCTTCCCAAAAGCCAAAGATTCAGACAGACATAGCTGCATCAGCAAGCTCAAGCTCACCAAAAAAGTATACAATAAAGTAAACAGCAGCAACTTACTAACGGCTTTCCAGCCACCGAGTTTGAGAGAGGTCTGTCTGTCCAGAGAATAAAAGACAAAATATATTAAGTCTTCCCTTCCCTCTCAAAAGAAAACTACATCTTAAGCTTGCTTGCTCTCTTTCTTTTACCTACAATTTTCCCTATTACAGAGGGTATCCAGGTTGATCCGATAGTGTGTCGGAGAGGGGTAAGTAAAATAACAACATCCACCCACCCATCCAGTCTCTTCTATTCAAGTCAAAAAAAAATGCTGGAATATACTGGACTCAGCTCAATGTTCCACTGCTCTATGCTCAAAGTACTGCTCTATTACGGATTTATTGGTTGCCCTGGGTCTTGTACGAACCAGTCTCCAGCTTGAATTATAATATGTTGAACAGGAATGTATCGGATGTCCGGGTAACATTTACTACTACTACTACTTAGCATCAGCAGCAACTTCAGCACTTTATAAAATGACAATAAAGAAGAAAAACTTTTCGTTACTTATTGGTTGATTGATATTGCATAAATCATAAATCAATCTCGCTGACATCCCAAAATTTCCATTTACAAATGGATCAATATAGTCGTGCCGATTCATAGTGTCCCAGATCTTTAAAGTGAAAAAAAACCAATCAAGCAGAAATAAAAAATTTTAAGTCCTTGTAGCGACGACCCAATTTCTTCTCATCTTAATTCGTAACAAATGTCTGCCTTCTATGCCCTAACCTTATACAAGATCATCTGGTTTTAGTTGTTGCTTCGAACAGTTTTACCATCGCTTGATTTCACCTCAATAAAGCAAACTTTCACTGAGCCAGTGAGAGAAAATTTTTTTTCACCGTCTTACACTGGAAAAGTATTTAAGCAATCGTATTTAAATCCAGTTCTTGTAATAGTTTAACAATACATTTTCTACATATAAAATTTATTACACTCTAATTATATCATTCTCATTTTTTTATATTCTGATACCTTGGTTCGGTACAACACCAGGGAATATACATATTGTGTGTAATATGATATCGACCAGGTGGTCGATTCAGAGTGAATAATATATATTTTAGAGAACACTTACCTTTTTTGTAAGAGAAAGAGAAAGAGAAAAGTACGAGATATTCTCGAATTCAATTCAATTCAAGTTTTTTGTTCAATATATCTTATTTCTGTTCCTATGAACTAATATGATTAAACATTACATTCCATATACCAATTGTTCCGACTGAATAGTAGGATTTCCTGCATGTCGACAACACCTTTTTCGTTAAGTTTCAGCCTTGTATGATTTTAAAAGATATTATTGCAAAATTTTTGAAGATGAATATTTCTTCATTTCCCTCTCTACACTTCTCATTAAAATATAAGAATTCACTCTGGAGATTATTGATTTCACAATAATGGCATCCTTATCAATTGATTAATTGTAAAATGTGATGATTTGTTGTCGACCGGGCGGACATATTAGTATCTTAGGTAAGGTAGTTTTACAATTTAAGTTTCCCTTTCAGTGTACAAATTTTTTGAAGGGGGGATGGTAAAACATCATTATCTTATCTTTGAGAATTGATGATTGGTCACAAGATATCTGATTTTTATTGATATTAATGGTTATTCACCATCAGATGATGGTGATATTCTTAATTTTATTTTTACTTGAATTCAACATTTGGTTCTTGACCATTTCAAATATTCAAAATATCATGATGATTTTTTATATTCACACTGTACTAGATAGTTTAATTACTATTAATGACTACACTAAACAAAAAACTGATTTAATGACTCTGATATGATTTTGAATTTGAAAATTTATATTTTTATTCTTGTGTTACCAAAATGGTAACCAACCTATATACATCTGACTTAATTTCTCATCAGACGTAGCATCTTGAATCAACGTCTCAACTTGACCTTGGACACTTAATACAAGTCCATCTCGAGGGTCAATACCACGGATCTTATTTCTCAAAACTTTTAATGCTTTTTGAATCGAGTAGTCCATATCTCGGTCATATAGAATAGTTTCAATAACGTTAACTAAGGAGATTTCATTTTGTCTCATTATAGACACAGTCACTTCGCTTGATTTTTTAAAGGTACCTTCAGTTCCTGTTATACCCAACGCATCATACATATTTTGTGTCAATCTAAATGGCACAACTTCAGGTATAGGTAATCTCTTACCCTTTTCAAATAAACAATCGAAATCAACATGTAAAACCTTACCAGTTTCAACGTCTAGCAAAATATTCTCACAATGTCTATCACCAAGACCTAATATATAGCCTACCATAGCCATCACTGCATTAGATCGAGAATATGCATTCCGTGCATTAAACCAACTAATAGGATCCGGAAATGTCTCCAAAAACCATTGATACAATACAGGTGGAAATTTTGATATTTGATCTTTGTAATATCCAACTTTATGTTCATCTGGTAATTGTTGCCATTGCTCATATAAACTTTTAAAAGAATACTTTACCTTCATACTTTCATACTTTTCAACAAACACAGATCTTAAAGTAACAACATTAGGAATAATTTCGATTAATCCACAATCTTCTCTCAATGATAATACAGAATAAGTGGTTATACCTAAATTTCGTTTCGTAGCTTCGACATCTTTACCTAACATAAAATCCATCGTGGTAGCAAATTGCATATATTGATTATCTTGTCTGACATCCTCTTTCTTACACATAATACCGTAGATATTACCATCTGAACCAACAATATTAATTTTTTTGGGTTTCTTCAAAGACGAAAAGACTTTGTATGACGTCCCAAATCTTGCAATACTAACCACTGGTCTAAAAGGCTTATAACCTTTCATCGATTCGGAAGAAAGAGGTGATACCATCTCCAAATTAATCCGAACAGGAACTACCATTTCAGAAGGTGCCAGGTTTAAATTGAATTTAAAATCCTTTTCCAATGATTTCCCTGCTCTTGTGGATGAATTTTTTATATCTTTCAAACAGACAATTGTTAGTGACTCTACCAATTCTGAACAAGAAACCAATAATTTATTACCATCTTGGGAGTGATGTTGAATCTTTTCAATTATCTGTTTCCCTCTCTTAACTCTTGAACTCGATTTAGAGTTTAAAAGAATAGAAATATACCATAAGATGTGGGATGGGTATTCAAAAGCCAAGCTTAATAGTATATGCATAATTAACTGAGCGGATGATTGATGCTCATGTAATAGCCTTGAAAGTAATTGGGTTAAGACTGAATACCATATATATGTAGGACTATTCTGTAATGCGCTTTCTATATGCTTGCATATATCTTCAGTGGTTCTTTGTAAAATTTCTTTTCTATTCGTGTCCTTCTCATTTACACAGGCTGCTGCTGTATCCAGCCAAAACGTTACAACCTTCGGTAAGGTTTCATGAACTTTCATTGTGTCCTTCTCGAACGACAGCAAGAAGTATGATATAGATTTGTATTCTAAACGACCATTCGTTACATATCCTTCTGCTTTTTTCCTTTCTAATAACCTACTGTAGTACAAACCCATAGAGTAATAAGGCTTTTCCCACTGTGGATCTAGATTAAGCAAGTCCTGGTATTGTTTTATTATTTGTTCGGAAGCTGAATAATTAGATAAATCTAACCATTCAGTATACTTCAACAGAATTGCACCTTTAGTTCTACACTTGATATTAGGGTCATTCTTACATTTTTCATGTATTTCTTTAACCAATTTTAGTGCTCTGTCATTTTCACCTTGTTTCCATAATATCTCAGCAAATTCCAGTTCTGCTTGATTTTGATCATGTTTTAAGCAGTTCATTAAGGATTCAGAAGCTAAATCCAACCTTGAATTATTTCTACTCAGCTCTGTAATTTTAAAGAAAGTATTCACTAAATCTTCGTTACTATAAGATTTATTCTTTAAAGAATCATATGACTTTCTAATGGAGAGTAAATAATGGTTTGGTACAAAATCAGCACCGATTCTTTTCATTCTAAAATCTAGTATGTCAGTACTGTTTCTGAACAGGTATTCATTATCATTTGATGATAATAAATAAATATCGTATAAGCTATGCAATTGCATCAATAAATTTTGCTTTTTAGCTAGTGTAGTTTCTCTTGATGGTGTAATGAAATGAATACCTATTAGCTTAAAACATCTATTTATATACTCTACCACCTTTTTTGTATTATTTTCGTGGACAAAGTATAAAGCTTTTCCGATATTATAATGCAATAATAGTTCAGGATCATGAATGGATTCTAAAACTTCAATATTATTTATCCACCTGTTTATTAAGCCTAGATCACCAGTTAAATTAGAAGATTCCATAGCAAGTCTATACCATTTGATTTCTTCCTTGTTTAGATCAGTGGTATGTATTTCAGTTACAAATGACAAATCATTCACTACTTTGGAATATTGTTGATGATCATAGGTCAGCTTTAACATTTTAGTTATTGACTGGTTATCGTCATTTAATTTGCCTAAAGTTTTAAAACAATCTTGAGCTATTTCCCAGCTATTTGAAAATTGAAGCTCTTCAATTTTTGAACTCAAGTTTTGTGATGAAAACGCCTTTAGAATACCATCAATTGAATCAATGTCACCAATCTCTTCATATGTTCTTTGTAGAGAAGTCAATAAACTTGAATTATTTGAATTATTATCTTGATCCGTCCTATACCATTTCTCCAGATAAAGTGCAGACCTCTCAAAAGAACTAGTTTCCAAAGATCTTTGAGCTAACACTTCTGGGGGGATTACTTCCAAGAAATTTTCCGTTCTGCTCAACATTCTTATGTATTTCGTTTCCTTGATAGTATGTGTTCCATTTGTATTGTTGTAGGTTTCCTTAAAGTGTGTCATCCACTTCTTACAGTATTCAATCACAGAAAAGATCGATTCGTAGCATAGCTTCAAAGAATCCATTTGATGATGATTTAAACCGTCTACCTTGTAGTTAAAAATATATCTGAATTCTGTTATTAAATTATTCATAATTGTTTCATAAATTGTCTCCGATTCAGCTTTTATGATAATATCCATTGTAATATATGGTAGCAAAAATTTAGATAAAGAACCATCATCTTCTCTTATCAATGATGAAAAAACATGTAAAGGATGATTTTCATCTGTACCAGTCTTAAGTAGGTCAAGTGTTAAACTTTTGATCCAAGGTAAATAACCTTCCTTCTGGTTATAAGAAGGATATTTCAAGGGAATGTACTCTTTCCATGATTGGGCCAAGTACAACGAGGAAAGCAATGGATATAAGGTTGTTTTTGAAATCGTATTAAATTTATTCCATAACCTTAATTCGTTTGGATACACTTCAGGTTGATTAATATCCCAAGAACTGGAGCTTAATCCACAATATTTTAAAGATTCTTGCATCACTAAGGCAACAAATAATTGTTTACTTGGATTCTCACTCTGCCAAAATGCTGGTACTAAAATATCATTTAACATCCAAATTAAGAATTTTATTGTCTGGATGTCATCGTTCAGATCAAAGACTTCATTAGTAGAGGGAGAAGTTTTCCATAAATCGTACACGTTAACATCAAGAACACCTATCAAACCGATACATCTTGAACATTTTTCGCATAAATCCCTATCTGTAGTTCTATATTTAAACGATGTATCAAGGAGAGCACCCAATAGAACAGTGACATTTGTTTCCTTATTATTATTTGAGAAAAATGAGAACGAATGTTCTGTTTGCTTCCTTTTAAGAAACAACTCAATATCATCCAAAGTTTGGCGAATGACATATTTATTGTTACTTTCCAAATTTTTAGCAAATATAGGAACCCAATTAGTATTATTACGGATCCTATTTACAACCCTAGCAAACTGGTTATCTCTAGAGAGGATACCTATTTCCACCTTATTTACTAAAGCCAACGTGATATAAGGCTTTATATTTAATATTAAACTTGTTTTATCTTTGATTAACGTATCAAATATTTCGAAAATAATACTCTTTGTTTTGGTATTGAAGTCTTTCCAAGTTTGCAGTACGAAACAGATCAAACTATCTATTACTGTCGACAACTCTTCGTCGTTCAAACTCACCATTAATAGATGCCAACATTTGAGAGAGCTATACCTCACTTCATGAATTTCAAGCCCTGTCAGCAAACAAATACTAATTTGTGCCAGAGCTGAAATAATTGCCTTTTTGCAAGCATGTTTAATCAAGAATGAAATACCGTTGATGACTCTTAGTTTTTCATAGTAAGAAGTTCTCCCTTCAACATCATGTATATCACTAGAAAATACTTGAAAAATACCTAAGATATTATCCTGAAGCTTGGTTTGGAATTTTTGTTCCTGTGTCATTGACCAATCTTTACCGTTTTTATACTTCGAGCCATGCTTTTTATCCTTTTCAAAGTCCGTTAATAAAAATCTGAGAGAATATAATATCATCCTTTCATTTTCTGATTCAGTACTATTATTCAGATCGTCGTTTTTGTATAATTTCAAAAACTCAGCTAAAGTTCTATAATCTGGAAGATAAGCGCTAATATAAGTCTTATCAAACGATGGCAACCTGTTTAGAAACAAAGTTTCCAAAGTTTCCAGTGAAAAAAATCCATATTTTACTAATGCAACAGCGAATATTTGTCTACTATTTTTAATTAGCAATACCTTTTTTTGTTCATTAATTTGTGAAGCATTACCATCACACATTATCTGTGCTATTTCAGTGAAGACATCTGTTTTATATTGTGTTATAGAATAAGGTATAATGTACCGCTGATAAATATCTAGGACGGTTTTTGCAGAATATCCTAAAAGATCAATTAGTCTTTGAAATGAAAGCCTTTTTTCAACCAGATTTTTTCCTGTTTGACGTAGTAATATTGGCAGAATAGGGGATAGTAGTTGATATGGAGTTTTGTTTAATGTCTTAGCTAGTGCCTTAATCTGAAATTTCATCATATTATGAACTGTGTAATCAGATGACTTAAAAATATCTATCAATTTTAACAATAAAGAGTCAAAGATATCCTCTGACGTTGTTAGTGTTAAATCACACCAAGCCACTATCGATACCTCTGTTAGGGATGGATTCTGGTTCATTTGAAGAAATTGAATCAACACAGCAGTGAGTTCATCTTCCGAATTAAAATCACTCGAAATATTCCATACTGGTATTAGTTTTCCTGACAGAAGTCTCAGTTCTCTATTTTTTGAACTGAAACAATTCCTGACAATCCCAAAACTATCTATTTTACCTTCTGAATATATTTTCCTGCCTTCTATTTTCAATTGTGGAGGTTGGAAATGTACAAATACTCTTCTCATTGCGAGTAAAATTCCTGATAGTATCGATGCGTTCAGTTCAAGCAATTTTGGATGAGATAGATAAAACTTCGCTAGTATTCTGTATGATTCGGATGATTTGGTGCAAAGTGGACGTTCTGGGTTGATTTGCTTAAATATATTACACTTGGAAGAGGTATCACAGGTTTTGCAAGGTTCCCAGCTATCTAATGTTAAATTCCGATTAGATATCATTTCGGCTTCATAACAGGCTAGTATACCTAGTATATTTGCCCATTTTACTAGCTTTCTATAATTGTTTGTAGCTAAACAGGTTTGAATTGAACTCGTTACTTCTTTGAATAGTATCTGTAGGTCGTTATTAGATCGTTGAGTTATGCCAGGTTCCAAATTATTTAGCAGTATGCATAATATTGAATTTTGTTCCTTATTCTTAAACCCTTTAACGATCATTAATCTCAAGTTCTCTAATTGTTTCATATTCATATCATATGGTTCTAAAACATTTTCTAAAATTGAATATGATATGTCTGACTTAATCCATAATTTACAGTCTTCGTTAAATGCCAGATCATTTTTATCAGATTTTCTTCTTTCAATGTCGAATGCTATTAAAATTAATGCTTTATAAGTTAGCTCATCGAAAATATGTTCTATATTATTTTCAGTAATGTTTTTCAATTGTACCCAGTTGTTAATTGGGAAAGATTCAATGAAAATATCAAGAGTTTCAGAATCCAATGAACCTCTTGAAATGCAAAATGTGTAAACTTTTAGTATATTTTTAGCCAATGTTTGATTTGGGTCCTTACGCCCTATAAACCTAGTAGTGAATTGATGCAATAGGGATAATAAACTTCTAAATCTTTCAACTAATCTAACTTTTGGGCCATATATTGTCAAAGTTGATTGAGTTACTAGATAATCCACGATTATTGAAGTGAATGCAATTTCTAAATCTTCAACCTGTTTATCATTATTTTGTAATTGCACAGAATTTAAAACGTATAGTATAATTCTTAGCAATCTTTGTAAATAAAAATCCCAGCCATTGAGTGTTAATTTTGAATCTAGAAAAGTTAGTGAATTTCCAAAAGAATCATTACGACCACTAAACCAATATAGGAACACCCAGATTTTCTTTGAACTACGAACAAAGTATGTAACCTCACAATTACCATTTAAAACTTTTGTAATTCTATCTTCTAAAGTTTTAATTAGCTGTATAATATGTTCTGATAATGCAATTTTGCAAACTTCTGAGTATAATCTAATGGAGATTTTACACCAATTGCTTATTTTTTTCCTTATAAACCAAATTCTATGGTGAGGATCAATATCGTAATGAGAAATTGATATTTCTAATAACTGATCAAAGAGTGATATTATGCCTAATTTTGGCGGTTCACCATTGTTGATCCCTAATTGTAAAAAATTAGATAAAATAAATGGATTTGAACAAATCAAAAGATCTAATGCCTCTATGGATTTAGCAAAGATAATATCATTTCTCATTAAACTATCTTTCCTTTCACAATCATATAAATTTCTCAATAAAGTATTAATAATTTTAACACTTTTTGAATAACCATTATCTGGGATTTTAAGTAGTGGAAGGTTTTTCGTATATTCCTGAACATTCTCTGAACCTTCTGTAACTGTCCTAAAACCTTTAATAGCATTGATAAGCTCATCTAGATATTTTATATGAGAATCCATTATAAACTATTAAAGATTTCATTAATGTGCCTTATTGATTCTAGTGCTTGTATATCAACAAAAATGCTAACTAAAGATAAGAATAAGTTAAACTAGCAAAAAACAAAATGGATATAGTTCAACAATCTATCTACAAAAGTGTATTGCCCTTGATATATAACCTTAAAGCCAACAACAACAACAGTCTAGCCTTGCAAACCGTAAGTTTTAAATAGATACTTTTATTATGAGATGAGCTTTTGAACTTAACAATTTTTCAATTTAAACAATTAAGGTTAAATATTATAACCAAAGGAGCATTACCATACAAGATGAGTTTTACAGCAAACAACTACAACTACAACTAACTAATGTACATTATAGAAATACAAACAAGAACCCATTTACTAAGATATTACATGTTGGTTCATATGTTTTCAAATTCGAACTCAGCATAAACTAGCTTGCTAACTTTTAAGATATCGAAATCGAAATCGAATCCATCACTTTATAAAGTTCCTTATAGATTCTTCCATTTTAAGTAATTACATTTATACATCAACAATGTACAATAAGAAATCTGATGAATACGTCATTGTATCAGTTCGAAAGATATTTGCTAATACAATTACTAGATCAATTGATCAATCCATTGAAGGAGAGACATCATTAGGAATAATAAATGCATCGAGTAGCAAGTTTAGTATGTCATGGTATATAGTGAATGAATTGTCACTCTTTAATAATTGATATATATTTTTCTTGCAGTTGTAGTAGGACTACTAGTAAACTTATCGATTCCTTGACTGTTGTAAGTTTATATATTTAGAAACATTCCATATCTCTGCTTGTTTGTTTGTCTTGTTTGTCTGTTTTATATTAAAACAATATAATTTTTCATTTTGGTATCAAGAGAGAGAAGAAGAAGAGACGATAAGAGAAAAGTTGATTTGATTGCATGCGTAATACATCCTTTTACGTTAGAGATCAATATAAATACATAGGCTAAGAACACTGTTGGTCACAGATTTTAGGGTCAGATTGTTGATTCTATTGGATACATCCTTTGGCGTTAAACATCAATACTCCAAGTTCTTATAGTCTTGTACAGAAGAGAGATAATCTATAGAACGATTATACCAGAGCTGGGACAGCTGTTGTGGTTGGGTGAAATATACATACACATATATATATACCATTATTAGTGTTGTTGTTGTCAATATTGCTGAATAATCATGAAAAGTAATGTGTTTGTTGGGATCAAACCAGGTTCCAACAATGTCAGCACTTCCCAAGATGATGAACTTTCATTAACTACAGAAAACTATGATTATATATTATTGCCTATAACCAATGCTAGGTATAGAGATATGGTAAGAAAAGAATTCGATGAATATCAATGCAATAAATTAAATAACGAGGATGCTGTTCTAATCATTTCGGAACCACAATTACAGGATGTTGTAATCCCACCTTTCCATTTACAAAACCGTAATGATGAATCTCCTTCTTACATTGGTTTATTATCTTCATGGTTGGAACTTGATTCAACTGATATTTCAATTAGAAATTTTGGAACTAAGGTTCTATTAAATGAATGTAAGTATGCCAGGTTCGTGGGGATCAATAAGTTAATCCTAGCACCTCCAAGAGATTTAGATAATTTACAATATTACAGTCAAGTGATCGCAAATTTATTAAATAATGATCTCATTTCTCAATCACCACCAATTTCATTATCAATTTCACTACCACTATTAGAAGATAGTGACCCATTGGCAACTTGGGAATTATGGAATACAATACGGAAAGCTTGTAACTATCATCCATCTTTGACCGTTTCACTGGCGGTACCGCGAATTAAAACACCTACTTTTGTTATGAATAGATGGCAAAGTGAACCTGTTTCATGTCTATTACTGTCATCTTCAATATTCTCTACTAACCAACACAATTATCCAGTTTTGCATAAATTTAATCAAAACTTAATCAGTAAATTCCAAAGAGTTAATGGCAATTCACAATCATTTCCTGGTGAATTAATAGTAATATTGCATGGTGTTGAAAAAAATAGTGAAATGATTAAAGGTGGTGAAAGTTCTTATTTAGAATATGTCAATTATATTTTGAAGAAAGAGGATTTAGCAATAATGGAAGAAAATGAAGAAAACGATATTACAATTGAAGATAATTATTGGATCCCAAGAGTAATGCCTCCGTTATTACCAAATTCTGAAAATTTATCAAATTTGGTTTATTCAAACTTTGAAAGAGACACTGTTAAATACGAATTGTACCAAAGAGCTATAGAATTGGCAGTAAGAGATCAAATAGATTATAGACGCTCATACAATTTGGTCATCCTTATTGCAGGAGCAGGAAGGGGAGCATTGGTTGATAGAACTTTTGAAGTGGCTAATTTCCTTAATATTTTAAATAATGTTAAAATAATTGCATTAGAGAAAAATCCACAAGCATGTTTATATTTGCAAAAGAGAAAATTCGATAGTTGGGGTGAGAAAGTCGAAATAATTAGAGATGATATGAAGAAGTGGGGTGACAGTAGTATTAAAGTTGATATTTGTATCAGTGAGTTATTAGGATCATTCGGATGTAATGAATTATCACCAGAATGTTTATTTAATATTCAAAAAAATCATAGTAAACCTAGCACCATTTTCATTCCTGAATCATATTCTTCTTACATTGCACCAGTATCTGTTCCACTATTACGTCAGAAATTAAAGATTGAGAATGGTGATTATGAGAAACCATGGATATTGCACAACATTCCATATTGTATATTGTCATCTAAGATCAATGAGGCATGGAAATTTAGACATCCTAATGAAGAAATGGCATTATTTAGCAAGAACATCACTAGTGAATTTAAGATCAAGCATAAAGGTGAAATTGATGGATTAATCGGATTTTTCACAGCTAAATTATATGGAGATGTGACTTTATCTACACTACCGGATAAGAGCATGATAAGATTATTACCAGAATCTGTAAATAATGATGATTTTGAAACTACTCAGAATTTGCTAACAGGAACAAACAGTCGTCATCATGATCAAACTTTTAATAGTGTAGGAATTTTTACAAAGAAAGGGCATGGAACAAAGAATCTGAAATCTTGGTCTCCTATATTTTTCCCTTTGAAGAATGCATTAAGTGTTACTGACGATAACGAATTATCAGTATTTCTGAGTCGGATGAGTTGTAATGAGATGAGTAAAGTTTGGTATGAATGGTCGATGGAAAGTTTTGTCTATTTTGTACTACCATCATCTGTGGCCGCTGAGACATCTCTCTATAAGAATGATACTACAACTAATCCCAACAATAATACCACTACTACAACCACTCCCAACAATAATACTACGAGTAACACCATCAGTAATGGCAAATCAAATAGAGGGTTAATGTCAACTAATAATTATTCCAGTGCAAGTGGTGGAGGAGTTAGCAAAAGTATTGAACATGAATCAGTTAGAAACATCGAGACTATTAAATCTAGTAATAATAACAATAATAGTAATAATAATAATAATAGTAGTAGTAGTGCTAACAATAACACTAACTTTGATAATGCAGTACTTCGAGAAAATGAATTTGCTATGGATCAAGGAACAGCATGGGAGAGTGTTAAAGATATCCATGGATTGACAAACACCGAGGAGAGAGCACCGTTATTTAACCTCGATGGACCTGAAGATGTAGATGTACCGCCGGAGATACATCTACGAGTGAAGACGGGATCTAGTGCATTGCATAATGTCGGAGGATGCCAGTATAGTATTCCTCGATAGTTTGAGCATTGGATCAATCGAGTTATCAATTAGTTAGTAATGCAAGTGGGTAGTCTAGCTTTTCATCTCATCTCATCTCATCTCATCTCATTTTATTTTTGTTTTGATTTCTATTTTAATCACTGAGCCGTGGTCACTATCATTTCTGTTATACCAGCATCAGCAAGATGGATGTGGATAGATAGAGAGATAGGAAGCCTGCGAGAACGTAATAAAGATAAAGATAGAAATAAATATAACCATAAATAATATAATATAATATAATATAATATAATATAATCTACACAATCAGTAATCGAGAGTAGTTCTGAGTTAACAACTAAGAGATAGTGCTAGGTCTCCTCTAGAGTTATAGATGTGAGATAGGCAAAACAATAGGTCACATGACGTCATAGCGGATATAAAGATTTACAGCCGATCAATTACTGGAGAGAAAAGGCCATAGACCAGAGGCACAAACACAAAACACAAACAAAAAACATAAACAAACTGCTCTGCGCCAGGTTTGCCTCTCTCGCTGGTTGGATGATTCTACAGTGAGTGTTTCTCCCCCTCCACCCTCTCCGCCCAATCAAATGTGGAAATTTTATTTTTTTCAATTCCATTTCGGTTTGAGGGGAGACGTTACTAAAAGGGAAATAGCCTAAGAACAGAAGGTTTGGTTCTGTTTTACCCCGTGGCACGTGACCACTAACAAACTTAACCACCATGCAAAACAACAATAAGAGACAGAAACAGCAATACAAAGACAGAATAGAGACAACCTCTTTCTCGTCCTTCCATCCCTCATACCAGTTTCCTTCCACCCCCTAAACCTATGGCTGTCTCTCTATCACTCTAGCTCTCTCTGTCGAAGTTCTCCTATACTACAATAGTCATCCCATCCATCCCCATCCAGCCACTACCGAAATATTCTACTCTAACTTTGCAATAGGTAGTAAACCAAACCAACCACTCAACAAGATACACTCTACCTCTGTATCTGGCTCTGGCTCTGTCTCAAAACTTTAAATTCGTCAACCTTAAACTATAGCTGAAATGAACTGGACCGACCTGACCTGAACTTAGAGAGGATACACTGTAGTTAGTCATTCAAATCGACTTATCACTAACACGAACGCCATGACGTTTACCTGTCTCTCTCTCGTAATGGCTAACGATTAAATTGGAACCCAACTAAATTAATAGAAATTATCATGGACCTCTCTCTATCATTCGAATTTCATGGCATTTCCCATATTATCATTCATTGGAAAGATTAATTAGCTGATTTCGAGTTTTTAAATCGATGTTGCATCTTTCTATTCTATATTTCCTTCCCGGTTCCCTTTCTTAGCTTACTGTGACGGTCTCTTTATTTATCAGACACTTGCTGGAGTTAGTCGAAACTACTACTACTAGTTTAGGTTGGTTTCCTTTAATTCTTCATATGTACCGAGTCCATTCCATCTTATTAAAAGAGGTCTTGTTTTGTTGATGCTGTTGCCTTCTCATCAATTCTCTATATACATTCATATATTTCATTAATTTATATATATCAGTGGGTTGGTTCACTATTGTTAAATTGAAAAATATACCAAGTCAAAGTACAAAGCTGATATTATATTTGATTTGACTTAGTTCAAGCAGAGCATAATATATATCCAAGTCTAGTGTACTGATATCATTCTTAGATATATTGATATTCACTTTCTCAGATGTCAAAAAACTATTTAAAGAAAGATAATGTCACTACAAAAGTGAACGTTATTGAAACTAGAACTAATGACGATGGTAATTATGGAAGGTTAAGTGAGGATTGGTTAGACAGATCGGATTCTTCATTAACTTCAAACACTACCCAGATTGAAGAAGAAGAAGTTGACTCAACTACGAATTTAATTTATTCGACAAAGACTCATAGAAAGTTATTAAATAGACATGTTCAATTAATCGCAATATCTGGTGTTATTGGTACTGCTTTATTTGTAGCCATTGGTAAAGCTCTGTATCATGGTGGTCCTGCATTTTTATTAATTGCATTTGCATTATGGTGTATACCAATTTTATGTATCACTGTATCAACTGCTGAAATGGTGAGTTTCTTACCTGTTGCCTCCCCTTTCTTGAGACTAGCTTCAAAATGTGCTGATGAATCATTAGCTGTCACGGCCTCTTGGAATTTCTGGTTCTTAGAGTGTGTTCAAATCCCATTCGAAATTGTTTCTGTAAATACTATCATTCATTACTGGAGAGATGACTATAATGCTGCTATCCCTTTGGTGGTACAAGTCGTCTTATATCTATTCATTTCAATTGCAACTGTAAAATATTATGGTGAAATGGAGTTTTGGTTGGCTTCCTTTAAAATTATTTTAGCTATTGGCTTATTCTTTTTCACTTTGGTTACAATGCTAGGTGGTAACCCAAAACATGATAGATATGGATTTAGATACTGGGGTGAAGAACCTTTCAAGAAATATTATCCTGACAACAATACAAATGGTACTGATTCTCTAGGTTACTTCCAAGGTTTCTTAACCTGTTTGATTCAAGCTGCTTTTACAATTGCTGGTGGTGAATATATTTCGATGTTAGCTGGAGAAATTAAATTACCAAGAAAAGTGCTTCCAAAGGCTTTCAAACAAGTGTTCTGGAGATTAACTATCATTTTCTTAGGTACTTGTTTATGTTTAGGTATCGTTTGCTCCCCAAATGATCCAAGTTTAACCGCTGCAATTAATGAAGCAAGGCCAGGTGCTGGTTCATCTCCTTTCGTCATTGCAATGAATAATTTAAGAATTAGAGTATTACCAGATATTGTTAATGCTGCTTTGATCACCTCTGCATTCTCTGCAGGTAATGCTTACACTTACTGCTCATCAAGAACTCTATATGGGATGGCTTTAGATGGTTACGCTCCAAAAATATTTACTAGATGCAATAAATATGGTGTCCCAATCTATGCTGTTGGTGTATCATTACTTTGGGCATTGATTAGTTTGTTACAGTTGAATTCCAATAGTGCTATAGTGTTGAATTGGTTGGTCAATTTAATCACTGCTTCTCAATTGATTAATTTCGTTTTTCTATGTGTAATTTATCTTTTCTTCAGAAGGGCATACAATGCCCAGAAAGATAAACTACCACCATTACCTTTCAGATCATGGGGCCAACCATATACTGCAATTTTTGGTTTAGTTTGTGCCTTTTCAATGATATTTATCCAAGGCTACACCGTGTTCATTCATTCTTTATGGAACACAAGAGACTTTTTATTTTGTTACTTAATGGTCTTCATTAACGTGGCTATCTATTTGGGATATAAGTTTATTTGGAAGCGTGGTAAGGATAAATTTATTGATCCACATAAAGTTGATTTTATTACCGACTTGAAGGAAATCGAAGCACATGAATTGGATTTTGCCTTCGAAAAGTACAAACACTTTCACTATGCATAGAGTGCATATATTGCATAAGAATAAAATACAAAGAAATTACATTAATATATATTGATTATACATCCTCCCACTAGCATCCGAGTTATTAATTTCCTGTCATTATTTTACTATTCCTAAGATACAAATACATATCCAAATAGAGATATAACATTTTATAAATATTTATTTTTAGATTTAGTCTATTCATCATTTATATAGTATGCTTTTTAATTAATACAATTGAATTCCCGTTTATCATTCCACTCTGTCACTGTGCTTCCCAAGCTACCAAATAGGGTGCTTGAATTGGTAGATTTTGTTGGTTTTTCATTTTCATTAATATCAAACCAATTTTTGATCACTAACATAGTTTCATTTTCATTATCCTTTACATAACATAGTAACCCATTACTCAATTTCAATAACCTTTCCTCATTCAAATCAGGCAGTTTTCTTGATATTTTAACATTAGAAATAATTTGCAACAATTCTAGATGTAATTCCCAAAGCTTTTCATCATCCATCTGACCCAAAAAGTTTATATTAGTATTCTTTATAATCTCTTGATCATTTTTAGAAATTTCGTCTTCCTTTGAATTATATCCAAACAGACTTCCCATGATGTCTAGTCCAAAATTATTATTTGTTTGAAAATCTGTAGTATTTTTGAACAGTTGATCTACCCCGTTTACAATCAATTGTAATGGATTGACATCATTTAAATTATTTATCGATGAAAACCAAGATGGTATTGATGTTTGAATTTTTATTTGTCCTGGGTCATCTTTATTTATCACAGCATATGCAAATGGTTCAGATTTAACCTTTTTTACACTAGATTTGGCAGCATTTATACTTTTATATAAAAAAGAAATTGCTTCATATAGTTTTGAATCTAGTTCTTTTAAATATTCTCTGTCCCAAATATTTTCGAAATCATCGTTGAATACAAGTACTAATAATGTGTCATTCATGTACCAAAATAAAGTGTTAAAAACTTTACTTTCCTTATATTGTTTAAATTTTAATCTTAACTTTTTAATTTTATAACTCTCTGGCAATGAATTGTTTGCTAAAGGTGAAATTAGGAAACCATGACGTTCAGAAAATTCTTGACCATTCAATTGTCTTTTATTATTTGTAGAATTCTCAGAAAATGAAAATTTTGGGATATAATTCATCACTAAGGACATACTATTCCCTATGCCTGTACTTTCACCAACTTCTTGAACCACATCATAAGCAAATGATATGGGTAATGTCATATTGTATAAGAAATTCTTTGTTTGGTCTGTGAATGACAATGGGTCATTTTGTTGATCATCATTTGTAATTTCAGGGCTATCTTCATTTTCAATTTGTGTTTCTTTATAATGTGCATTTCCCGATAAAGTATGACTTGAGATATCTTCATAAGTAGTATGCAAATGATGTATCCAATTTGATATATGAGGCAATGAATCTAAATCAGTAGCAAAATTTCTAATAAATCCATAATCTTTTGTATTAAAATTATTGCTGCTACTGTTGTTAGTGGTACCATTATTTGATTTCCCAGAATTTGAAGGCAAATGATAGACTAAAACGTCACGAATTCCCAAGTAATTTTCTGTATTTAACAAAATATTTTGATTTAGTATCGATTCCCAAGAAGAATCCAGATTCTTATCAGACTGCAATTCAGAAACTTTGAATGAATCAGGATAGAAACAATTCAGCATTTTTCGCTTCATAGTTTCAGGTTTCAATATAATATCGTTCCAAAATAATACCAGATATTCATTTAAAGAATCAGTCAATTGGTTAATATTTGTAAAAGAATTAAACTCACCAAATTGTAAAATGAAAAATTCATAACAATATTTCAAATGGCAAGAATACAACTGATGAGGGAACAGGATATTATCCATTTCATCTTGCAAGATAACCGATAAACATAAATAAAATTGATTCTCAACTTTATAGATAATAATGATTTCATCATCCAATTCAATAATTTTTTCCTCAATCGAACTAGAATCCCCATTCAAAGTCTCTGTAAATGACCAAAGACTCTGCAATACACCGATTTTACCCAATTTATCATTCAGAGAAGTCTCTTCATTCTGAAATGAATGGTACAATATCAATTCCTTATAAGTATCATCTTCAGTTAAACTCTTGGAAGGATCAAAAATTACAATATAATTCAACATTAAACCCACAAATTTACCCCAGAACTATACCCATCACCATAAAATAGATCACAACAATCGTTATCAACCTCTAATAGCCTCATTAATGGGACCTTTAACACTTTTAACCGACTAATTTGTATAAAAGTTACCTTTAATTGTGAATATAAATCTTCTTGATCTTTTATTACATTCGGGATGAGATAAAAGTTGACAAATTTGATATTAAGAATAAGATGAATCAAAGGTACAGAACCAGAACCATTTGACAATTTATAGTAGTTTTCTGGTAACGATTAGTCGGTCAGGCTCTTCTATAAGACTCATTATTGGTGGTTACCAGTTGCTGTGATCGTTTGGAATCGAAGTTATGATATTTTGAAGCTAGTCAAGTTGCTAAGATAGAGACTAGAATTACAGAAAAGAGCAGAATTTAGAGCAAAGGAACCATAGTTTTGCAAAAGTAGACTGGTTGATCTTGTTGATGTGATATTGAGGAATAACAACTGAGAATCTTGGATATTTAGTTGTGCTATATTTTATTGATATCGAGGGATCTAGAGTACGAAGTCATAATTAATTAAAGCTTCAAGGACAGACCATTCGTTGAAGAGAAAGGGCTTTATCAGTTGGAAATAGGTTTCCAGAGGTTATCAAGCGTGTATAATATTTAATTACAGAAACCATGAGTGGTGCTCGTCGAATGAACGAAGATCCAGAGGTGGGGGAAAGTAGAAGCAGCAATAAATCTAGAAAGAAAGCTAGACTTGATAGCAAACGTCTGGAGAATGAGTTGATACATGAACAACAAAGGTCTCTTTTACAAGAGTATAGAGATGTTGAGGTAGAAACTATGAAGAACCGTGTAGAAATGACGAAGACTGGTGATATTAATATCGCGATGCATGAATTGGATAAGGCTAATGAACTTTATTCTAAGGCCAAAGAGACCAGTGATAATACTATTTATGCTGAGGATTCCAAAGTTATGGTCAACGTTAGTGAATTGGCACACTTAAGTGTCAAAAATTTAAAATTGGGAGATACAAGAGGCTTTATCAATGTTAATGATATTTTGAATGGCTGTAAAAGTTTTATGTTGAAAGATTATTTTAAACAGAATGATATATCTGAACCTGTACTAAAAGATCTAGACGGCCATGACGAAGAAGACGATGATAATGGTGATGGCGTCAGCAGTAATAATACTGCTAACGACAAGGCTGCCTTGAGGGTAAGAAATAGTGCCAATAGACACAACTTTCTAGCGCAATTTGAAAAATATGATCAATTTGAACAGTTCAATTGGTTTAAAATGGGTATGCTATATGATTCGCTAAGTAAAAATGTCCAAACGACAGACCATTTCTTCGGACCCTTTTCCATAGAGGCAAAAGTAAGACTGTACACACAAACAAATAGAGATGACGGTAAAGTTGGTAAATTGGCAACTGCTGAAAAGGTGACGAAATCTGCTTCGAAGTCAGACGATAAAGGAAGTACAGCAACAAATGTACAATATTGTTATACCACCCTTGAAAAAAAGAGCCCATTCCCAACAAGAATAAGCCTTTTTGAATTCTTTCTAGATCCTAATTCTTTTGCTAAATCTGTTGAAAATTTGTTTTACACAAGTTTCTTAATCAAAGAAGGTAAGATCGTACTGGAAGAAGATGAGAACAACTTACCAGTTATCCAAATAAAAGAAAAATTGCCCTCAGATCGTACACAGAAGAATATCGAATCCCAACAAAGAAGGCAAGCATCAGTTAATCATATCATATTCCAATTAGATAAACCTACATGGAGTAAACTAATCAAGAAGTTTAAAGTTAAAAAGAGTTACTTATGAACATGCTTTAATTTTATGATCTGTAAAAATTTCACGATTTCCATACTATGTCTATATTTATACATAAAATACATCAATTTTAACAGGAAAAATTGTACAATATAACTAAAAACCAATAGAAATAACACCATCTTGTATAGATCATCAATTGCACCTCAAACCATCTTGTCAAATCATCTCTTTTGTTCAACTGTCATAGCAAATTTGTATAAAGTGAAAAATTATTTTAAAGGCTTTGGAAATTTAAATATTGATGAACTTTTAAACAATAGTACCTAACGTAACACAACGTAATATAAGTTGATAAGAAAGGGTTAATACAGCCAACAACACCTTGGATAGGTTGATTGATGGTGTGTACAAGGATCAGTTTTGAGGATATTTGTTAAAAGGTTTGGTATTTGGTCTTTGGGTTTCAATAGAGGATATTGCTGATTATTTTGTGGGGAGAAGGTTATTTTGGAAAAATATATTGGTTCAAGAGGTGATAACTTTGGGTTTTAAGTTATATTTGGAGTTGTGGCATATATATTCGACTTTGTATATTATTGTTGTTATTTTAAGATAGAAAAAGTTTTGGATGTCCCAGTCTAAAGAGAGAAGAAAGAGATCTGGTTCACTTCGAACGCAGATGTTTAATAAACATCTGTATGATAGATTCCGTGGCAAGACAGATAATCAAGAGGATTCAGATGGTAGAGATGGCATTGATCGCTCTGGGATCATTGAAGAGGAAGAAATTGACTTGGAAGAAGATATATCGGCAGCAATAGAAAATAGTAAGATCATTGGATTTTTTGTTGGGATAGTAGATCTTTTTACTTAATAGAAAAAGATTGTTATATTCAAAAGATGGTAGGCATATACCCATAACATTTAGACATAATACAGTAGAATATACAAAGTATCTTACTCCTGATACAGACCTGCTGCTTGACGAGAGAATTAATAAGCCCTATTGTGATAATTCCATTACCTCATCAAGGTATACAGTATATTCATTCTTTCCTAGACAATTATATGCTCAATTTTCTAAATTAGCAAATGTATACTTTTTCCTCATTGCTATCTTACAAATGATACCTGGTTGGTCGACAACTGGTACTTATACTACTATTATACCGTTATGTGTTTTCATGGGTATTTCAATGGCAAGAGAAGCTTGGGATGACTTGAAAAGACACAAACTAGATACAGATGAAAATAGGAGACGTGTGTTGATCCTGTCAAAATCACCACCTCCAGAATTAATAAGAAATGGAACTTACCAAAATAGTGCATATCATACTTCGTCAACATCAAATTTAAATACAAATTGGAATGGAAATGGGAATGATACATTCGAGGAATATGAGTTAAGTAATAGAAGAGATTCGATGTCAGATAACGAATCCTTGGGTACTGCATTTAACAATTTTGAATTGTTAACAAAACGACACGGTGTCGAAATTTTAGAAACGAAATGGCATAACTTAAAGGTCGGTGATTTTGTATTATTAAAACAAGATGATTGGATTCCAGCAGATATAGTTTTGCTTACAGCAGATGGACATAATAACCAGTGTTACGTTGAAACTATGGCATTAGATGGTGAAACAAATTTAAAAAGCAAACATCCACATGCTAAATTAAACAAACTCGCATGCTCAGCTTCTGGTTTAGCAAATATAAATGCAACAATTACTGTGGAAGACCCAAATACAGATCTATATAAGTTCGAGGGTAATGTTGAATTGCATGGAAGTCAAAATAATGTTCTAAGAAAATTTCCATTAGGGCCAGATAATATTATATATAGAGGGAGCATTTTAAGAAATACCCAAAACGCAGTTGGTGTTGTAGTTTTTACAGGTGAAGAAACAAAGATACGTATGAATGCATTAAAAAACCCAAGGACAAAGGCTCCAAAATTACAGAAAAAGATTAATATGATTGTGGTTTTCATGGTATTCGTCGTTGCAATGATGTCTTTTTTCTCATATCTAGGACATACTATTGCAAACAAAAAGACGATTGATGAAAATAAAGCATGGTATTTAAATGAAAAGGATCCAGGTGTCGCTCCTTCTATAATGTCTTTTATTATTATGTATAATACAATGATTCCACTATCATTGTATGTTACAATGGAAATTATAAAAGTAATGCAAAGTAAATTTATGGAATGGGATATTGATATGTATTATGCTGAAACAGATACACCATGCGAGTCAAGATCTGCAACAATTTTAGAAGAATTAGGACAGGTTTCCTATATATTCAGTGATAAAACAGGAACTTTGACAGATAATATAATGTTATTTAGGAAATTTTCGATATGTGGGTCATCTTGGATTCACAGTGGTATATCTGACATAGCTGATGATTCTTCAATGAAAGATAATGACTTGGATAACGTGAGTACTTTGTCAATAGAAGACAAGAATATTATGCAGAAGTTAGGTGTTCGGAGTGAAGATATACATCCCAAGGGTTCAATTGCTGGAAACCATTCGATCAACCCCAGACAATCTATCGAATATAAAGGTAACTCTTCTGCACTATATACTGGTAGGCCAAGTATGAAATCATTAAAAGATGCAGCCCGTAAAAGTTTCGATTCTGCAGAATTTGATAGTAATGATGAAGAGTTTTCAAAGGATGGACTAAAATCTTCTTATGATTTAATTAGATTTATTCAAGAGTACCCAGAGTCTTTATTTGCACGTAAGGCTAAGTTTTTTATTCTATGTTTGGCTTTATGTCATGGTTGTGTCCCGAGAAGCTCAGAAGGTTCCTTTGGTGAAGATCTTATAGAATATCAATCATCTTCACCAGATGAGTTGGCTCTTGTAACGGCAGCAAGGGAGCTAGGTTATATTGTTTATAATAAAAATGGAACAACATTGACATTGAAAACTTTTCCAAATGGTCTGAATGAAGAACCAATTTTGGAAAACTTTGAAATATTAAACACCATTGAATTCAATTCACAGAGAAAAAGAATGTCTGTTCTTGTTAGACTTCCAAATGAAAAGAACAGAATTTTATTAGTGTGCAAAGGTGCTGATAATGTAATATTAGAAAGATTGGAAAATCATACATTGGTACAACAAAAAGTAGATGAAATGGATAATAATACAAAAGATCGTAAAGATGCAGAGGCGGAGCTTGTGATTAACCAGAGAAAGTCTCTTGAAAGAATTGCAACTAATGATGAAATTGTGAGTGACAAGCTTAGACCATCTGTTTCAACAAATCCTAGGGCCAGTCTGTCCTTGAACGCTATGAAGAAAAGTATATATGGTTCTAGACCTAGTAGAGGAGACACAGAGATGCAAATTGGAACAATTGATCAAATATTAGATGTTGTTAAACGTCCGGATCAAGAATTAGATGCTGTGGTTGCTAAAACAAGGCAATCACTCCATAAGCAACAAATCGAAAAGTATGGTGTTCGTGCCTCGATTGATATTCAACGTAATCGAAACAAGGAGCAACGTAAATATAGCAATGTTGTTAGTGATAACGATTTTATTAATCAGATGTTTGACTACATTGGAAGTGACGATTTGATTAACGATGATGAATACGTTTTGGAAAAAACCTTGCAATCTCTAGATGATTTTTCTACGGATGGTTTGAGAACTTTGATGTACAGTTACAAATGGGTTAGTTTAGATGAATATGAAGAATGGGAAGCAAGATATAACGAAGCAAAGACATCATTGACTGATCGTAATGTGAAAATTGATGCAGTTGGTGCTGAAATTGAAGAGGACTTGGTTTTAGCTGGTGTGACTGCCATCGAAGATAAATTGCAAGAAGGCGTTGGACAAGCAATTGAGAAAATTAGAAGGGCAGGAATAAAAATGTGGATGTTAACAGGTGATAAGAGGGAAACTGCTATAAATATTGGTTATTCATGTAAACTGATATATGATTATTCAACAGTAGTTGTTTTAACCACTACAGATGAGAATATCATTTCAAAACTAAATGCTGTTTCTCAAGAAGTGGACTCTGGTAATGTTGCACATTGTGTTGTGGTAATTGACGGGGCCACACTCTCTATGTTTGAGAGCAATCCTACTTTGATGTCCGTCTTTGTTGAATTATGCACGAAGACTGATTCGGTTATATGTTGTAGAGCTTCCCCATCTCAGAAGGCTTTAATGGTTTCCAATATCAGAAATACGAGTCCAGATTTAGTCACTCTTGCTATTGGTGATGGTGCTAATGATATTGCCATGATTCAATCAGCAGATATAGGTATCGGTATTGCAGGTAAGGAAGGTCTTCAAGCTTCCAGATCAGCAGATTATTCAATTGGCCAATTTAGATTTCTGATTAAGCTATTATTGGTCCATGGAAGGTATAACTATGTGAGGACTTCCAAATTTGTACTTTGTACCTTCTACAAAGAAATGACATTTTATTTAACCCAATTAATATTCCAAAGATTTACCATTTTCTCAGGGACTTCTTTGTATGAATCATATTCTTTATCGATGTTCAATACATTATTTACTTCCTTGCCAGTTCTTTGTGTTGGTATGTTTGAAAAGGATTTAAGACCAATTACTTTGCTGACGGTACCTGAATTGTATACCACTGGTCGTTTATCGAAGGACTTTAATCTGTTAATCTTCATAGAATGGATAATCCAGGCTGCAGGTAATTCCTTAATGACAGCTTTTCTTAGTGTTGTTGTTTGGGGTAAAAGTTCATTAAAGGACAATACCTTATATCCACTAGGAGTTATAAATTTTACTGCCATAGTGTTTCTGGTAAATATCAAGGCTCAATTTGTTGAAATGAACAATAGAAATTGGTTAGCATTTGCATGTGTAATTGTATCATGTGGTGGCTGGTTACTTTGGGTATTAGCTTTGCCTATTTTAAGTAAAAGTGATGATATCTATGATGTGAAGTATGGTTTCATTCATAATTTTGGTAACGATATTACGTTTTGGTGTAGTATTTTAGTGATTGGAATGTTGCCAATTGTTGTTGATATTGTCTATAGGACGTTTAAAGTTATGATTTTGCCTACTGATACAGACATCTTTGCCCAATTAGAACAGCGCAGTGATCTACGTAAACAACTAGAAATTGGCGCCTTTGATGAAATGAAACAAGGTTGGACTTGGGCAAGGGATCCAAATGCCTTTGTTAGATATAAAGAAAAGTTCTTACCGAAGAGGTCAAATGCAAGATCGAGAGCTACTTCAAACTCTAACAGTGTAGAAGGTTCTGTATCATTGGAGAGTACTGAAAGCAACGATAGTCAATCGAAGAAAAACTCTTTCAGTTATAGACCCAACGTTGAGCCCAAGTATGATCCCGAAGAATATGAAATGCTCCCTAGTGGAAAAATAATAAGAAGACAGGCATCCAAAGGTAGTTTTAATAATACTGAAAATGTTGCAACAAAAATATCTAAAAAATTAAGATTTAACCTTAGAGAAGAAAACGATGAAGAAATTAGGGCGATTGTTGAACAACGTCTGAATGATTTAGAGTGAGTTTGTTAATGGACATAAGATAAATTCATATAAATTGAAAAGTTATCATTTATATTAGTAAAGTTATATAGACAGCACTGCAGATACAAATTTACGTATAAATATGTATGTATTACAAGAATCAAAAGAACATTTTAAACAATTTCATACCAGGAAGCTTCAGATTTATTTCTATACTTTATATATATATCTAAAGAACTAATTTTATTTGTTTTATCAAAGTGATTTTAATTTTTGTATAAATCATCTGTAATCTGGTGGGTCTTGATGTCGTTAACGTTAAATAAATGGTTATTTAAGAAACGTCGTAATTTCCAATTAAATTATAAAATATGCCTGAAATAACATATTAAATTTAATAACTAGATGTATATCGCTTAGTTTTTTTTTATTTTTAGTACTATTGGGGAGGAAGGAAGACTAGTTTAAGAAATGCAAATATAAAAGATAAATAAAAACAACATAGAAGCTATAGGGATAATGCTGGGATTAAAAGATTAGGGTCATGAGATTATTAAAGGAGTGAATTTATTTTTCTCCAAGTATTTGAATCTAATTATTCCGAATAGATTCAAAAAGCTTGATGATCTTAACCGAATAATAGCCTTTCTAAAAGTGGTACTACGAATAGTATTAAGAACGGTAATAATATTCTTATATTTTCGTAAAAATCGTTTCTTTCAGGTTGTTGCTGTTGCTGTTGTCGTTGTTGTTGTCTTTGCCTTTGTCTTTGTGCAAAAGGATGACCACCTGGGCCGTTTGTATAAACTCTATACCCCCCTGGGCCAAAAGAGAAGGTAGTTGCACCGCCAAATGGACTGCCACCAAATGGACCACCAAATGGGCTTCCACCACCATTCATATTAAATAAGAAATCAAAAATATCTTCTGGAGCTGCATGGCCACCTTGGTTAAATTGACGACGGAAGAACATATTTTCGAAATCAGAAGGGAACCCAGGTTGAGCTCCATTAAATCCTGATGCAGAAGACGATACACCTCTATCATCGGGGTCTCTACCTATCCTGTCGAAGATTTCACGTTTTTCATTATCACTTAAAACTTCAAATGCTCTGTTAATAACTTTGAAAGCTTCACTAGCCTTTGGATGAGGGTTTTTATCAGGATGTAATTTAATTGCTAATTTTCTATAAGATTTTTTAATTTCAGTTTCATCAGAACTACGTTCTACTTTTAAAACATTATAAAAATCATGTCTTTCCTTTGATAAAACCTCCAACGCTACTCTTTCTTGTTCTTCAGTATATGAGGACATCTATTGCAACTGTGAGTATATGTGTGTATATGACGAGAGATATTTGAAATAATTCCCTTCCAATATGCTTGTATTAATGTAAATGTATGTGTGTATGTAAATGTGAATGTGTAGTGATTCAAAGACTGATAATTAATAAATTAGCAGATGCCCACTATTATTTTTGCTGATTTTTCTTCAATGAATAGTCTCAAATGTAGTTTTAGAACCCTTGTAAGTAGAAATTTGATAACGACGATTAAGATGTACTGTGTTTCAAAAGAGATCAACGATCAGAATACAATTGAAACTACTATACCTAGTTCTTTTTTATTTTTAATTTTAATTTTAATCTTTATCTTTGAGTTTTTTTAACCTGACTAGTCGATAAAGAGCATCGAAGATAGCAGCTTAAAATTTAAATTAAACTCAAATTATCACTACGATGTAGATTACAATTTTTCCAGTAGGTTTTCCCCAATGCAAACGATTGTTTTAATGTTGAATTGTTGCTACTATTCAACTACTAGACTTTCTTTTTTATCCCAGCGTAAATTTTTGGCCTGGGTTTTGGTTCAGTTCGGTTCGGTTCGGTTCGAAACGACTAAAAATCCCAAAAGGGAAATTCAGCCCAACGGAAAAATTGCGACGAGTGAGCCACGTTTCTTTTTATTTTGTGAGTTCTTGGTATGGATGGCAGAGAGAGAGAGAGATGGGGCCTCTGGGAAGTGTCTGTTCTGTGTGCAGATTGGTCATGTGAGTTTTTCGCATTGTATGGGTTCGACATAGCTTCATACGAATTAGTAAAGGATCTATGACATCAGATAATACTAATAATGACTACTATTTAAAACTATTGTATATTATTATATATTACTTACTTACTTTGTACAGTTGAAGAAGAGAAGATACAGAACTCTTTAATAATTACTGGTTTGTAGGATTACGTTGGCTCATTGTGGTCACTCTGTTACTAGATAATTGGATCATTCTTTTAGTTTTATACATAGTTACTTGTTATATTACTATATATATTCTTCTTTTATACTTCAAGATACCTTGAAGAGTTTTCGGTTCGGACAAACACTCGTGAGACATGATAATATGGCTTTATAAGAAAAAGTCACATGACCAATGTCAGCAATTATAAATATACTTATTAACAGTACTAGACTACTACCAAATAGACGAATAGAATAAAAACCATACCTGCACTTATTCAACGTACAATTACTAGATATCTATAACTAAATAATTCACAACAAAGAATACAAAAATGTATTTTTGTAAATCGAACCCTTTATTTACAATATTTCGTAACTTAGAATTTTAATAAACCCAATTGAAACTTGATTACCTTCCTTATCATTATCAATGGACGGTGATAAAATAATGACTGATGCTGAAGTTGTTAGCACTGATGGAAATCGTCTACTTAGAAATTCAAGTGAGTGAAATTAAAGCTAACTCTATTAATACCGACAAAAGAATGCGTTTCCTGCATTCTTTACTCGAACAATTAACAGGTATGTTAAAAGCTCAAGGCCGCAATGAAGAGATACATGGTAAAAACTTGGAACAGGCTTCAATTAAATTTCCTAATCTTCAAAGAAATGAAGAAGAGATTCAATGTGGACGAATCTGAACTTGAAAGATTTGAAGATTCAGTCGAAAAGAGATTATTCCAAATTGAAGAGAAAATGAACTCAAAGGATATTAACAATTCTGCGTCAAAATCCCCATCTCCACAGGATATTTTAGCTAGAGTTGGAAAGCACTTTCCGTTTCTGGTAATCTTTGGGAATCATGGATTGGTTGCAAATTGCAACAAGAATTATAGCGACGTTTCACTCCCAAGCACTAACGACATCACTCTGAAAGAGGATCATCTTGACGATCAAGGCCGCATCCTAATGAACATACAGGGTTCATTAGTGGGCAAACACATACGTTTCCAAGACTGGGGAGAGGTCCTATACTCCTATTACCTAATAAATGAATTAAATAAAAACCATATCAGCATTTATTCTACGTGCAATTATTAGACATCTACAACTAAAGAATTTGCAACAAATAATACAATACAACGTCACATTATCATGATTCGTGAGTGGTTGTTCGAACTGAAAACTCTTCAAGGTATCTTGAAGTATAAAAGGAGTAGATGTAACATAATATAATAAGTAACTATGTATCAAACTAAAAGAATGATCCGGTTATCTAGTAACAAAGTGATAATGATCAGCCTGATTCTAATTCTGTATGCTCTAGCTAATCAAGTCATCTCAGCACAGGTGATCCTGGAACAATGTCTAGGAGTAAATGGCACCGAATATATACCTGCTGCGCTGATTTGGAACACAAATACTAGGCACCAGATTACCCAATCACCAGCACTTTCGGAAACATTCTATACCTTGTATGATGCTGGTAACATCGACGAAGCACTACTACTTTGGAATCAATACTATGACCCTACAGCGGAAGAAGAAGAATTGTGGACTACTATAATGGACGACTTACGTGGCATTGAAGAAGACGAGCCTGAACGTGTAGATTGTTTATTGATGTTGGCTGAATATTATGGCTGGACTGATTCTCAGCTATATAGTAGGACAAAACAAGTGGTTAATGAAAGATTAACTCTGAACAAACGTGATCAATACACTACGAAATGTTACAAAAGCAACCTCGCTTGGAAACAGGACTGTCAACACCCTAAGTGTTGGTGTTGACTACTGGGTGCCCAGAGACCTTAAGTTGTGGTCATGAGTATATCGTCGATGTACTATGAAGAGCCATATTGTGGTAGATTAAAATATAACATATATTCAATTAGTTATTTTTAAAAAATATAAAAAAGAAAATTCGACAACTGCAGGACTCGAACCTGCGCGGGCAGAGCCCAAAAGATTTCTAATCTTTCGCCTTAACCACTCGGCCAAGTTGCCATTAAGTCTTGAACATTTTGAAGATGCAATTGCGATCTTATTAATAGTTTTCATGAAGTCACGTGTATTTAGTTTTTTGTATTATTTGGCCTTTAATTATTATTTAATTGTATATTGAATTTGGTATACGTTAGAATGAAGGCTGGTAAGCGTTTATTCTATAGGATCTTAAGGGTTGAGATCTGTAAGTTAAAGTAAATATACTAGTTAATAATAATAAAGTTCTATATATCTTTTATGTACAAAGTAAGATACTAAATAATATACAATAATATACAATAATGTACAATGATCTCTTTAAATATCAATGTTAATAGCATGTAACAACATTCTTGTAGTGACACATATTTCTTCACCTTCAAGGTTCGTATGAAGTAACCTCGAAATAGTCTCGAAATAATACATTATAAAGTAGTCACGTGTGAGTGGAAATAAGGAACATTCTGGAACCTTCTAGGTCAGAACAGTTATGGCATTAAAGGTTATGGCAGTAAAGGTTATGTCACGTTGCAATTGTTCGATCGCAAATGTCATACTCGACCTTCTAAGTAATTGCCAAATCATATCATAAGAAGTGAAGTGCAAAGGCATCATAATTTATTATCATAAATTCATAATATTATGATTATGAGATTGGATCTAAACATATAAAAAGGCATGACATTTTGGCACATCTAAAATATTGTTTATTCCAAATATTAATATATATTTAGTTAGTTACAATTTATAAAACACTACGGAGAAATAAATATAAATATTACTTTTGCTTCAAAAATCGTCTTAATAAAATCACTAATATGAACAACTCAGATATTAAGTTATCGGAACAATTTGGCTTTCTTTGATCTGTCAGTGTCTCTTACCTCTCTCTCTTCTCCTCCTTTTTTCTAAATTTACTATATATTTTTATTTTTTGTTTTGGATTACGAAGTAGTTCACCCACTTATAGACGTCGGACTACCAATTCTGCTGGCATGGCATATCCCATGCGTTTTGGTGGCAGAAGTTAACATTCTCCCAACGCATAAATCTCACATCTCCGTACCACTGTCCATAGTTATTTACCCTGATGCACCAGCTAGTCATAACATCACGGATTGCCTGAGCCGTTCCTAATCTAATTTCCTGTGCCAGTTGATCTCTATTACGAGCAGTATCACATTTTGACCCCGTTGTGAAGGTTGATGACGCTAATGCATACGTAACGGTTTTACCATCTGTAGCTTTAAGGTCTACCCAGTTGTAAGTCCCACCACATTGGTGCCTCTCCGAAATAGCCAATAGATGATCGGCGGCTGCATATCCAAGGGCATTACCACCTTCTAAGTGGTCTGGGAAGTTCAAGTTGTTTGTCCAATCTTTCTGCTTTAAAAAAGATCTTAGCTTCATCCCGGTCGGGTTTTGATAATCATATGTGGTGCCTGCATCCTCAACCCAGTAGCCATTGTCACATTGGTGGCGGTCACGCTTGTCTAACCTGATGCTAGTTGGTATGATAGTACCGTTACCGTAGTCTAGATGCGACGCTCTTAAGTAATAGCTAAATTCGTCAATTACTGAATCGATATCAATAGAGTAACCGTTAGCACGTTTAACTATCTGTGTCTCATGTGTGTAGACAAAATGTTCAACTCCTGTCACATTTAAAATTATACCCGTATCATGTTCATACATGGTTTTATTAGCTTGGTTGATAGCGCCAGTGAACCCTAACGGTACACCATACGCTAAGTTGCCGCTGTCAACTATACTTGGTGTCACATTACCGGTTAAACCTGCATTGACCAGTGCAGCTCCGGCAAATGTTAAAATGGTGATTAGTGTTATAACCATTTTACTTAGTTTACGTTTGTATTATTCACCAATGTAGACTAGTGTCACACTACCAGATCCTATGTAGTTAACGAGTATAAAAGTCCTGATCTGATTCTCACTCAATTGACTCCTCGTAACAGTAAATCTTTATATATATCAACTTTACATTCGAATACATTTTTCCCTATCTAAACTTTAACTTAATTGGCCCCTTTATATAAGTCTCTCTTTCATGAGTTTGCAACCAATTTCATGAGTTTGCAACCAATTTCATGAGTTTGCAACCAATTTCATGAGTTTGCCAATATGGTTCGTTTTATGTTTCACTTCACCCTCATTGTCTCATTCATTAATTGCAATCGTACTATTGATTGGACTCATTATCCAACATTTTCGTGAGCCAAAAAACCGAAACCAATCGCAGGAGAAAATATTTAAAAAATTTCATAATTTCAATTCTACATCAACTATTTCTTAATTATACAAGAGGAAAAAACAACCAAAAAATATCATCCTTACTCAAAATGCAATGAGAAAATGTCACAAGATGTAGAGCTTTTAGGCTTTGAAAGAGTAGATATACGTGAAATAGTGTAGAGAATTATGTTGTGGTTTTTCTACCGAAACATATTCATAGTAATAGATTCTTGTTGTAACCTAAATGTATGAATTCCATATATAGGTTTACAGATTATTCATATCACGTGATAAATGACATTTGTTGCCCTAATGACATAAATGCAAATATTAACAATATGACCTAAGAGATAGATTATAGATCTGTATGGTTCTAGAACATTCTTATGAGCTGGAAGATTATATTTATAACCCTAATCATTTTAATGAACAATGATTACTAATGATATGAAGAAATAGTCTGTCAATATTATTGACAGCAATTATTATGATAGATTCCAATAGCTCGATAATGATGATCTACTTGATCATCTGAGCAATTGATGATCATGTCATAGGAAGTGGAGTGCAAAGGCATCACTATTTTTATTATAATTAATTAATAATTCTGAGATTATGAGATTGGATCTAAACCTATAAAAAGGCATGACATTTTGGTACATCTAAAATATTGTTTATCTAAAATATTAATATATATTTATTCAGTTACATTTATAAGACACTACGGAGAAATAAATATAAATATTATATTAAAAGCATCTTGTATCAATCACCAAAATGAATCAATCAGGTATTACTTTTACATCTGAACAGATCTGTCATGATTGTTAAAAGGAATGACGCTAATAGACAACTGACATGACGTATATAAAGGGCATAGTTCCTGAAGTAAAGATATACACTTTTGTTATTAAACAGAAGACCATAGAGATCTTTATATATTTAATACTACTGTATAGTTAACTATTATAATTGTTGAAATTGTTGATCATTTTTAATAGGTGACATATTTCTTAAATTATATTTCTCCGTGAGGATTTTATATATAATATAAAATAATAATATAAATATGTAAATATAATCTTGTAAATCAGATTATCCTAATCTTGAGATTAGTATCCGTATTTATACGTTTAATCTTTGATCTCACAATCTTGTAATTACTAATCATTAATTCTAACAATTCCTTGCACTCTCACTCAAGTATTTTAGTTTATTGGTAATTTACCAATAATATTCTTTTTATTTTGTTTCTAGAATGTTCTACAATATTGCAAACAATCAATAACCTGATTGTTAGTAATTACCTGATTAGTTATTGTATACCATATTAATAAATTGATTTATGTTACATTATCATAGATATATCTATGACGTCATGAACATCTTATAAAGTAGTCACGTGTGAGTGGAAATAAGGAACATTCTGGAACCTTCTAGTTCAGAACAGATTCCAATGAAGAAGATGGTTCTAAGGGTCGTGAATTGAAAAATTGTTCAATAAGGGATATATCTGAGCTGGTACCTAACCCTTTTGAGGGTAAACCACCATTCGTTATTGAGAGGCTAAATAATTTTAATGTTGAATTAAGGAAATCTGAGGAAAAAATGGCGATATATGAAAAATATGTAAAAAAACGGATTCCGACTTTCAATCCTAGAAGATGGATTATAAAATATGAAATGCTGAAAACATTTGTTAAGCTTTATGAAGATATCTCTACATTTTTCGAATTTTGTAGAAATCAAGGTAAGCCAATTCAAAATGAGTTGAGCAGGAAAGATTCTGAACTGGCAGAATTGTTATTAGATATTATATCGCCTTTTGATAGTTTCACTAAGTGTGTGTCATCGAACAAAAGTCTGTCACCTGTTTATATTCGTATACTAGTTTTTCTAAGGAAAACTATCAAAGAATCCAATGATAAACTTAAGAAAATGGGAGACACGATATCTGATTTCTCACCAGCGATCAATTTGGTGGACAAATATTTAAAGCAAGCAAAATATAACTTTCCTTTACTATATACATGTTCATCATTTTGTCCCTTTGAAGATGACGTCTCAGATTATTCTATTAGCCAATTCGATGAAAAGTTAGAACCAGCTAATGACTTCACTGAAATTGCAATTAAATTATGCCAGTTTGATTTTGAGAAATCTGCGACTCCAGGTAAAAAATCTAAATATGGTTATATGTGGGAAAGAAAATATCTGAATGGCATCGAACATACATAGAAGATAAAATAAAATATGAGTTAGTTGAATATTTAGAATTTGTTGAGAATAAGTATTTTGAGGTCTTAAAAAGAGTGTGTAGAAGGAAGAGAGTTGAAGTTCAAGAAATAGAAGGTAGTTATCATTACAAAATGATCTTTGGAGAAAAAGGAGCCATGAAATCCAGAAAATTA